TTGGTGGCACGTGAAAGACTGAGGGAGCTGCAAGGCTTCTAAAAGGACGGGAACATCATTCTTATGAAAACGAAACTCAGCCAAACACTCGCTGTCGTCCATCTCATTTAAGTCGAACGATCCATAGCAGTCATAAGGGAAATCTGGGTTTTTCGAGGTGTTTGCATCGTAAAGGAGGAGAAATTCGTCCTCGGAAATATCACCGTCATCAAAATTTTCGACAAGAAGGTTACGTATATCTCTAAAGAATGCCATACTTTCACTAAAATACTGAAAGCCCCCGAAAGCTTGTTATGAAGCCATCCGCCTCCTCCACAGTAGATCTTAAGGTCAATTTTTCGCACCATACGACGGCCGACCTCTCCCCATTCCCCCCAGCTCACGGCCGCCGTCGTAGACACCCGCCGTCGTCGGATCTTAAGGTCCCTAATATTTTGAGGGCGGGAAGTTGAAAATTTGAGTAATTTACTTCAATGGGCAATCACTATACGTGACTCTGCATCCCACTAATAAATAAGGTAAACAGGACTTAAAAGTAACTTAGACGTTCTATTGCATATTGCATATATTACCTAAAAAAGCACCAAAATAAGAAACATCAAACTAAAATATGATGCATCGACTCGAAACAAGGTCGACAAATTTTGAACCTTTCTAACGGCTTTGCAGCCAAAGCTCAGGCACATGAACCTGTGAAACTTGATTGGCAAAGGGGCGTACTTACTTGAGTGGTTATATATTGATCACCTGGCATCAGTACGCGTTGTATGATGTTTTTTCGGTCGGGTAGGTTTTATTTTGGTCACGAAAATTATTAAAGCTACAGCTGTGTACATATTACTTATTTTGCGGTGTTTTTCATTTATTCTGATTTTCATTAACTGCACGAATATTGTTTGCGCACGTTTTAATTTTGTCCTACGTACGTGTATGTTTGTGCCGACAGGGCAAAGTTCTCAGGTTTCCTTAGCTTTCTATAAACTGACTAAGCATAAGATAGCAAAATTCGCTAATCTTTCTTTCCTAGATTGTTTTCCGGTTATTCTCGAGTGGCAGGCAGCCGCATTAAATGAAGTTGCTGCATGACTAACCATGACTTACTTAATACGTGCTAAAACTCCACTGGTAAAAAATATAACATACTTTTCCATAAATTTAATAGATGCATATACCACGAGTACATTAAAGGGTGCTATATTAAAAGCCATGCAATTCTTGCTTATAGAAAGTTTAAGAAATTATTCTGTGAATTTCTTCAGGGATTTTTGGACCACCGTACAGGTGTCTGCCCTCTTCGCGATGTTTCTTCCTATCTGTCACACTTCTCAGTCTTTCTATCGATTGTTTGGGGCTTACTGTTTTGTGTTATCATAACAATAGATCCTGGAGTGAAGGCGCAATAGTTAATGCAAGGTCTGTAAGTTTTACCAGTTGTTCCTTGACGAGAAACCGTTGCGTATTAGATTTGGCAACAACCCTCGAGATAAACTTAACCACTTCAAGGAACCGAGTCTGGATCTATCATGCATCCTTGAATTTGTTATAATCTTTGGGCCCAAATGTCAGAATCCAGCCGGGTCATTTTGAAAATGAAAAAGGTCTTTTAAAGAGTTTTCCGCTTAAAACGCCTCAAGGAAAAAACGGGTCGAAAAAACTAACATTAAATCTCGTGACCACTATTGTTTCTGAACACTTTCTCTTTCACTCTAACCATTCCCATACTGACATGCAGTTAATCCCACTAGAGAAAATTCATTCTTCAAGTGACTCAGTTCGTAAGATTTGACTCTTGAACCGAATGGCCTAAACCGCCGTGACGAATTATTGTAATCCATATCCTTATTATTTTTCTTTTCCAGGTTTTTGTGTGGAACGTCATTTCCGCCTCTTTTAAACAATTTTTATTGCGACATTCTCCTATAATATTGTGATCGATTCCTGTCATAAATTCAGTAGCATCTGTGAACCTGATGGAAGGCTGGTAGCCGAAATATTGCTATGAAAAAACCGTACAGGTTGTTCTGATCAGCTTGGCAGTTATAAATTCTTTGGGCTAATCTCTTTTTTGGTTCTTGATATTTTGGCTGATTGGGTCTCTTTTCTACAGACCCAACGTTTATAACTAGCAGGATCTTCGTCCACGGTTTTTTCAGTTAATTTAATTTCTTTATTATTAAAACCCCCAACAGCCCCATGTGTATTATTTTATTAGGAATTGACTGATCATGATAAAAAATGAAATTCTCATTTCGAAAAGTAATTGGTCTGGCCGCGGCTAATTCTGACCTCTAATTTGATTGGACGCTTATGTGTCGCAGCTCTTTTGTTTTCAGGCTAGGTTCCATTGGGTTACTCCCAGTGTAAACAACAAGAAGCAGGAGCACCCAACGACCGAATGTTTCCATAAACACGTCAGAATTTTGAACCATGATAGTTCATGGTTGGGCCCTACAAACTTGAGATGTCTTAAGGGAACTCATTTTCGTCCTCTCCAAAATTTAGATCTTTTAGATCCTTTTGTAAACGTCTCATGATCATCCGAAAATTTTAGCAATACCTTAATGGGTCCGGTCGAAAGTCAAGGACATGGAGTAGGCGTACTCTACTCTTTGTCTTGACACCGAAATTTTCCGGAGACATTTTCACAATAATGGCAATATCTTGCCAACAAAATGACGGTGGAAAACACAGTTTCCGAAAATTGTTGGTAAGTTAATTACTAGGAAAAAACTGAATCCCGAATCCGACTCGACTTCGATGGTTATCCAGAAATGTTAAGCCTTTCATCTCAAAAAGCTTTGAAATTTCTAGACAACATTTGTTCCTCTCGAACTACAGTTATTTTACTGAAAAACATCGCACATGGGTTTCCCTAAAGAATAAATTATATGGAATAAGCAGCAAAAACCTAGATAATGGGGTTCTCGTATATGCTTTAAGCTTTGTACCCTTGCGTGCATGGGAAGAACTAAGCCTGCAAAGATGTAAACAGGGTCGGAAACTGATATTTATTGTATGTGGTGTATATTTTCAAGAGGGCGTTTCAGACCAGTGGACCATTGAAAATCACGTATCTGCGGCCGAAGTAAATGCGGTTCTTGCCTACTCGTGATGAATCACTAAGCTAGCAGTTTATATTCTTTAACGAACGACAATAAGACCCGTGTCTTGAGAAAGGTCGGCACCTTATGTACATGAGCTGTCGACTGGGTCGTAAATCGAATTCCTCGAGCGGCTGAAGCTGTAAAGTTAAATAGATAAAAGGAACTGTGTTACAGCTGCCATAAGAGGCAGGCCGGGCATATTCCAGTTCCGTTACGTAATACATATTTACCAAGAAACCGGCTACATTAGCTATGAGAGGTACTATAATATTTTAAAACATCTTATTTTCAAAGTCTGAATATCTGCAAATTTAAAACACCTGCTGCTCCTCGCAAGAAAATTAAAAGAGCCGAGATTAGATGATTTCGAGTTCGGGTTTCCTCATCATTTTATTACCATGACTTTCACAATTGTCAACATTTTAATTTCTATTTTTCTTCCAGCAATTAAGTTGCGTCAATTCAAATTTAATTTTAATTTTGTGGTCTTTTTAATGGTCTTGACGACATGGTCATCAACTGAAGGAAGTTGTTTAAGTACGTAGTAATTGTAAAGCCTGTGATGAAAGGATAATAACAAACAATAGCGATGCGTTTGGTTTCTATTTATAGGCCCGAAACTCAGACAAACAAACGATTTTGCCAATATTTTGAAATTTGTAATTGTTCTTAATAGAGGAATTTAGCTCTTACAGATTTTAACAAAAAAAGGAAAGGACAGTACAAAGGTATTGCAACTGTTAAGAAATGAGGCGATTTTTAAAAAAATTTACTGAAGGAAACGCGAGAAATTCTCGGTTAATTAATTGCGCTGACGTCACAAAAATCCGAAAAACACGCGTTGTTTGGGGTCGTATGAGCAAAATACAAGCGCGAGCCGTCACGCCCGCATGCGCATAAGCACACAGCTACTGAAAATATGTGGTTTCTTCGAAAAGAACGAAAGCCCTTGTTAAAGCCGTTTATTATTATTATTACGGTGATATCTCGCCAGTTGAAAAAGGAGAGATGTTTTCTTCGAAGTACGTGACTATTGTAGCTAAAATTCGAGCCGTGGTGGTCACTCGTGCGGATGGCGATCATCGGAGATGAAGACGGTGGTTGTGCAAGGATCGCAATTAGCCCTTCATTTCCTAATCTGCGTTACACTGTTTGCAGATCTTCAAATGTCAGCCCACATACATACTTTTTCAACCTTGTTCTTCTTTAGGGATAATTTCGGCGGAGAGGCTTTCTTTAAAAGTCTGCTGTAAAAGATGGCGCCGATCTAAAAGCGTACATCACGTCCTCAGCTGCTTAAGGGGTGTGCCAATAGTAAATAAACATTTGGTTGCAGACGAGGCCATTGAAGACAAAGTTAGTGCTTTAAGTGTTTGGACCCTCTGACCTGATAAAAGGGCAAGTAACGTGGTGAGTTTCCATGACAAACATTTGAGGTTTAAGCCCTCTCCAAGAGTCCAGGCTGCCAGAAACTTAAAGACTTTATTCACATCCCATATGCATTTGTACCTTGGAAGAACTGGCCGAACCTCAAACACGTCCTTTGCAAATCTAGTTACGAGAGGGTAACTACCAAATTGAATGCGTCCTGGGAACACAATAAGGCTCTCCGGTTCGTGTTTATACAACTATACCCTTCCCCAGTAGCAAAAAGCTCAGCAAGAAAGGTTATACCATCTTGCAAAGTGGCTTGAAGTGGATTAATGTTCCGTTGACGGCAGAACAATTCCCACTTTTTGTAGTAAATTTGGTATTGGATTGCAGTACCAGACCTCCAGAACTGTATGATAAGCCTTGAAACTTCCGCCGAAATTCCTTGGCTTTCAAAGGATCTCCGGACAAGTGGCACATCAACAGTTCCAGTTTGGGATATAGGGGGTGAATGTTTGCTGGGTTGCCAGGGAGAGTCAGCAGTGTTTTCTGTTTGGGAGGAGGATTGGGATGGGGGAAAATATAAGGAACACATTCTCTCCATGACAAATGAAATGCATCTATTGCAACAGCCCCTGGGTCAGGGCGCCAGGATACATAATTTGGAATTTGATGACTTATCTTATTGGATGCAAATAGATCAATAGTTGGGAGAACATTAAGTTCATTGATGCAATCTTTAAAAACTTATCAAGAGGTCCACTCAAGTGGGGAGTGAGGCAATCTAGACTGTCTATCAGCCTCCACATTCTCCACACCTGGGACATGGACAGCTGTCAGCCAGATGTTTTGTTCGCCACACCATAGCCAAATTTCTTTTGCTAGGTCATTTCTTTTTTCAGAACTATTGGTACCCATATGCCGGTTTAAATCAGAAATGTCATCTGCCATGACCTTGACATGCTGTCCCTTTATTATCAATGAAAAAGATTGCAAATCCAATGCAAGGAATATTGCACGTAGTTCCAGGTAATTAATGTGGTTGTTAGCCTCTTCGGCAGTCCAATTTCCACTTGTAGAAATATCATTTAATGAACATCCCCACCCGGTGGATGAGGCATCAGCGAATAGGACAATGGTGGGGTCACCATGACTTATGAATCAACATGCATAACCCACCATTCTAACTCTTGACGTGCCTTGTCTGATATTATCATAAAGACATCAAAAACATCTTTGTTGCATTTCAAGGCTTCCGTTTTGTCCCTTTCAAGTTGTCTGAAGTATAGTGGGCCAAACATGACCCCTGGAAAACTAGATACCATGTAGCCAAGGGCTTGTGCAACATCCCTTATTGTAATTTGAAAGGCATCTAGAAGCTTTATGCAAATTGACTTTTATTAAGATTAGCCATTTTTTCGCTTGTCAAATAAATTCCCATCTGGACTGAGTCCAATATGAATCCCAGGAAGACTAACCTCAGTGTTGGGATAAATATTGACTAATGTGGGTGGATAATAAACCCAATGCAAGAAATATTTTCAGAGTCTAAAACATTAGCTAGGCACTCATGGTAATCTCCACCTTCAAGGTAAGAATCATCAATATAAGGGGAGTTCACATATGCAAGGCTAACCCACTTGGAAAACAGGGAAATTGATACAGCCTCCCGTCCCATTCAAACTTCAGGTATTTTTGGTGCGAGGGTGCAATGGGGACACAGTAGTAAGTGTCCTTCAAATCTATTGAGGCCATAAAGCAGTTTGGTCTCATCAAATTCAGAACACTTTACAATGTATCCATTTTGAAATGGTTGTATTGCACATGCTTATTTAGGTTTTTCAAGTAGAAAGTCATTCGGTGAGACCCACCCTTTTTGGGTCGAACAAAAACAGAGGAAATGAATTCTCCAGGTTCATGAGTGCTTTCAACAATTACTGCCTTCTCGAGTAAGCTGGAAATCTCAGAGGTAATAATAACTTGTTCTTGTCCACTAGAACGTTTCCCTGGTGGAGGATGTCTGTGAGAAGGCTGGGTACTGAATTTAATATATTGGCCTGATACCATTTGAAGAATTTCAGTTCCCTAACTTATTTGCTGCCAGGCGGGAATAAATTGTCTCAGCCTACTGCTTTTGAAGGAGCTTCTTTGCGCAACAAGATATCCAATTAATGTAGGAACAAAGCCTACAAAATCAGTCACCTGCAACGAGTTTAGTTTCAAAGTAAAGCCTTCGTTTATTTTATGCTAGGCTCCTCCTTTTTCTTCCACGGTTTTTGCTTCCATTTGGGCTGGTACTGGCCGTTGACTGAAAAAAGGCCTGTTCTGTTTCTGGCGCCAAGAAGGCTTAGAGGAAGAGTTGGAGCCGCTTTTGTGGCTGACAGCTGTGTGGATAATTTGATTTAAGGCCTGAATTGCAGTGACATGGGCCTGAAGTTCGTCTCCAAACAACAAGGTTGTAACTGGTGTCTGAGAAGAACATAAAGAGCCGTAGTAGCCTTATTCAAGTTGGGTTTGATTGCTTCTCGTCGACATAACGAGAGCCCATAATTTGTATGTCCCAACAGCCAGGTCGTATTTCTCGCTCAGTTCCTTGAGCTTGTTGTCGCTCAGTTTCGACCCCCATCTCTTATTTCTAATTTCAGCTAGTGGTTTTGAGACTGGGCTGCTCGCCTTATCATCTTTGGTGAAGTCAAGGGCTAATTTGTTCAAGAGTTCGTCTTCGCCCTCACTCTTGCAGGAGTCCTGCTTGTTGGCAGGCAGCGTTGTGCCACTTTCAATTTCCTGAATTTCGTTCTGATCAGCACCACTGTTTAGGAGAGTGGAGAGGCGTCCTCCTCACTGTCACTGTGAGAAACATTAACAAAAGTTCTCGGCTTTTTCGCTCTCCCAGCTAAGGGTTCTAAATTCCCAGCACGAAAGGCCTGTTCTGCTGTGACAAACAAAGCAGCGAATGAATCGCCCATGGCAGTAATCGAGCTTTTTTGCCATGCCGTTCATGTTTTCGTTCTAAGAATTGAGTACATTTAGCAGCGAGTCGCTGTTATCGATTGTAGATTCAGCAAGTAAATCTTGTTTGTCGATCTCCTCTGGCGAGGAATTCCTTGGGTCTTCGACGAGGGCTTTGGAAGAGGAATTATCACCCATAGGGAAATCTTCGTGCGATCGCTTCAAATGTCAGCTTATAATAATTGCAAGTGAACGCTCTGGCTACGCACGCATATCTCACGTGACTCCTTAGCGACATTGACCAATGACAAAGTAGAATCAAACAAATAACAGAAAAATTCCGGTAAGCTGCGTCGCACTTTAGAAAGTAAGTAAAGGAAATGTTCATTAAAATTAAAGTATGAAAAAGCGCCGTGTTTTATATGGGGTTGCTTTCCAAACCGTTTCGGGCCTGGCCGATCCAGGTCTTACTACTTAAGATCCGGCTGACCCTCACTGGTTTGTCGTTGTGGTTTTACCTTCACACAAGTGTTTCCGATATATATCCAATATAACTATATATTTCAAAAACCTCCTTTACGTATTAGGCATGTACGCTTGATAACTATCAGAGGAAAATATACATATAAACATAACATTTCAAATAGTGATTTATTTGGTCTAAGAGTTGTTGTTTGGACTCCGAATGAAAGAAATACAATAGTCATTGTCCACTGGATCCTCATCGTGCCTCGGCAGTGACTAACAATGCCGATAATGGTAGGGTATGCCTATAGTTATTATCTAGTTTATATCCTTTAAAACTAGAAAGGACCCCCTTAAATTAAATCAAAAGAAAAAGTAAAATACTAAGAAAAATGAGCCCCGATAAATATTGTCCTATATACTCAAGTCTATTAGTACCATTGTATATGCTCTAAAAAGCCATTACATAGCTCAGTTATAGTTCTGTTGCTTACTTCTTTAGCAGTCTAAGGCTCAAACATGATAATATCCTATGACCCTAGATTAATATTGTTCTCATTACCTTAAAACCAATTATTACTGTCATAATGACAGTCGTTATAGATATTATAATTCAACTACAATTCCTCTACTCATTGCTTTGAGTTCAAAAGCTCTTCAGTTACAAAAACCTCCTCTCCACCTACCCCTGCGTAGATAAAATTCACAAAAAGTCCCCTGCAAAATAGATGCAACATTGTTGGTCGGCAACTGCCAACGTTGTTAGATGTTACATGTTGCGTCAGTTTGTTGCATTTCGTTGCATTTGATGCGTGTTGTTGGGAGTTGTTGCTCAAAGTTTGAAACCGGTCAAACTTTTAAGTCAACAACTCTCAGCATTTCTTTTGTTCCGTGATTGCCGAAGCGTATTGCAACAAAAGCTCGTTCAATGTATCAATTATTATGTCAATCAATGTGTCACAATACTGTCTCTTGAAAACTTCAATGTATCAATATTATGTCATAATGCGCTGCAAGTTCCAACATTATTGGGAGTTGTTGCATTCGTTTGCACACATCTGCTAACACCATCCATCAACTCCCAACCGTTTCGGGCCAACAATGTTGGGAGTTATTGCGTCCGTTTGCTCGTAGCTTAAGACATAGGGAGCACATAAAGCAACTTGAAGCAAAGAAAATGCTCTTTTCGGTAAGTGCATCAGACAGGTAAAACAACCCCTCCCTACCCAAAATTTTAAACGCTGACCAGTTGAACTGGACTGGTACAGACCTGTACCACTATGAGTGACTTCGTCAGAAAAGAGTACATTAATTAATTTTTGATTTGAGCTAACTATGTACAACACCGATACACTCGATAATAATTCTCCGTAATTAGAAATTGAGATTCCATTCTAGTATCAGCGACTTCCTTTGGGGAATACATTATCCGCCATATAATTTATTACATTGCCTGCCGGTCGATATCGACCAACCACAAAAGTGAGACTTCCATCCGAAGTTTTTGCTCGACCCATTCCTAACTCCTTGCTGCCTTTCCATACGACCTGAGTAAAATGTCCAGTCCCTCCCTGCCAACCACCACGCCGAAAATTGTAGTCTTTGACCTCTTCGTACCTAATAAAACACAAAAAAGCATCTTAAATCGCTCAATAGTAATTGTGATTACAATATTAATTTTGATCCACGCCTACATGTCAATATAGTCTTCTGCGGTTTTCACAAACGTGAGAACTCTGAAGTTCAAAAGCCGCCTTCACAACTACGTTTTACGCTACCGTCAATCATAATTAGGATCAAAAGCAACGAACCCTGAAACAAAGAAACAAACATAACAGATCGAAATCCACCAATCACAAATCACAAACCATGACCTTTTAAACCCGTTGAAGTGAACTTCTGTGTGTTTCCTAAGAGGTCCGCTGAGATGATTGACAGCAGCGAAGAACGCAAACGTCAGTTGGCTTTTGAACTTCAGAATTCGCGTGTTTTTGAGAAGCGTAGTAAACAAGTGACACAACTGGACCATTGCATGATGCGAAAACACGTTTTAGTTTTTAAAAGATAGATAGCGTTTTTACCCTCCTTACCCCTCGCTACTGGCCCCACCAGGAAAACAACAGTACTCGACCAATTGAAACTTCCCGCGGCGCCTGATACTCACCACATAGTAGTTGCTTGCTCTCCGGCAGAATCAAACTTCCCCGTAAACATAGCTATATTTTCTCCGGCGTCTTTTCTCTCACTCTTACTTGAATGTTGCAACGTTCGGGCTCGTGCCAGTTTCTCAGCCCACCCTTGGGCTTCTCGCGCCAGGTCATCTGCCCATTTTAAGGGCGGAACACCATGCATGGAGCGGAATTTATTGTGTGTGTCCAGTGACTGTTTTGAAAATGATCCTTTTGGAGAAGAAGTGGCTGAGCTTGACGGTGTAAATCTCTCTGCTGAGAAAAAGAAATGATGTAATTTATTTTTTCCCAGTTTCAAAACTAAATAAGGTTAGAATTACACCAGCATCCTATGATGTACAAACATCCGATCAACTCGTGGCGAGAGAATATATATGGTAAATCCTCTATTAATTAGCCCCCCCCGGGGGGCTTATTTATTTCAAACACATTTGGGGGGGAGCTTAATAGAGACGGGGGGCTTATTTGAGAGGGGGGCTCATTTAATTTAACAAAGATGATGGTATCAGTTCTCCATAAAGAACTAAGAATACAAAGTGGAAAATCGCAAATACAAGAAGTTGGAGGTCATGCAGCCGAGGATCAAAAACAAATCCGAACTTCCAGTAGCTTCCAGTTGGTGAATAAACTATCCCAGATCAGTCCACATTAAGTTTTGATTGATTTTAAAATACAGTCTATCATTCATTAGTGAATAATAACAGGGGGACGGAAGGGGGAGCTTAAAAGAGAGGGGGGGCTTATTTGCGGGAGGAGGCTTCACAGAAGATTTAAGTGGGAACATTTTCGTGATCGCTGTAGGAATCGTGTCCTAGTTGTCTGAAAAACGAAACATGTTTAATTTGACCATACCTACCGGCTCAACAAAATGAAAAAAAATAAAATAAAATAAAGGAACAGAAATTAATTAACTAAAAGAGTAACGTTCACATGAACTTAAAGTAAGCTTTAACTTATGCTGAAACTGCATATTGTACGTTAGGGTTTTTTGGTGGTGTGGATATTGTAAAGAAAACTACACGTCCACTAAGCTTAACGTGGAAAAACGTCAGTAGCCGGAGGTAGATTATATGAAGAAAACATAAGGCGCAAGATAAAGCTGTTTGAATTAAGTTTCTTAAATTAAAATTTACCGTATTACTTTGACCAATAAAGGATTCAAGTTGACGCGAAGAAAGCACAAATTATAAACACGCAGCGGACGGAAAGCATGGAAAAACGCCTGGATGTTAGCAATTCAGATATGACGAGAGACATTTTGATGAGTCAATGCCAGTCCATGGCTAGCCTGTTCCAGGCGTTCAGAATGTAGGGACTGCGCAAAGAGATGTGAGTAGGAAAATTAGCGCGACTTCGCGGCACACTTCACTTTTAAATGAAGTTATGATCGTCGCAGTAGTGATTATAACTTAAGCAATTGCAAATTAACCCAAAAAACAAATTATCTGATCGCTAGCCCATGATATCACGATTACTTCCCACATTTACTCAAAACCTTTTTAATTTGTTACCTGACTTAGTTTCCTTGGGCTTCGGGCTACTCCATGAAGACGAGTAAGCAGTTGGTTGAGCTGAAATCAAATCAAACTCAGCAATTACTTATACTCGTGTTGTGACAAGTGAGTTGTAAGGGACCATGCAAAAAACGTTTCCTGTTATCATGGTTACTCACAGATGACTCCGCTATGCTTGCCAATGTCCTGGAAATGCCGGATAATCACGTTCCCGCATGGAGAGTTAAGTTAATGTATGGAGGGTTTACTTTTGAAAGAAATTGTCTACTACACAAAAAGCCTTCCTTGACGACCCCCGGCTTCATTCGTATCTTACAGTAGGACAACAAAAATACAGTTTCTTGGAGCTGGGTCTTTATGGCTTTCTTGAAAACCGAAATCCACATTTTGTAAATTATCTCAGTGAACTAGTAAGGAGCTATTTTCGTGATAACGGAATGACTTTCATTCCGGAAAGAGTTCATTCCATCTCAATATATTTCTCTCTATCATATTTTTTTATTCCGAGACGAAATTTTGTTCCCGTACAAGCCATTCCGGAATGAATTCATACCGGTTTTCATTCCCAATGAAATTCTCGTAATGGTGCGAAATTTCTTTCTGGTATCATATAAACTGAAAACGAACTTCGTTCCGATTGAAAATCGCAAATCGTATAGTCTGGGGGCTTGTTGCGCATGCGTATCTGATCTGGCGCGAAAACCACGCGACCGAGAACGCCAGTCGAGTTTATCATATGAATGCAGTACGAACTTCATTCTGGAACGAAACTCATTCCGGAATGAAAGTCATTCCGGAATAATATCAACAGCCCATAGATGCATGAACGAACTTTTTGTCCTAATCTTCCATTTCAAAATCTGATTCTTCCAAGTCCCGCACTTCGATTACGTTTCCATTCTTTATATTGTTGTTTACATGGAGCGATACATGTGAATAATAATATTAATATAATAGTATAAAGCCCCGGGGGGGGGGGGCACTTTAGGAATTTCTGGGTGGGGATGTGCCGCTGGGACCCTGGAACCCTTGACCTATACCAGAGCTAGTTCAGCTGAATTTTGCTACCCTATACTAGAGTAAACTCCCAAAATCCCCCTATCCTAGAGTAGCTGTTTCCCTAGTCTAGATAAAATCTTCAACCAACTGATCACTTTCCTGAAAAATGATACCCTATTCTAGACCTAAACGCTCTGATTTATATACCCTATCCTAGAGTAAACTGCTTGAAAACCATACCCTTCACAGCGGCACATACCCATATAGCCCATATATGGCAGTACCCCCCCCGGGTATAAAGCGCATTACCGTTCCTATCGCCCCATTTCTCCCACTTGTCTTTTCTGTCTCGAACGGGGTCTGTAAGAAACGATTGGCAAAATCATCCAATAGAAACACGAAGTTAGTCTATTTTAACGTGACTTTTGCATGCTATTAACATAACTAGAGTAAGGATTTTATGAGTAGACGAATACTTGCCATCATCGAATGAGCTTCTTATGTCTCTTGAAAAACTCTCAAATGGATCTGTAAGACAAACATTATTTACTCTCATGAAGTCGAGCATATGCTGAATATTGAAATGTATTAAGGAAAAAAAAATTATATACTAGTACTAACATGAGTGAAATGGAAATAAAATTGAAGTAATGTTGTTTTTGTTGAATAGGCTATATCCTAGTCGCATAAACTCTCCCTAGGCTAAGTGCAAAACCCTTGTTGAGAAAATCAATGGCTTCGCACTTAGCCTCGCTTTAAAACAGAGACTTGAGGCAACTCGGAAACGGCCCATTGCAAGTCAATAGAGCCTTTTCACTCACGCGGTCAGCAGCTATACAAGTTCATTCATGGAAAAATAAAGAAGTTTACCTAAGAAGGATTCAAGTCCCACGGAATTCGTTTGGGGCACTAACAGGCCGCCATTTCTTTGTCTCAAGACACCAATATGGCGGACGCCTGACGTCATGTCAAAACACTCTATAGGGAAATCAGGGTAGTGTACATACCTGGCACTGGACCACATATATCTTAATGCTGCTACATACCTCTTCCTCCTCCATCTCCTGATGTTATAATAGTTCTCGTCACCGTTCTCTTGCCACCGTCACGGTCATAAGTCACCTAAATTAAAGTCATGGTCGTAATTAAGTACAATGTGCACAAATTAGAGGAGACGGTTAATTAATTAGTTGCTTAAGCCAGTTTTACTAATAGAAATTCTCTTAAAGGCTTATAACAAACTAAACTAACATAACATGATTTTATAATAAATAACATAATTGAAATTGTAACTCTCAAAACGAATTACTACCCACTAACCCTTACCAGCAAACTCCCTCAGTTAGCATGGCTACCCGTTACAAGTCTTCATTTGTATTTTTTCATTATTAAAACGTTTCATTCCCTATTGCAAAACGTGAAAACCACCTATTTCCCTCGAATCTCAATGTTTCAGGGGACGAACGCAATGAAACTGAGATATTGAGATTCAAAGGATTTTTCCAATAAAGATCCTAATTAAGTTTACTATTCTTCATTGCAAGGCTTGACGCTGTAGTCCGGAAGGAAAAAATATTATCTTCCTTTTCCTGGTTTTCACTGTTCATAGAGCTGTATATCAAATATACTTACTGTTTCAGTTGTTTCCTGACGTGATGGCCTTCCACCATCATCTCGACGAAAGAACTCTCTTCGAGTTTCAGTTTCATTTCGATTGGGGGACGATCTTCTGTCGTCATCTCGGCTAAAGAAGTTTCTCCGAGGCTCCGCTTCGTTTCGATACGGAGATGATCTTCTATCATCATCTCGGTCGAATATGTCTCTTTTTGGCCCAAATCGGGTATCGTCTCTCGTACTTCTCTCCACAGCACTGTAACTCTTGGAAGCCCCGAGCTTATGAAAAAAGAAGGACGAATTAAATAGACTTAAAATTGGTGTAACAGTGAGGGTGAATTGCGTTTACAGTTAAGTTCTTTTTCCGAAACGAGCTATTTTCTCTGGGTCGTTGCTTACTTAGTCAGGCAATCAGATATTTTACTTTTTTGTTCTTCATCTATCGCGCCGTCTTGGGATACAAAATGCGGATTGATTGAAATCACGATTTTAAACATCGATTATAATAAAGATAAACCTAATGACTAGTAATTTTGAAAGAAGGATTAATCAGGTAAAAGCACGGCATAGTGGTACTTGCAGCCCCCCTAGCGACTGCAATGCTGATTTCAACTTCTTGAGATGGTGACACTGTGAATTAAATTCACTAGCTGATAATGAATTTCATTGAAGAACTAAGCAGCAGGAACTCCTTCCCAAGATAGCTGTCGTTGATCTTTTGACAATGTCTCTACACTGCCAGTAGAAAGAATCAGAACGGAAAGACAAGACTGAGTTTACCTTGGGGTTAACGTTTTCTTGAAAATGATTGATGACGTTTCCCGGTGGGCGATATCTTGCCACGACAATGATTTTCCCATCGGAACTTTTAACTTTTGCCATTCCTAGCTCCTTTGTTTCTTGCCAAACGATCTGTGTAAAGTGACCTGTCCCGCTTTTAAATCCTGGATTTCTAAAATCATAGCTGTTTGTTAAAAAGAAAATCAGCTGTGAGTCATTATATTGGTGTCATTCTTAGACATTACCATCATCATTAGGGCTACGATGCGGCACATGACTGAACTTTCTTCGGTATGAATTAGAGGATAGACAAGACCAATTAGCCCTTACCCATGTTTACGTAATGGATAAGCAAATTTCACTTTGCGTTCATTTGTAATAGAATTGAAAGTGAGAAAAGCCATGCACGAAAAGAGCACAAATGCAAGTATAATTTTGCTTAGAAACAGTTTTTGTTGGTGAAATTTGCGTACAACGTAAACATCCATAAGGGCTATGTATTAGGAGAGAAAAGGACCTAATTAACCTTGGCAAGACAAAGTCTCAGCGAAATTCACAAATCAAAAGTAATTGCACCAATCACTAACAGCCTCTTTGCTCCTTACAATCCGCCACAACTAGCCCGAAACTAGCCGTCACAATCGCCTCATCACGCCCATAAGGAAGGGGTGGAAGCAAAACGTTGGATAAGAAAGCAACTATCGCAAGCTGCAACCGGTAAAGTAAACCTAAATTTGTTGGTACATTATAACTTTCAAACTACTAAAAGTATCGTCTTACTTGTCGACTTCTGCATACCAGCGATCCACGACCTCACCACCATTGACTTCGCTCTTTCCTGTCACAGCATATATACTTTCCCCATCGCTAGTGTCCCCTTGTCTCAGACGGCCATCCTTGGCCAGTTGTTTGGCCCAGCTCTCTGCGTCCTTTTCCAACGATCTTGACCACTTTAGTTGCGGGGCCTGGTGTAGAGATCTATATCTGTTGTGTGCTTCAAGAGCTTCCTTGCCAAATTTGTCAGGCATGTTTCATCTGCTTTAAATTGACAAAAGAAAAGATATGCTTCAAAACATTCACGATTATCTGACATCACAGTTTCTCGTCTGAAAATGGCCTCGAATGAACTTAATAATCTTAGAAAAGCCGTCAGTATAAAAACCACGACTTTTTCAGTTTTAATACAATCTTGATTCTTCAAAACATTTTATTCGTATTCCCATTCAAGTGATCTACTGACTAACCAAAGCTTAATGATCCTTGATTGTCGAAAGTGAAGAGAGTACTTTTAATCAGCTTCATTAAAGTGAATACTTCAAATTCTGAGTTAAAAGAAGAATGTATGAAAGAATTTGAATATGTGTCTCCCTGGTCTGAATTTCAAATACGATCGTTTCGCGTTTTGATGAGAAGGCCATGTCCCTCTCAGTATTATACCCATTTTTATGTCGTTTGTGGCCATTTCATCTACGTCTTACGTCGCTGTTTCCGAGGCCAATATTGTCGCTGGAAACGAGGTTGTGTCGCTTGTCGGAATTTTACCCAACCATGGCCTCATTATAGTAAAAATCAATCATGCAATCAGTCGATAAATGAATAAATATTAAATAAATCGTCAAATGATGTGCAAAGGGGAGGCAAATTAAAACTACAACGCGACTTTCGTTCGATGTGTGATGTCAAGGATTGTTTACAAGGTTAAATAGGTCGCAGAATGACGTAAGTAATCATGCAATGCTGATTGGTTTTATTTTAATCACTGACCGTTTAAACAAAAAGGAAAAAAATAATCTGCAGGTTGCCTCAGGCACCCAATTTATTATGGTGCGGCTTGCAAACAGAAGAATAAATCATTTAGTTGAATTAAAAGAGAAAATTTCCAAGAATATGCGACCTTGATAAAACAATAACAACTGGTGTTATAAAAAAGCGTAGTTCCTAAAACACATTATCTGTAACTTGTTCCCTTTGTAAACTTTGTAGTAGCCGTAGTGAAGTGTGAGCTGGCATAATTAATCAAGTACTGACTTTGTCTAATTTTGGAGTGGTTCAAAAAATTAAACAATATTTTTTCAGTAAACTCATTTTTATTGTTGTAAAAAAGAAACCGCAGGAAATTGAATACAACTATTTGTTCATGTTTTGACGGCGACGGACATAAAAGCACTAGCAATTAACAAAATAATCCGCGTGTTGTTAATTAATGCTGAAGTTCAAGGGTGACTGAAAAAACATGTCATTATAAAATACATGATATGCTTTAAAGATTACAGACGTTTCTACTGGGCTGAGCTGGGATGTTTTTGATAGGATAGGTCATCAATGAAAGCACATGAATGCTGGTAGATAAATGACGATTTTGATAAGCACTTCTGCAGAGTAACCGAAAGACTACACCCTAATCTTGTCAGTTAACAATCTGCGACTTTCTAGAAAAGTAAGCAAAATACCAAAACTGAAAATTCAGAAATGAAATTCGGCCGCACCGACAAGAGGAAACTGTTCTTGATTTTAATTAAAAATTGCCTTCAGTTGTTTCATTTAGATGAAATTACTAGCAACTATTAAGCACCTTTGTTCTTCACCCCTTGCTATTAACTAAAGGTAATAGTGCTTTAGAGCATTGACATTCAAAAACATAAATGCATAATTAACTGCAATTCGACTAGGGCTAGTGATATTGGTGATATTATGTTTACCTTTCGGAGCGCGTCGATTCCTCTGTCTTCTTTAGCCCGCTTTGGCTGGGATAACTTTGATTTTTGGGAGTGCAAATATCTTCAAGTAAATAACAAAATTGACAATAGAACAGCATGAATGTGACGCGATCAGCACCTGTGTCCGTCTTTGTTCTTTCTTTGAAAGGAATTCAGGAGAAAATTAAAATGAAACAATGCAAACCGACAATTACGTTAGAAAACAGCTCGAGCGAGGCGCAAGTATCAGTATACAAACCAACACAAAGGCATCAAGCTGACCTCCAACGATACCAAGTTTTGTAGACACTTCGATAAGACTTTCGTTACGAGTTAACCAAGCCACTCCGGACGCTTATCAGTGAAAGCTATCGATTCTTCGTTATATTTATACTTAGTTGTCAAGATATTAACAATGTTTGTTTTTTGTCTTGTCCAATATTAGCATAATAAGGGCCTTGAGAGGGTTTAGAAAGGCCCAGGCCATGTAAGGAAATTTATGATATTCTCGATGGTAAAATGTATGGGAAACGGTTGGGAAGAATTAAGATACAAGTCTGACACTGCCATCAGATGCGTAAATTCATTGTTGCCCACCATGCTAAGGACTAAGGACAGCGCTTTTTTGATGCACCTTTATGCCCCAAATCCACATACAAATTCTCCAAACTGATCTCCAAGCATGTTCTTAGAGAACTAGCTGAGAGAATTTGAAAAAAAAAATTATTAGAAAAGCATTTTCCCTTTAAGAAATTTCATGAACTTTACATTTACAGCAACACTTTATTAAGTCGGTACTGAAAAACCACGAGATATCACACCAACAGGACCAACTGCAAACATCGACAAGTAAATAACAACATTCTCTTCGCCGTTTCTCATTATGATACATTGCTGTTCTTAGGAGAAAATTGATGTTGGTCATTCTAAAAGACTTCAAGGGTTAAAAATACTTGAGACGTTATGTCAATTTAATAAGGATCAATAGGCTGGCTATTGACGCTTCGCATTATCTTGTTCCCATGGATACTAATTTAAAATGTTGTTTTTAACCTTACAATATTTTTAAAAATAAAGAACCAATGTCATGGACTGAAATCATGCAATCAGGCAATTCATATGACAGGGAATGTCGACATCAATCCGAAGCTCTCATTCTAGTTAGCTCATCTTTTCGTTCCGAGTAGGACAAATTAAAGCATCACTTCTGAGACAATACTAAGAGGTGATGGGAGCGGGGGGGAAGGGGGGGGGGGGCAGAGTACATCAATGCTTAAAAGATGCTCTCCACAGGTTAAAAAGGCTTTTTAAAGCTCCCAGAGTCAAGACAGTCATGTAATGTATATACTATGTTGTTTTACCTTTTGCGTCCACAGTCGGAATCTTATGGTGTTGTCTTATGGTGTGACTTTAACCGTAAACTTCCACTTGTTAAAGCCCGCCCCCACCACACTTATAAGTGCCACCCCCGGTTAATTGTAGACGCATCTACCCGTAAACATCCGGGTGTAAATTCCATTTATGAAGCAAGGACCAGCTTACGAAAAAGAAGGACCCGATCCTAATAAATTAAGATCTAATCAGCAATAAGTGAAAATTATATCAAACAAAAGAAGCAAGGCTGATTTTACAGTCGCCGCCGTGCCTTCCGACATATTGATAAAAATATATTTATATATCCCGACTGTACTGAATCAGCCTTGCTTTTTTTGTATAATATCCGGGTGTAAGCCCTCCCGCATATCAGATTCCCTCTAGGAATGAATTCGATTTTGTATGACATTTTGAAGCAATTAAAAACCAGTAAATTCAAAATCGTGTTTTGATCAGCACCGCTATGTCGATTGTCTTGAAACGCTAACCTTATAAGCCCTCCCGGGATACAACCCCCTGCCCCCTTGTCTAGATACCTGCCTTAGTATAAAGGGCAAGACTTACAACTAATCTAACTAACAACCGAGCATACATTACCTTTCAACGTTACTTGATTTTAAAAGTTAGAGTTCATGGGGGGTGCTTGGAAGTAGTCACTGATCCAAGTCACGTTCTCACGTGCATTCCCTAAAATTTTAATTTAAAAAGGTCAAATCTCAAAAAGTGTGCCAAACGGCATATTATTCGCCGATCATGACAAAGCAGACGTTTATGACTGGCATAAATTAGAAAACGTCTAAAATGAGTTCAAACTATTAGGCCTTCCATGTTAAGGTTTATAGCATAAAACCTTTGAATGCAACAACCTAACTCTCATCGCTACGTGGTTCAAGCTTAACACGCACACCACGGACGCACACGCAGCTATAATTATTTAGGAAAATACATGTATGACGAAAATCCCCGGGGCTTGGGAGAAAATCTCTTAATATTTGGCCATTGAACATGTTGAGTCTTCAACAAGGAATATGATTCCACTATTTAGAGTCTGGAACAGGGTGTCTTTTTCAACCGGAACTAGGCTGGTGAAGTGTGAAGGCTGGCGTTTAGCGGTCTTCAAGTGTGTTAACCAACAATTTTTTTTTCTAATTCCATAATGCTAGATTATAAATTTACTCAATTCTCTCATTGATTCTGTACGCGCGAAACGAAATGAAAATTAATCAGAGTTCTGAAACTGAAGGTCTAGCGAAATGAACGATTTTTGGCTTCAACAGGGTCAATCAGCGGCGAAAGAAAATTAAATTAATCTATTTGTACCTTACTTACGCAATAGTTGTTGAGTACAAATCCAAACTCTTTTATCCAAGCCAAGACGTATTCCACCAGTCTTCAAAAATCTGTTTAAACTGCTGGAGTTCTTCTCTGAATTTTAAGTTGCACTCTGATTGCGTTGCATTGTTCAGCGTGAACTTGTCACGCGAGTGTCAGGAGACAATTAACGAATGGGTAATATGGGTGGATGAGATCGTCACGCGCTGTTCTCCCGTACGATCGTCACGGTCGCGATCGAGCACCTACATCTTGCTTCAAATGTATCGAGTCTAGCTTGGGATGAATATTAAATGTAGGTGGGGGCTCCTAGTGGGGGTTATTGGGCTGCCCGTGACGCAAAGCGCTCGATCTAGACGGTCGATCTTACGGGAAAAAAAAAAAAAACAGGGGAATGGGAACAGTACAGTAGAGTGGAACGTAGATACAACAAAGGACCAAAGGACTGGCAAAATGTGCTCGCTATAAGGAATTTTAGGCATTGTATAGCGGCTGTTGAATGCGCAAAGCGCACTCCCAGACCTCGCTCAATCGAAGGAGAAGTAGCGTGCTACCTTAAATCGCATTACTCTGTAACCTAGTTAACTACCATTAATAAATAAATAACTTAGAGGCAGCACATCCACAAAATGATTCTTCATCTACTATTCCTGATTGCATTACTGTACAGTACAGTACAGTACCCGAAGAAAAAAAACTCTCGAAACAAGGGAAAGAACCAGCAAAAAACTCAACCCACATATCGCGTCGACGGGACGGGATTTGAACCCGTGTCAGTGTGAGAGGCGAGTGCTCACACCACACCGCGCCACCCCTCCTCCCCAAATACAAGATACACAATACAGTGGAATCTCTAATAAACGGACACCCTCGGAACGCGAAAAAGGTGTCCGTAGCTGGAACTGGCCGCTCAGAGAATGTAAAAATACAGAGTTTTTATGGGAGTTGAGAAAACAGCGTTTTGTGGAGGTGGCCATAAGAAGAGCTTTCCGCTCAAGCTCGCGGTTACGAGAGTCCGTGAGGAGAGCTTACACTGTACGTTCAATATAGGCCATTTCCTAGTTCCCCCGGGCCTCTGTTTCAAAACGAGGGTAAGTGCTCAGCCTTGGATATGGAAATCATGAATAAAACTTATTTTCACAAGAAAGAGTTGTGCACCTAGCCTCATTTTGAAAGCGAGGGTTTTTGGAACCAGTCGGAAGTGGCCTATTATAACGGTTCGAGATTTGTTCGGGGGGGTTGGGCTAAACACTGAGGAGACAAGACTGCCGAACTTGCAGATGACATTTTCATCATTTTCTTCATCTTTGATTTACAGATTTAATTTTTTTGCGTTGATTATTTTATTACCGTTTTAGCTTGCAATACACAAACTAATACTACACTCCTGGCCAATTACACTTTGTTTTTAACAATTAGTAGTTTTTATATCACCAATAGTTACTCCTTTTTCGATTCTCACTAAAACTTTATGTTACAATAAAACTTAAGTCACTTAATGCTAATTTATATAATTATTCTAAAAGATTGCCTAGTTTTATCATGCCACGCTATATAAAATCAGACACGCTCCTTAAATATTGTGATCCCGATACTTCCAGCTCTTACTTGTTCTTTCACTATCGATCATCTATTGTATTTAGATACTCTATTTCTTATTCCTTGAGAACTAATATAAATCTAAAGAAATCTATCGAAAAAGTGTAAATTTCGATCAGAGTTCCCGCAGCCGGTTTATGATCATGTATGCTTCATGTCAGTATAAATGAATGGGAATTGAATTGACAGGTTTTTGTAACGAGACATTTAAAGCTTTTCAAAATCTGGTATTTAAGGTAATTTATTAATTAATTAATTTATTTTCGATACTTATACTTTATAACTTTCCAAATTTATACTTTATAACTTATAGTTTTCTTAATATTTGCATCCTCTTTACCATAGTTGTAGAATGAAAACTATGCATGATAAAGCTAATGTTTGAGAAACTTAAATTTAAAGCAAGTGACATTCAAACCAGTATTTAAATCAGATCAATTAATTCTCAACCCTTAAACACGTTTTCTTGAAAATGATTCAGCAAATTTCCTGCAGGCTTATACCTCCCTACGACGAATGTCAGGCGGCCGTCAGCAGTCTGGGCCTTACCCATTCCTAGCTCCTGACTTTCTTTCCAAACCACTTGCGTGAAATGCCCAGTGTTGCCTTGGAAACCAGGCTTATTGAACCGATAATCCTTCACCTCAGAATACCACATATTGGTGGCTTCTTCGCCAGCTGTTTCAAATTTACCAGAAAACATTGCGATGTTTTCACCAGTTCCTTTGCGTTCGCTTTGGGACGCATGCTGTAGTCTGCGTTCACGAGCTAACTTCTCAGCCCAGGCCTGCGCGTCTTTTGCGATTTCTTCCGACCATTTTAAAGGTGGCACTTGATGCTTGGCACGGTATTTGTTGTGCGCCTCTAGGGCCTGTTTTGCAAACGCTTTTTTAGACGTAGAGCTGGGCACGTGCGGAGCTCCTTGAAAAGAATAGTCATGATTTAACTGATTGCGTTACCCAGTTTATTTAAACAGAATTAGAAAGTTAGTATGGTAAAGGGTTCTTTTATTTTTCTTACTGAGTTAAACGTGGTCTCTTAAATAAGAAATTAAATATACATGTCAACTGAACTTACTATTTGTTCTTAAAAAATTTAAGTGGTATATCACAAGCACTTGACAATAACTTAAAAATAATAAATATTATTTTCCGAATAATAATGCCCCTTGGCAAGTTGTTGATCTTCTTATTATCAAGAAATGGATATGTCTTTCCGTATTAACACTACGTCAGTAGTTAAATTTGCTGCTACATTAAAAAAAGATAAGTAGAGAGGGTGGTTCATCACTACCCTGCATGCACTATTCACGTGGCACCTGTGCCTCGTTAAAATCTTAAAATTGAATTGCATAAGCGAAAAAGACTTGTCTCTTTCAGAAGTGACGATAAAGACCATAAATGTTTTGAGTTCAGTACGATAGTCTCAGGCAAGATATTCTTGCAAACGCTTTTTTAGACGTAGAGCTGGGCACATGCGGAGCTCCTTGAAAAGAATAGTCATGATTTAAATGATTGCGTTACCCAGTCTATTTAAACAGAATTAGAAAGTTAGTGTGGTAAGTTAGTATGATAGTCTCAGGCAAGAAATTCTTGGTTATGCAGCCCCTCGTCAAGGTAGCCATTTTGTTGGTCAATACGATAAAATTTCCTCTCCGAGAATCTGCATAAAAATGGAGTTTTGTTCCGCCAGAGGAGAGAAACGCTTTTGTCCTTAGCTTGACCACCAACATGGCCGCCGTGACGTCATGTGCAAACCAGCATTACGTTTGACAACGTTCAATGACTAGCTGGATTATCTTTCATTACTTTCAACTGAGTTCTGTTATTATCTACTGTTATTATGTGTGTTAGAACAGCCACATGAAACAACAGTGTTTCACCTCCTGCTGTTGAAGACGGCTTGGTATCCCGGTCGCCTGCCCGGCTGGAACCTAAGGACTCTACAGAACATGTACAAATATTTCATTAATCTGATTAATGACCAGACGGGTTTAAAGCTGCATAGATGGTCATTAGGCATTGATCAGTACGAGACTTAATCACATAATTATGATACTGTTCACCCATGTAACTCCTCATAATCCTTCCTCATCTAATCTTTTTCTGAAATTACGGTGTTTGTTCAGATTTTTGGGAAGTAAAATCTCTTTTTCATCGACAAAATGGAAATAAAAAAAAACTAGAGCTGAAGTTTTCGAGAAGGTAGTTTTTGATATTATGATCACTAGATTTTGCTGCAGATGAAAAGTTTTTAGGGGAGGTAAAAAACTATGTTAAGTGGTTTTGAACTATATCCTCGTTGGGTGCCCCTGAAAACTAGAGCGAAGCAAAACATTACTGCTGCTAGGAGGTAAAACGGCTGCTCTAAGTGGGTGCATTGTTAAAAGGGAACTAGAACGATGCTTCTCATTTTAGTCAGTGCAGCTAAAATCCATAATAGAAAATTATCGGCCGTCGCTTATTTCCCTTTCTTAAACGGTCTTTGCGATTTTTAACGGTCGATGCTACCACTGGTAACCAAGCCTTTAGTCATGATAGATGTCATATATTCCCGTTATAATAAAGAAAATAATACGTCTTTTAATAGTCTTAGAAAGAGCGACGTTGAAGCCCAAGTTGAAATTACGTTAAAAGTTATGGATAGAGCTAGGGTCACCTGTTATTGACGTATCATTTACGAAAAACAGTTTGTTAGTAATATGTACTCAAATTTTTCGGAATTCTGGCAGGTCGATGTGGAAGTATAGTGGTAAGGGAGAGACATAATCATACGAATGGTCCAGGTTCGAACCTGCTTTGCGATAACAGAAACACTCTCAGTAACAGGTCAAAAATTTTCTAAGTGTCTTAAAAAGGCAGCCACCGTTTACGAAAGAGACAACTGCTACCCCCCTCCCCCGACAAATACCTGTACCTTCCTTCCAGCAAAACCAGCGCCTTTTGAATAAAATTTCAAAACATTAGAAAATCATGCTGGAAGAATCAGACGGTACCGTATTCACCCCACCGTCCCCACCCAGCCTTAGGTGGAAGAGCAGGAGTTACAAAAAAGGGCCATTTGTGAGGTAATAAATGTTCACCCACCTTGAGGAAGGGCCTTTCTCATGTCTCTAGAAAAGTTACTTCGTTCGCCTGTTTCTGCAATATACAAATAATTTCATCATATTAATTTGTCGTTTCCAATCGACAACCTGGTTTCTTATAATTACGGAATGTTTGGCAACTAACGTTACTTGAAGACTGCAGTGTACTTACCATGGAAAGTTTGAGTTGTGACAGTTTCTTTAGAGAAGCCCTTTTGATCTGCAATGTACCAGAAATCAGAAAGAATAAAAAGCAAAACTTACGTTGAGTACACTTAGAACATGAAATCAAGGGTTGTGATTGACAGCAGTACTTTTTTCAAGAGCATCCGCATTTAGCTGCAACTGAGGGTGCAGAGAGGCAGAAAAATGTCATGGCGCAAGTCTCGAACTTGGACTTAAAGATCAAGGTGGGGAATTAGGGGTGGGCCGAGGGGGGCGCAGCCACCCTTTTTCTTTGAAATTTTGTGTTATTTTTAAAAAACTCTCAGAAAAATGAAAGTATCTATAATATTGCTGGCAAGTGGGCAAGTGGGCAAGTGTCTCGGCCACCCCTTTCTGAATTTTCCGGAACCGCCCCTGCAGATCCTTAAGTCCTACGCAAAACCCGATGAAGTTATACACAGAGAACGTGTTCTTCACAGCACCTCAGGACAAATCTGAATCAAGTTAAGAAGCAATGTCATCAATTGACGTTACGTACCATTTCCCTTAAGAGTTACCGTTACTGTAGATACCACGGTCTTCTTAGTGCCATCTGGATACGTCACAACCTTTTATTTAAGAAGGAAAAACAAAAAACAAACAAAAACAGCAACCCTATCATGTCTTTACTTATTCCACCTAGTATACATAAATTCATAACTTACAGAGGGATGCAGACAACTGACAAAATCGTTATTATTATCATTATTATTATAACCCGGCGATCTCCTGGCCTTTAAACTTTCCATCAATTTTTCGAGAGCCCACATTATGCGAACATTATGTTACTGGAAATAATAAAGAAAATAATAATAATGGTAATAATAATGATAATAGCAGCTCAAAACCATTATAAGAACTGGGGACACGATAAATTTGGCTGCCGTGCAACGAAACCTGGTATATGATTACTCTAGATCTCCAGAGGCAGTCAAAGAAAATGACCAAGTAAAGTTATCAGACATCAGACAGATTAAGTAAAGTTATCTGAATTCAGACAGATCACCATTTAGACCACAATAGACTTGATTGTCGATGTAGCTCAGTTGCCTTTTGCTACACGCGTGGCAGAAAAAAACAGATCAGAGAGAAGATCGACCACTATCAGGACTTAAAGAGTGTGGAGATGCAAAGATCCGGAACTGCAGAAGTATATCCCTATTGTAATTGGGGCTCTTGGGACTGTGAGTAAACACCTCAATGGGGATCAGCAGTAAGTTGGGAACACCTGGAATCCTGATTGCATCGCTTCAGAAAGCTCGTTTGCTGGGCACAGCCAAGATCAGAAGAAGGACCTTAGACACCTAAGGCTATAGGATATATCTTCTAGATGATTTGGGCAAATAAGGCCACTTATAGGGGTGAGACATGAAAATAATAATAATAATAATGATAATGATAATATTTTTTTAGCGTTTTATTGTGTTGAGCCTTATTTTGTTGTCTTTTTTTAGAGAATTTACATAGATACTCTTTGAAGCCATGCAACAAATAGAGTTAGCTTGCAGTTGTGTTAAAATTTATTACCGTTTCCTCTTTTCTCTGAGACGATGCTCCGTCTCCACTTCCTTGCGATCGCTTTTCCTCATGCTTCCACTGAACAGGTGTAGTCTTCTTTGTCTCCTTTTCAGGTATTTTCACAGGTCCATCCTGCAAGAAAAAATAATGTTAATTCTTTTTTTAACCTTGTCAAAGCGGTGAGTTAAAAGGCTTGAAGCAGTTTACTAGAAATATAAGCGCGGTAACAGTTAAATCTTAATGTCTATGTCAAAGGGTGTTAGAATTATCACAAAAATAGTTTTAAACCGGCATCAAGATACAGAGATAAGCAGTGAATTGTTAGTCTGCAGAGCAGGCGTTTTTTAACGGAAACTCGGATGTACATTGATCGCGGCCCCATCTTTAAAAGCAAAGGAATAGGGACGAGGGGCCTTTTAAAACCCATGCCACCAACCTCTCCTTTAAAATCAGTTTTTGACTCGTCCCAACTCTCTGGTAGTATTAACGTCCAAGATGACGAGACAACGTTATTCCCGAAAACAAATCATGTATCGCGCTCCAAAATGCGCCTGCTTTGCAGGCTAGTAACTTGTTAGAATACGCACCTTTGAAGGGAAGACATTTTCTCCAAACGCCCGCATATTATTTCCTGCCGGTCTATAACGACCCACCACAAACACCTTCCCGTCAACACTCTTGGCCTTGCCTATTCCCAGTTCCCTACTTCCTTTCCAAACAACTTGAGTGAAGTGGCCTGTGTTCGTCTGGTAACCAGACTTACTGAAGTCATAATTCTTCACCTCGCTGTACCAACTGTTCACGGCATCACTTCCGTCAATTTCCCGTCCAAAAACCATGAACACGTTTTCCCCGTCGCTCGTATCGTCGTGGCGAAGGCGACCTTCTCGTGCTATTTTCTTGGCCCAGGCCTCCGCGTCACGAGCAAGGGCGCTGGACCACGAGAGAGCGGGCGCTTGATGGGCTGCACGGAACTTGTTATGGGTTTCAAGAGCTTCTTTGCCAAAGGTATCCATGATTTTGTTTCAATTAAAACTGGAAAAAGAGATGTCATTAAAAGTAAACATTAATCAAGTAAACTAAGCGCCGGGAGAATCGAGAACAATCAGTGAAAATTAAAGGTGATATAAATGAAAAAAGATGGTGAATGAATGCTCCTTATAATGAAATGCTTCACGAAAGAGCACGCTAGTATAGTATGGAAGACTGAAAGAAAAATGTGAGTAAACTTTTTGGATTCAAATCTATAATACCGACGGCCAGGAGTGCCCGGTGCTTTATCCAATAAGTAACGCATAGACTAATGGATAGCAAGGCCACGAGACATAGTAGTTTACCTCTTGGTCTTTCCAGGTATGTTTTTACCTTGTACCCAGGGCTTTTCCAATGGAGATCAAGAACTCCATTATCTTAGGCAAAAGCCCTGGGGACGAGGTTGATGAAGATAGACGGGCCGGGGAATTTTACGTTACTATAGTTTACATACGGTATCGAAAAATGAGAAAAACGGATTGAATTAACTTTTCTTTCATTAATGTTCACAAACGAAGTTAAGTATTAATTTGTTGGCATCAACCAAAACGTCCCTAATCACGAACATCCCAAATTTCTCGTTATAAGCGGACCTTACTGTGAAATCTTTTAGTTCTATGGAAACTAAAATATACGCCTAATTTGTTTCCATACTCACATCGTCGAGCAGAAAAAAACCTGTCAACAAACAACATACTCGATCACCAAGGCAAAGCAAATTGGCCCGAAAAAATTTTCATTAAAACTCTAATATATCATTCTGTAATCATGATTTATTAAGGAATAAGGATATGAAATTTAATTTAATCCACTTCATAACTATGATCGAAAATCCCAAATGTGATGTACTGCTTGACAGTCAGAACTTTGCGGTTATAGCGGTAAACTACCTCTCTCCTCTGCAGAGGCCTGTTGTGGGGAGGCTGAGGAGAAAGAAAAAGAGAGCGCGGGGTCTATTTTCTCGATTATAGCTATTTTTATAAGGATACCTAGTGGGAGCTTCTGCGGAGGAGAGAGCGTAAACTCCATTGACAAGATTGAGTGTGTTGAAATAATACAAGTGAGAGATTTAACATTTCAAACGAAGCAGGAGGTCTGATTTGCTGATCGATGACAACGAGAGTGGCTTGCATCGAGCAGGTGATAATCACTTCGAAAATATCTGAGCCTTATGCGCCTCATATGATATCGCAGGAGTCACGACTCCAGAGCTTTTGTGCCTTATGCGTGCATGCGAAAAAACAAGGGAAAAAAAAGAAACAAACAATTTATCAAAAAGATGAAACTTTTGCGAAATGTGAGCAAATTAAAGTATATGGAAAATAACTGATTTTACTCATAAAAGGTTGGCACCTTTCTACTATTTGTACGGTGAGCAAACGAATGAATATTTCATTTTCAAGACGAAATACACTGTTGTTTATTTTTATTTCTTATCGCTCATGATATAACAACCGAGTTTAACCGTCTCATTTATAGGTTTCAGAAACATATTGGTCTGTTTATTAAGGTGGAACATCTTGTGATTTAACAGATAATAAAAATAATGTTTCACATATCATCATATTATTCTCTTGAGACGAAAAAGTGTTGGAAAAACATGTTACCAAGGACTACATAAAATTAGTAAAGATATTATGCAAATTTCGCATTCGGATATGACACGTTTGTAGATGTATTGAAAAAAAATTGATGTGAGCTTAGCATTTTTGTTTTTTCAAGCTTGGTCGAAGGCTTTTAAAGTTATTCTTAGCAAAAAATGCTCAAAGAAGACAAAAAGAGGAAAGATACCTTGGTCTGAAAAGTAAATTAAAATGCAAAATCTCAACGAAACATGCAAGTGACGATTTGTTCAAGTACAATGAAACGATCGACCGACTCCAAAATGGATTACGTTCCAAATAACCCAGCAAATGCGCCCATTTTCCGCTAATGTCAGGATGCCGTTGACGATTCTTTGGCAACTATGATTTGCTTTCCAGTCGAGCAAGCTTTTTCAAAAATTTAAGTCAAGATCAACTTAAACATGTGCATTCGAATACAAAAGTGAACAATAACATCATTGCTACCAGCGCGCGTTTTTGCGACTAACCTTGGCCAAAAGGATTCCAACTGTGTCTGAAAAATTGAATGGTTAGATCTTTCACTAAACTGAATTAAAGGAAGGCAAAGCTTGACTGGATCGGTCCTAGTGGGAGAAAGTTGGTCCCCTTAGTCCGTTGTGTCTTTGGGCAAGTGCTTTTAAATTAGCTTCTCGGAGCACAATTCGTCGGGCTAGGCAACCCGGGGGATGCACTTTCGTATAATTGGCCTAGACAGATCCTTGCCGCGGGGCAGAATATCGCTGATATTGCTTTAAACGTGTATATATGATTCTGTTAATAAGTTTGACGTAAAAAAAGCTCTGAAACTGCCTTGCGCCGTCCACGAAAACGGACATAATCAATTTTTGCTTAATATTAGATATTATTTTACAACTTCGCGAGAAAGTATGCTATTCTGATTCTGATCAGGAAGGGTTATCAATGCAGAACACTTGGTGTGAAACCAGTGGCAGCAAGGATCTTGATACTAAACAAGCTGAGGTTTATCGCCCCTTTAAGTCTGGTTATTTTTGTTTAATGTTGTTTTAGAAGTCAGAGTTTGAAACTTTCAGCAGCACCTCTACCCAGAGCACGGTCCAAGCACCCCCCCTTAAACCTGGAAGCTAACCTGCAACCACCGTGGGCTCGCACGTGTCAGTAATTGAGTTGCAACAGGTCTTTTAGTGAGCAAATGATGGATATGGGCCAAGGGGATATGGCTGTGCATTCAAATTTAATGAGCAATGTCAGACATTTCCATTTGCTATCCGCCCAGATTACTTGGTTTATGTCGTTTTTTCTTTAAAGGAGCCTGGTGTATATGTCGTGGTTCAATTTTATCCTCGCTTTAATTTTTATTTTCAGTCCGAATTTGTTTCAACTAATTATCATACATTTCTATTTCACACTGAATTGGCCTTTTTTTCAGCAAGAAGACAGAAGAAAATGCAAATTTGCATATGGACAGTCTGATCACATTTATATCAGTCTAGAGTAATAATGCTGTGGATTTGACTATAATTGTGACCGACCCAACAAACTGTCAGTTTTACTTAACTTGCTGACGTTCTGATCTATAATATATATCCTCTTTACTTCTGCAATTATAGAATTTTATTGTAATACACCTGGCCAGATTTGGTAAAATCTTAAAATGGAAATGATTTTTTTCGAAACAATTGCCAACGAACGTCTGGTTCAGCAAAATGGCAGACGCCACGGAATTTTTTCCACAAAGTTAGAACTGTTTTACTTGGCTCCGATGGAAAGAATTCAGAAAACAACATCAAATCAGCTGATAACACGCCGGCACGTTCAAACGTCATGAGATATTATTCCTCTTATTAAAAACACGCTACTGTGGAAATGGAAAAGGTGCCGGGGGTGCGGCCCGGCTACAAGCCAGAACTTGATTTAACTTAAGCGGTAGTCACGTACGATAAAAACATTTTTTCCCAACTTCGGTTATACCTCTCGATTTTCAGATGTGAACAAAAGACGTCATATCAAACGCATAGTTAGTAGTGTTTGCTTTTGGAACACTATGCGTCATGTTGTCATTACTTTATAGAGATGTGATGGTGCTTCGTGTAATGCCATATACTAAGAAAATCCTTATGTGAGCTATCGGACCGCAAATGGAGGACTCGTATTCGCAACGAAAAATAATAAGTGCAACTCTTATCAGAAAGCCGTCTAGCTTAAATCACGAGCCAATTTCCCTCCCCCTTTATCCCGCACTCTTTAGTTAGACTTCAAGACAGAATTACTAAATTGCATCTTGATACCAAGACACGATCTGCAGCCATGAGCAAACTTGTTGTTCCCTGCGTTGAACAACCACTCATGGCTTACACTCATTTAGTTACGCATCAACATCGATGTGGAATGCACTAACTAAGCACCAGAGGCCCATTTCTCAAACGTCTCAATAATAAACGCGCTCGCAAAGCCGTTGTTGTTTACATGCAAGATAAAGGTTTCAATAGCTTTGAGTCTAACGTGATAAAACTATCAGTTAATGAAAAAAAAATGGTCCAGGAATAGTTTTCTGGCCAGGACCCGCGCTCTTATTCTTTTTATTTCGCGGTTTGAATATTCGATTTCGGGCCCGAAAAGTTACTTTGTCCGACAAGGCAAAAGCTGAATTGCAAAACTAAAACTGTTGTGGAATACCAGTGAGCGTTATGGATCATAGCAGGTAGCCATTCGCCCATGGCAAACGGTCCTGTCACAACCGTACCGCTCATTAGGTTTATATTCAGAAATAATCAGTATCTATTTATCGTCTGAATATAGTAAGACTGACTCAGTATAATTGACATGCTAATTTTCCTCAATGTCTTAAACAAACCTGACAATTCTTTAAGCCTCTGTGATGACCAAAGTTTTAATTAGCGTTTTAATTTTTAATCATTATCATGGTAGTGTGCATATAATATTTTCAGCTGTGAGTTTCTTCCCTTTTTAGCAAAAACCATGCGGTCTAATTTGCTCTTTTGTTGCGTAACCATTAATGCTGGGCCATGCCCACATACTGCAAAATAGGATAACAAACTGATCTTAAACTAAGCTTCGGAGAGGACAATATGTTGCCTTCTACGATTTTTCGATCAGAGGAAATTAATTTCACCTTAGCTTTTATTTTTTTCCCTTCAAACCGGTACCGTAATGCTGATTCATTTCTGTGGATCAGTGAACGCACGTACTCCTTCTCCGTTTTCTCAGAAGTTACGCCGCTGTTTAAACATTTGCTTTAGAATCGTGATCCGGTGCCTATAGTTGCGATCTTATTACGTCTGGTCGATCGACTGACTCACTTTAACGAAATAAGAGGGCGATGAGAAACGAAACACTTTTTGACCTTTTTGACTATCGATCTCTTTATGCATGAAACTGAGCCTCGAGAAAAAAAGAGGAGAAAATAAAACGTGACCCCAAGAAGTTATATTTACATTAACTATGCAAGATAAAAAGCTCAATTTGTTGATACAGTTACCTCGTTTTCTGGCTGAGGACGGAAGATCAGAATTCCAAACTCAGGCAAGGCAATTAAGAATTCTGTTGGGATTGTGTTGTGAATTAAATTTAGAATTAAAATCATGCTCATCGCCTCAGGCACGCGTTAATAAATGACATAAATAATATAATAACATTTGCTTTTACTTTTCGGTGTAGATCGTCCAACATTCATTATCCAGGCGTTGGTTTCATGAAGAAGAAATGAGAGAAGCTGCCACAACTCAAGTTAGGGTCTATTTTTAAAATCTCAATCAGGGTATAACCCAACAATTACATCATTTGAATTGTCAAAGAAGTTATTTTATCGTTGAAAATTCTCTTGAGCTAATTACCATACCCCGCAGGGTGGTATGTAAAAAAGATAAATAATTATAAATTATGGAGTTCTTTGTTCTAGAAAACAGAACATATAGACGAGAATCGAAATTATTCATTCTATTAATGAAACTGAGTAATGTTATATGACTGTCTGCTATAGATTACCCCTATAGTTTATTTTCACATTCAGTGGAGGAAGTTGTCTGCGGAGAGTGGGCGTTAACCGAGGAAGATGTATACTGCCATCATCCGGAAACTGTTCTTTCAGCGACAGTGATTCTGCATTCTAAATATTTTAAATTAAACTTTTGTCGATAATATGAAACTAAGTCGTGCGTGTTGGTTTATATTCATAAGAGTTTCAAGTAAGTATATATGTGTTGTTGTTAATTTTTTATCTCAGGTAATTCTTATTTTTCTTTTGTTTCAACTTCACTTTTTTAGCATACATAACCATACACAAAAACAAAAGAAAAACAAAAATTACCTGAGATAAAAAATTAACTACAACGTATATATATATACGAAGATGGCAAAAACAGCTCAGCCACAGAAAAGCGAAGGGAACACGTGTAGCTGTAGGAAAAAAGAAGACTGCCCGCTAAGCGCAGAATGCCTGGTATATATATACGAAGATGGACAAAAAAAGACAAAACAGCTCAGTTCCACAGAAACCAAAAGACTTGAAAAGAAGGAATGAGAACACGCAACACCTGTAGCTGTAGGCAAAAAAAAGATAAGACTGCCTTACACCAACCTTACAAAACGCGCAGAATGCCTGGTGAGTGAACAAGTCAAGGGTCTCTACAAGACATCACGGTCACAACCGGAGACATGTTAAAAAAGAGACATGTTCAGTTGTAGGCGGCCGCGGGCTTTTCGCGGGCATGATTTTCAAAATTATTTAAATTTCAAACGTTACAAATTCGAAATATCAGCCTATTATTTGTTTTCTATCACGCAATCACTTTTCTTGATGTAGACTCTGACGTTATACGTAGCCGTTTCTATCACGCAATCACTTTTCTTGATGTAGACTCTGACGCTTCAGTGTTATAATGGAGTTTAACTGAAGAGTGGGTCACCTTTTCGGTGGCCTACGAAACAGGCTTGTATTAAATACCCATGCACTCAGGATTTGAGTAGTTCACCTACTGGTCTATACATATATATATATATATATACATATATATAAGAAAAGCACATAGTAACGATTTGATGATTATATATAATCATCTAACTTTGTAATACCTCTCGAAATTTCTAATAAACAGTGTCCCAGTTACAAGTTGTCGCATTTTGCAACAACTAGCTTCTGTTGCAATATGTAGCAATTCTGTTGTAGTTTATAATAAACTTTTTGAAAGCGATTCAACTAAATCTTGTCAAAAACGTGGATGATGCTATCAAGCATAATTTACGACAATATATCTCCGCTCAGTTTTAACCAGTCTGAAGTTTATGCCATAAAAATTGGTTGTGCGACTTGCGAAATTCTGTTACACTGAAGCCTCGTTATAGTACAAGTGGCTTGCGCATGCGTGCAGTACCACTATGCTCTAAGTAATGCATGACTGTCGTAATGCTTCCTAATTTAGTTGATAAGTGACGTGGTTTGAAATCCGGCAAAGTTTCCTTCGTCTGACCCACTTTTTAGGTGATTTCAGTGATATATTTAGTGCATTTTATTGGACAAAACTTATTGCCTCATACGGCGTCTACTGTGTTAAAAAGTTTTGCTTCATGACATTTTCACCAGATTTGAACTTGTCCTTACTTAGTAGTATTGTGTACGTGCGCATGTCTACTAGGAAATTCTTCAACTTTTTTCTTCATTTTAAGACCTGTTCAACAAAAATAGCTCAAAACGTAGGCTAAGAATTAGCTGAAGCTAGGGAAAGGTTTAAGTTCTGAAATTTCTAGTTTCTTCGATCCGTTACATAGGATTCAATCCTCCTGAATATTGACTTCGCGGTTCGTATATCCCCTTTGATTAAGTCATATGAGACAAATTTATGACGGAAGACATGTTGATCAATAATTTAGTTTTACTTCAGAAGGGTGTTCGGGCTTGTCTTCCACTCTAATGCACGAAATCTCGATCTCTAGCCACTGTACGTGGTGTTAAGTCCATATTGAACGTATAGGCTCATCCGAATGGCAGGAGTGGAATTAAAACTCTCTGTCTACAATTGTTTACCAGGTTCTCGATCAATACACCGGAAGAGACTTTTACCTCCTGACGCATTCCTAGCGAATCCTGAAAATTCATTCTAAGTACCGGATTTGTTTTGCCAACGCATGCAGATTCAGTTAATGACCCCGAATTAAGTCCTCCACACCCAACAGTTGGTTGCGTGTCTAGAGACTTCTTTCTTGAGAATGAATGTTCTAAGATTAACCGATGTGTTAACGCCTACGAATGCGAATACCCAAAATGTAAAAAAAATCCAAATCACTTATCTATACCGAAAACAAACAGCAAACAAACAAACGAAAATCAGACAAAAAGATTTAGCCTGTGCCTAATAGCTTTATTTCGACATGGTCTAAATTAACATCGATAAATATACTTCCTCTATTAAAGACCAGTTTCAAACACCGAGGTGACTGTAAGTTATTAATTACTTAATAACTTCTTTTAGCTTTTAAAACGTAATGCTTTTTTCTTACCGATGAATATGTCTAGTATCATTACCAAAGTCAATACAGGCCCAATGCACTTAAATAAGAAAACTACTTTTTCATAATGTATATTTTAATGCGTTTTAGTGGATCATCACTGCACACTATTGTACTTTAACTCCTGCTGATAAGTCTATAGCAGCTATTTATAAATCGGGCATGGTTTATCAACCGACTGGTCGCTACACGCGTTTACTATTAATGGCTAAAACACCTCCATGCTCACGTTTAATTTGTTTCAGCTAGCTAGAGGGGTAACATTTTCTTGAAACTTTTTTAGCACATTTCCCGGAGGATTGTATCTAGCTACCATGTACATCAGTCTCCCATCTGGACTCTTACACGTTCCCACCCCAACTTCACGGGTATCTCTCCACACAATCTGGCTAAAATGACCTGTATCAAGGCTAAACCCTGGTAAGTCATAATTATAGTTCTTAATCTCTGAATACCATACTCTTACAGCATCAGCAGCATCGTAGTGGCTAGACATGCGACAGATGTTTTCACCCTTATATTTTCTTTCTTCTTTACTTGCGTGACACAGTTCACCACTCTTCGACAACTTCTCAGCCCAAACTTTCGCCTCGCTTGATAGTAAAGAGGACCACTTTAAAAGAGGCACGTTGTGAAGGGAACGTAATTCGTTGTGCACTTGTAACACCTTCTCAATAAAAGCATCTGAAATACAGGAATATGCTTGTGTAAAAATTATGCCTCGAGTTCCTAAATAAAACTGTATTTGAAGACAAGATCATACCATTGACCAATTAAGTGCTCGAGGAGAAAAATGCAAGTTTGAGAAATTCCCAGGGGAACAGGCGAGATGAAGAAGTGAGACAGTAACAATACGACGCGCAAACCCTCGTTAATTACTCGGTTTTGCAGTCAAGTTGAGCCCTGCCGGTCGGTGTTAAAAACTGGTTGGGTGACCAGCTGGGAATATCCTGTCGTCAAAAAATAATACTTCAAACGAGCTTAAACTTCAAAGTTCTTAACTGTCTCCTTCCATTAAAATCAGTAACTAAGGACTCCAGTGCCGCCGGCTTAAAATTAAGTCTGCTTCAAAAACGGCTGTGTAGCAGACTACGTAAACGTTGGATCGATTTATAACGCATATTATTAGAATAATCATGATTATCATACTTACCACCTAGAGGAGAAATAGGAATGGTTTTTATATCCTTTGATGGCTCTTCCTTCACGCTGGACAAGGTTTCCTTAGGAATATTTGCTTTTTCTTAATGAAAGGGAGAAAAAAAGTCGGGGAAATAACGTAAATTTTATCATTACCACCACTGTCAAGATCATTCAAAATTCTCTTTAAATTCCACTTTTCATTTCAATAGGATGCTATTAATTTAAACCTGATCATTTAAATCAAAGGTAACTTACCTTGTGGTTTCTCTTCGTCGGAGAAGATCTGGTTTGGTTTAACAAAAAAAGGAGGAAAATAAAAGAAAGTAAAGATACTTGTATAGCAATAAATTACACAGCTCTAAGTCAGCTGACAGAACAGGAGGGTAGCCACAGGCTCACACAAGACACTATGGGCCGGTTATTTAAATGGAGTTTAGGCAGACAATGTTTAACAAAACCGCGTTCTAAACTATTTTAAGTTTGCCCGATGCTTTTATCTAAGAATCATTTACCGTGAACAGTTTTATGAATAATGGGTAGACTACAATAGCATTTATCTTCTTGAAATAGCCCATCACGGAAGAGATCGGGAGGTCCAAAGATTTCTTAAACCAAGGCAATTCGTTCAAACAACCGACTCTATGTCTTTGACAACAGCACTCGCGCATTCTCTGATTGTTTCGCCTTGACCGAGTTGACCTGGCTGGGTGTGAGCCAAAGTGTTTATTTGAATAAATTGTCCGGGTCACCCACTAGCAGAGCCATCTTTTTGTTTCTCTTGTAAAAAGGATATTCAGTGGCTCGCCCAACGTAGCCACAATCCCGGGGGGGGAGGGTACTGCGATATATGGGCTATATAGGTATGTGCCGCTGCGAAGGGTATGGTTTTCAAGCAATTTACTCTAGGATAGGGTATGTAAATCAACAGCGGCGTTTGGGTGTAGAATAGGGTATAATTTTTCAGGAAACTGATCAGTTGGTTGAAGATTTTATCTAGACTAGGGATTGTGGTACAAGGTTTTGTTCTGGCTAGACTACTGTGCTAGTGACCTCAGTAGTTTCTGGAAAACAGCTACTCTAGGATAGGGGGGATTTGGGGAGTTTACTCTAGTATAGGGTAGCAAAATTCAGCTGAACTAGCTCTGGTATAGGTTAAGGGTTCCAGGGTTCCAGGGATCCCCACCGAGAAATTCCTAAAGTACCCACCCTTGGCGGAGACACAGTAGCTCGGGTACTAGGCGAGTAACTGTTCAACCCGGGACAAGTTTTCCCCATATAAACGGGACCTAAGTCAAATCGACTAACCCACCTTTGCAAGGACGTTTCCATCAAAGGAGCTCAAGTTATTTCCCGCTGGACGGTATCTGGCTACAACAAACACGCTTCCATCGGCACTTTTGGCTCTAGCCATCCCCAGCTCCTCAGAGTCCTTCCACACCACCTGAGTAAAGTGACCAGTTCCTGACTGATAGCCTCCTGTCTTGAAATCATACCGTTGTATCTATCGTACGAAAGCAGGAAAATATTATGGTATCCGCCAAACAGCTAGAGGATATCAGTATGAGAACACATGAGCACATTGGCACCCAACGTCAATTTTCGGAAAATATTTGTTCAGAAGATGATTTGAGAACATTTTTATAAAATTTCTTGCTTGCCTGCCTCTCCTAGGATTTTCGAACATGGTATAATTGCCCATTTTTAACGGATTTTTACCCTAAAAAGGTCACCTAGAATTTTCGGGAGCTTTTTATCTGGCTGAAATTTTCGAAAAGGTAAGTTTTGATCCCTATAATTTTCGGATCACTAGACTTCCAGCTAGGAAATCCGAACAGATGAAAAATTTTTAGGCTACAAAAATATGCCTATGTCAGTACCGTTTAAATACTAAAATACGTTTAACAATGCTACTTTGAGTGGTTTTGAACAATATTCTCGTTTGGTGCCCCTGAAACTAGTGCTACTATAATGGCGAGCCTATTTCCTTTTCGTAAACAATCGTTGCCACTGTCGATGCCACCTATGCTTACCAAGCCTTTAGTCATGATAGATGCAATATATTCCCTGGATTAAGTTACAATAAGGCAAATAATACGTTTTTGAGTAGTCTTAGAAAGAACGACGTTGAAGCCCAAGTTGAATTTACGTCAAAAGTTATGAAAAGTGCTAGGGTCACTTGTTATTGGTGAATCAGTTAATAAAAACAGTTTACTAGTTTATGTACTTAGATTTTTCAGAATTTTGGAGGATTGGTGTGGTAAAGGAGAGAGATTAGGATACGAACGGTCCAGGTTGGAGGTCCGGGTTCCACCCTGGGTTGCGATTTTCGTTCGTTTTAAAAGGTACACTCTCAATAACCGGTCAAAAATTTTCTAAGCGTCTTAAAAATGGCGGAGACCGTTTACAAAAAGGACAACTGCGATGACCTTCAGATAAGGGGGTTTAAGGTTCATCCAGACCCTGAGATAAGGGGGGCAGTCTCCAAAATAATTTTTTCGGCCCTCCGGACCTCCTTTTGGTCCTCAGGATCCGCCAATGCCAAAGCATCGATTGACATCACTGTACCTCTGAATACCAAGATTTCGTGGCCTCTTCTGCTGCCGTATCAAAGCCCTGAGATGACATAAACACATTCTCGCCAACACCTTTCAGCTGCTCGTGTTTGAGTTTCCCCTCTTTGGCTAGTTTGTTTGCCCACACTTGTGCACTCCTTGCAAGATCATTTGACCAACTTAGCGCCGCCACGTTGTGCGCCGAACGTCGTTTGTTGTGAGCCTCAAGAGCAGTCTTTGAAAATACATCCATTTCTCTTTCTCCTAATGTAAGGTTTTGTACAACAAACAAAACCACAGTATATTTGTAAACAAATCGCTACTTGGGGTTCTTCGAACAAGCAGGAGGCAAGGAAAAGCGAGGGCATCATTATCAGTTAAAAAAGCATGCAAGTTCGACTTATTATCAACTAAGTTTCCTAAGCTAAAATTTTATTTATAATCAGTTGGATAGCTGTTCTCGATCTCCCGAAACGTTCCGGTCAGTGTCCGGTGACGGGAGCGATGAGAGGGGGGTATATATTTGCAGACTTTTTGAGCACTACCGACATATACGCATTGCAGACCTACTTTTTAATGTGCAAAGGTGACAGCTCTCTTGTCGACTGACAGCGTGATCTAAGAAAAATTAAACCCAGTGGTACACGTACCACAGTGAGAGCACCAGACCAACAGCTTAAGTATTATATAACCTGAATTTGGTTTTGTTCCTGGAATATTTGAATATGGAGTACAGTATTTTCAAGACTTCGAAGGTATGTTTTGTTAGAAATTAATATGTATGTCCCAAAAACAGATATATTAATAAATCTATTCCTTCTCTTCCTATCTGAAGACTTATCACTAAGTCATTCCCAATAGCAAAGTCTTAAGTCACTCTAAGCTAAATTGTTTGGCGAACGAGTGGCCTGAAAAGTAGTGTGTTATATATGTGTCTGTCGCTCGCAGCTCAAGAGTTCACTTGGACAGTTCACTATCATGATTTAAATTACTTACCTTCTCGTCTTCTAAATACCTTTTCGCAGTTACAGTTTTGACTTTATAGTCGGATAAAAGCAATGCGCGAGAGGTAGAATCGTGCGAATATGCAATAACTGAAGATTAAGGCTTAAGCTGAAACAAAAGAATGTGCAAGTCAGTCGTCTGGTGATTGTGTTAATAATTTTGTTTAACGCGTTCGATTTCTTTTATTTGCATATCAATTGTATTGATAATTTATTCTTTTATACGAATGCGCGTGGTCGTTCCATATCGCAATCACACACGTCTGATGGACATCCTATGGGGCCATAACACCTTTATTTTACAGTAAGGATGTTTTATCCTGTTATGTTTTTGCGGGAAACAGATTCAGCTGCGCGGAACCCTTTTAGGCAAACAGTGTTCGTGTGTTGTTGCCATCTTTTCGCGAAACAGTTAGGTCGCATTATTAATGATTATTTGCTCGTGGTGAGTTAATAATTTTTGTGTGACGCAATCGTCTGGTAACGTGGATGTTACCAAACAGGAAAGTGAAATATGGGAACAAAACGTAATAACTTCAGGGAAAACCAACGACTGTTTTCCCTGTAAAATATCTGTTCGGAGACGCGAATATTGCCTAGAATTTCCTATCTTTATAAATATATCCCCTACAATTTCCAGAAGTTTAATTTTCACATTTTACTTCCTAAGTTAGGCTATTTTTCGTAGAAAAAGGGGAACCTAAATTTTTCGGATTCAAAAATGTGATGGCGAGAGGAATCAGAAAATGTCTCACTTTCGTAATACGTCAAATTTCATCTAAAATGTTTGAAAAAATAATACTCAAGCCCTTGTAATTTCGAAAAAACTCAAGTTCCCTGGGCCTCGAACAGATACAAATCAGTTTATAGCTCCAGTTAGAATGTATTTCTAGATATCCGAAAGTACTCTGGATAGCCTAAAAAGTGTTTTAAATGTATTTAGGAGGAAACCATTGTTGGGTGCCCCTTTAAACTTGTTGCTCTACCAGTAACCTCATTTCCAATTCTCGGTTGTGTTCCATTTTTTCATTTTCCCGTTCCCCGTACGTACCTACTAGTTCCCCGCTCCCGGCCTCTTCCCCGTTTTAGTAACGATCCGCTAACGCAGTTTACGGGAGAGTGAACGATGTAACGGCTGTGTAGCCGCACGAGTTTTGCCAGAGTCTTCCGCGAGCAACCAACTGCAAGCGGTGCAAGTAGCCTGCGAGCGACGTGGCAACGATTTTGCTTGGTTCGGCTTGTATTTCTGTGGTGATTGCGGGTTAAACTTTCCAACAACATTGCTTTACTTTAGTCCAGTCATCAACAGCGGCTAGTAATCGCGATTTTCAATTCGCCAATTTTCTTCCTTCATGATGTTTGTCATGCACAAAGATGGATGGAAAGTTCCAAATATTTGCAAGAAACTTGTTGTCCTGGACCGTCACAGTGTTTACTTCCACTTTTCTTATAAACTGAACTCAACCACTTTCACCTCTACTGCTAACACTTCGCGACAATACCACTTTTATTTGTTTCAAGTATCTCTTCCTGGCTACATTCTTATGACAAAACTAGTATCATTTAATTTTTTACAGACAATAGAGCGCCAACCCAGTTGCACAAATAAAGAAAAGAACAAAAGAATGAAGAAAATGTTAATTTTTCGGACAGGTGGCGTTAGGAAATAAATGAGTCAACTTATTCATTCCTTCTTCAGCGAATCCTTCTTGGAACGATTCAACTCATTACTGTAAAAAAAAAATCAAATAAAGTTGTCTTTTTAAAAGACGTTAATTGAATTTGCTTTGTTCCTAAGACGATTAAAGAAGTATTCGACAGACACCGAGCGCACGTATTGTTCAAGTGGTTCAGTAAGAATCACACGACATTTCTGTATTTCAACCCTTTTCGAAGTGGTTAAACCACTTGAAACAATAACTCTAGTAGCAGTTGAATGATAAAGTCGAAAGATGCTAGCATTATCACAGAGTAGTTTCAAACCACAAGCACGAAAAGCAAAAAATGTTATGTCCGCCTCAATACGCACCTTTGATGGGAAAACATTTTCTTGAAAGGCTCGCAGGTTATTTCCTGCCGGTCGATAACGACCCACCACGAACATCTTCCCATCAGCACTCTTGGCCTTGCCTATTCCCAGTTCCTCACTACCTTTCCAGACAACTTGTGTAAAGTGACCTGTTTTCGGCTGGTAACCAGGCTTATTGAAATCATAATCCTTTACTTCACTATACCAACTGTTCACGGCATCACTTCCGTCAATTTCTCGTCCAAAAACCATGAACACATTTTCTCCGTCGCTGGTGTTGTCGTGGTGAAGGCGACCATCTCGTGCTATTTGTTTGGCCCAGACTTCGGCGTCACGAGCAAGGGCGCTAGACCACTTGAGAGCGGGCGCCTGGTGAGCTGCACGGAGCTTGTTATGGGTTTCAAGAGCTTCTTTGCCAAATGTATCCATATATCCTTTCACTAATATATAACTGAATATAGAGGTTTAAGTAAATATAAGAAGAAATCTCTCCGTTATATATATTTTGGACGAGCCTCCCTTGATAGGAGTCTCTCTCGGTAGGATCCTCCCTTGTCTGTTAGCGCTTGTCTACAGATAACAGTGACCTAATAGAATATGGCCGCTATGTGAATGTCTTAGTAAATACTGCATGACCTCAACCGCCACCAACTTTGCTTTTGTCTAATAGAAATACGCGGTATATCGCAGCTGCACAAAGCAACCGCTAACGCATTCTTTCATTCTTGGTTACTGCTATCTTTTAGCTAAAGAGAATATCTCTATATAGTTTAATTGCTTATAGTTGTATAATCCGCCATTTGTCAGCAGCAGATCCTGCACTATAAATTAATTCACAACTAGCCCCATGTACGTATTGCTTACTTACTCATAATTTGCTCTGTCTCCGCCGACCCAAAAAGGGAAAAGCGCTAGGGACGCGGGAGATTGACCTGACATAAGGCCATTTCAAATTCACGTTTTTCTTAAATTAGTATCTGAAAAGCTTGGGTTGCATGAGCAGTCATGCAGTTGTAAACAAAATTGATCAACGAACGCTAGATAAAGTTTAAAGATAATTCAAACAAGAAATCTAGAAAAAATGCTAATTTTGAAAAAAAGGCTATTAAAAAACTCGGTTGCCAAGGTAACGTCAATGTTGACGAACACCTAAGCTAAATTTGACGGTCATAACTTGAAAGGTTTTAAATGGTCAACTTTAAAGTTTTTTAGGGCCAAAAAACATCCCCTTCCCCTCCCCCCACCTTCACCAGCGACATTTCAATGTTTGTTCCATAGCCTCCTACCGGTCAAAGTCTCCAGTTGTTACTAAAGAACCAGAGGGTATTTTTTTGCCAAACGACTAGCCTCAAAAGTAAACTGCTGTTTGGTACCGCTTAGAATTTAATCGCGAGGAACAATCACTTATAATAGTTACCTTCCAGTCTTCTTAGTTATAATCTTTTCTGTAACTCAGTAGGATAAACGAAAATTAAAACAACTACTCAGATCTATTCAAGAGGTAGAATCGTTCGAGTATGCGTACGTAGTAACACTTAATAAAAAAAAAAGAAAGTCTGTTACAATCATTATGTCAGCATGCGCCAGGGAGTGTGGGGCGTCCTAAACGCGTTCGATTTCTTTTAGTTGCATATCAATTGATGATTTATTCTTTTATGCGAATGCGCGTGATCGATCGTGACCACATCTAGCTTCAAATCATGAGACCCAGAACTCTTATACTACCATTAATCGACATTTTTGAATAGAAAATTATGGTTTTGCTATAGAAACATCATTTGCTGTGAAATAAATGAGCTGTGATAAATGAGAGTAGCATTTGTATATCGTTGCGATCTTCGAAAGGTCAAGTGGCATTTCTAATTGGTTATTTGCTCGTGGCGAATTGATACTCGCAACTGTAAAGCGTGCAAGCGGCATACCTCATACCGGTATTGAATAATTGAACTGTTTAGTTTTTATGTCTCCGGGGGATGCTATACTGTCAACTTACCTGTAGTTAAACGCTGTAAACTATATGACTTACTCTAGACCCTGTCGTCAACTTGCGATTGTTTGAAGCATTTTACTTTTGATTGTTATAAGCTTTTTTAACCAAACTCCATTCCAGAGGGAAAAGCATAGAGCTTGGCATATTTTTGTTTTAGTGATAATCATCCACTCTTTTATCTTTTGTTCTTACCATTTTACTCGTCGTTTATTGTTGTTTCTTTCGCCCTGCATTATCTGTATACTGAGCTAAATGCATTACGTAGGCTTCAAATTATAACTTGTCCATCGACTCACTATAGAACAAGCTGGCTTGATAACCAGCCGCTAACCTTGGAACACAGGTCGAAAAATCGTAGCCAGCAGTTAATGGCACCTTACAAACAACTTATCGACAAACTCAAGCAAAACTGAGAACAACAGAATGAACAAAAAAAACACCAATTAAATATGATACAATGATCATCATTACAATACCAAAGACCCGTAGAAACGTACCACTCACGTTAAGGCTACATAGCCAATAAAACCAAGGCTTAACGGACAAAAGACTAGTTAACAGATTGACCAATCAGACAGTACTTTTTGGACTGTTAAGTTGACTACTCAGGTACAGGTTGTGGAAACGTTAGTTTGGCAACTGTCAGCAGGGGCGCATCCAGAAAACTCAGAAAGGGGGTGACAGGGACACTTGCCCACTTGCCAACTATATAGATACCTTTTATTTTTCTGAGAGTTCCATAAAAAATAATACAAAATTTCAAAGAAAAAGGAGTGGCCACGGCCCCCTCGGTCCACCCCTAATCTGCCCTTGGTCAACCCTACGCCTGACAGGCCAGTCACCTATCATCTACCTTGTATTTGTGCCACGCAAACCTGATGCTCGTGGTTCGGAGAAAGCTCGGAACTGAAAACAAAGTGTAATACAGTATAACTTAAGGCCTAACTTGACCGACTTGACCCGTTTGCTTGTAATCCAAGAAGCTGAGGGGCAGGTTAAAACCACAGTCATCAATAGTTAACAAGCTTCCAAATCCCGATTCCTCCTTTCCTTTTTATTGTGCACAATGAATAAATAGAAGTATCAAATATTCCGGAAAAAAAAAAACAAAAAACAAAACAAAACAAAAACGAGCTAAAAGTTTGGACTATTATTCAAGAGCAAACGTCAGTTTAAATTTCCTCCGCTCTACACTTTTCTGTTTTCCTGAGCTTCCATGCAATTTGCAACAATACCAATTTTATTAGTTTTACCTTCTCTAGTCCTTGCTACGGACATTCTAAAAATATAATAATTAAACTTAAATATACAATACTCAGTGAGTTTCAAAAAAAAATTCTTGTCTAAATTTCTACAAACGTGGATTTTGAACTTCGGTCATACCTACACAACCACACCTCTTTCTCGACTTAACTAATTTAATTTTGCTTTTCAGTTGTAAGAAAGTGTTATCATGAAAATAAAACTTTGTTTCTTGTATCAAACTGAGAGTGAGAAACATGAGAAAAGAGCTAACATTTCGTGAGGTACTGATGACGATTACTACCCGGATCTAGGCGGTGCTTCTGATTGGTTGAAAATTTGCTTCAGTTATCCAATCAGAAGCACTACAAAGATCTGGGTGGTGACGTGTCAAGGGAATTTCTGCTCTTTGACTTGTTCTTCAGACAGTGAGACGTTTGGTAAGGGTACCCATTTTGCCATCGGGACCTGTCCCTTGCACTTCCGATTATTTGATATAATATAAGAGTACACAGAAAGTAAACTCAGTCACCACTAGTACTGTTCCTTAAACTCTTAGATTTCAGCCCCAGCCAGTTAAGTTCAGGCTACTTATTTATTCACATTTTATGATGTTACATTTAAAAAGAATCTAATTAAGAAATAAGATATTAAAAGAAGAAAAACCAAGATAGAACACTGTAGAACAGTCCTAACAAAAAGAGCTCGGTGATTAAAGGAGCATAGCTTTTAAACTAACCACCGCAAATTCCAAAACAAATGAATAAAATTAAAATACTTTGTAGCAGCATTTTTTCAAGAGTTGTACTGAAATTGCCCACGTTACCGAGGCCCTCTATCCTCGATTTGGGAAGAGGGAGCTGGTAAATGCATGACAAAAACACTGACAACAGGTTATGCCTCGATTCTACTCTTGACTAATGTTTATTATTATTCATTCAAAATATTTTGCGGTTTTTGATTGGCTTCAATGCCCGTGCCAATTTTCCATAACCAACGGGCGCTTACCATATTTGGAAGATACAAGCAATACACCATCGATTCGATGGTACATCTGATTGGAAACAAGGCTGCTAGGGCAAAAGTGAACTAAAAAACGGCGGTCACAGCTATTCGAAGACGAAATAGCTTAACTTCTGACTTAAAATGGATGGATGAAATGCAAGAATACGCAATACATATTGCTCGATGGATGTCATTTACCTTTTGAGGCTTCTCTGCAAAATTAAACATCTGTTTACATTCTGAAACCGAGCAGAGAAATAGGCCAAAGTTTTGAAGAAAGCCGGTCTACGAGGAGGTAAGCATTTTGAGAACTTAGAAATATTTTGAACGAATAATAATTAAAAACAATTATTTAGTTCAGAAGATATTATACATCTCGGCCTTAAGCCCCGGTGGATAACATCCTCCTCGATCTGCATAATTCCTCAAATCCTTCTCAGTCTCATTCAATAATTGCTAATATTCCTACTCCGATGCAAAGAAAACCTAATAAAATGCAACATGCCATTTTTTATCACTACCGCAAGTTTTCAGTCATTATGAGCTACGAGGATCATTCATTCTATTAACTAATGGTCGCTATTAATTTTGTCATTTCGATATCCACCTACTCACCGAGTTAGGATTTCCAGTTGGATTTTCTACCTGGATTTTTAGGTTGTTCGAATTATCGAGTCCGAATTTCGAGTTAAGATCGCTCTTTTATAAGGCTTACTGAAAAGATGGGGAGGGAAGAAGCTTGATAAAAGAATTCTTCAATTTATTTTTGTAGAGGAAAAAATAACAAATAGTCCATTGAAGGTTTTTTTTTTTGACAGTTACATTTATTTTTGGTAGTTAGCATGAAAAGACTTTCATAACCCAATTCAAAGATCCAACTCAAAATCTTAACTAGGAATTTAATTTATCTGACTATCCCTTTCAAGTGACAGGGTGTCAGGAAGATCTTTTCTTACGGTGAGAACATTTTTTGACACAAAAATATTTTTCTAGTTAGATGAAGAGAAAAAACTAAAAATGATTTATTCAGAAAAAGTGTACGAATGGTGACTGAAAGTGACAGATGATACGCTCCGGCTACTCCTTCTTCAGCGAATCCTTCTTTCGACCACTCATTGCTATGAAAAAAGAAATGAGATTGATTGTTAAGACGTTCATTGATTTTTTTTTTTGCTTTGTACATGTGGAGACTAAAAATGTATCGGATCGCGACATCAAGTTTTTTATTCAAGAGGCTCATTGAGAATTATATTAGACTTGTACGTTACTCTGTTTTGTCGGTTGCATTTATCGCAGATCATATATGTTTACGACAACGTATTAAGCAGTTTCATGTCAGTTCGTCTGAATCCCTGGGTTAAATGTTTGCCTCATTCCATACCTGTTATATCGTCAATGTAAGACGAAATTTTCAACCCTACTGAGCTGTAGGCTGGTACCCTGTGAGCAGAGGCCCTTCGATCTTCCTAGATAGGAAGATAGAAGGGCCTCTGCTCGCAGGGTAGTAGGCTGGTAGAGCGAAAGGTGTTATTATAATAACCCGCCCTGGAACACTTCTTAGACCCAAAAGAGTTTTGACAGAGTCACACCTTATATTAACACTGTTATCTGCTGCAAGAGAATGCTGTTTTTAAAATCCTTGACAAACAAATTTGACATAGGAGTTCTTATTGATCGCTCTCTCCTACAATATCCAAATGCTCACAAATAAATATAGGAATTGATTAAAACAACAATAAATATTGGGCTTGTGGGTCCATTTATATTTACCAAAATTAATACTGAATTTGTGCAAAACCATTTAGTTAGCTATAGTTTTGAAGCAAAATTTTTATATTCATATTATGTCATTTAATCATTGATTTCAGTTTCTTTATATTATTCGCCTACTGCGCATGATTATCGAATAAATATATTTTTTTAAATTTTCACTATAGTGAGTTCCTCTCTAAGTACAGGTTATTAATGGTTACTTTAGGTTTGGATTTATTTAGTTGGTTAACGTGTGGTTAGTGTAGCACACTGTTATTCTGGGTAAAGTTAGTTCAATCGAGGCAAATCTACTGCCTTAAAATGCAGTTTAACCTGTTTTGGTAAAATGACACAAAATGTACCTCGCTCAGAATCAAACATCTGAGCCCATTTAGCTGTGCGTAGCAGGCAAAGTTCTTTTCAAAGCGGTGTCCCCGTTGAAAGCCGGAGTGCTCTTCAGTTTGTTCACCAAACTTTTCCGCTTTGCCTGCCGTTTCAACCCTCTAGGTTGATGGCGATTGGTTCCTACAAGTTAAATAATGTCATATTGATCGTACTACTTTTTGTCAAATAAGTAGATGGAATAAATGAAACTAGTTTCATGCATTATGATGCAAAATGATGGTCCAATTTCTTTTTTATGATAATCAAGTTAATACTGACTGAAAGTGCTATGAGACTTTTGTGTTATGTAGACTATACAGTCAGGCAATTTCATTCAATCTTTTACGAATCATTCACTTGATATTTTAAAGAAATAAACTAATTGATGCGTGAGAGGAATGAATATTAGGTTGGCTTGTGGTCAAAATTAGAGACTGTAATTATCAGTTGCAATAGTTTCGTGATAGTTTTTCAACTTTAGAGAAACGTAAGAATCAAGATCACATATCCTTTTCAAAAATCAGTAAATCATATGCCCTTTAAATCACTTCGTTCAATACTTAAAGAGTTAAAGCAAGGGAGCGTTAGTGATTAGTGAAAGGTTAGAGAATGTCAAGATATTATTAAGGTTAACTAATCTCACGTTTCTGTCGCGAATGTTTAAAGTGCACATAAAGGGAGTAAACCTTTTAGCTCAATTTTTGTGGGCTCAAAACATTTTTGATGGTAAATTGGTTAAATTGTAAGATAAGGAGAACGTGCTATAATAAAAGCTGAGACAGGCGATTCAGTTAATTTCCCAGGAGTTTGAACCTTTTTGTCACTAAAATCTGACAGAGTGACGTGGAATTTCCTTCAAGTGGGTCAGAAGACGGGCGGCCATTCACTTGAAAGTGAAAAGGAAGATGTGGAACACAAAAAAAAAGCTTAAGCAACGACGACGGTGACGGCAACAAGAACGGCAAAAATGCAAAAGTTTAGATAAGCAAAACAACAACTCTGCACGTGCAGCACACATGTTTGTACAGTTTCCTTCGTTGCACGAATACGACGTGAACTTGAACCATCCTGAACTATACTAAGGGACGTGAACACAAGAGAGCGACTAATTGTTTTTCTTTTCCCGAACTTCGATACAGTCCCTTAGAATTCAACTCCGATCCATACGATTTCGCCAACATTTGACGAATTGAACAGATGAAATAAGCGCGATAAAGTTTAAAGCAGCGTGAATTCACCTTTTACTTCAAAGTATCGTTCTCGTAGCCGTCGCCTTTGTTGTTGCTTAAGCTTTCTAGTGAAGTAATGATGACCATCTCTGCCAGAGGTGGTCGGACCGAGTGGGAAATTTTTGGTCGCTAGAAGGTGTGTTAAATTGGCGGAATGTGAGATACAAGCAGACCACAAAAAAACAAGGGGCATGTAAAATATGTAAAATGGTAAATTAAATAACTGGGTAGTAAAATTTCAATTAATGCGCTCTTTTATAAAGGCGAAAGAAAGACTGTATTCGAAAATCTGGCAGTAAACTAGGCGGTGCTTTCTTGCCAGAAGCTTTGGAGTCGAGACAAAAGAAGGAGCATATATCATTAAAACCATTCGCATGTGAAGGTTATCCTTGACTTCAAGCTAGTTTCACGGTTTATTAAGGTTAATACTTAAGGCAGTCTAATGTTCCCTAATGAGACCAAAACAAATTTGAAGATCTGATGTTAGGTTAAGTGATTACCGCATAAGTTGCACGTGATCCCGCACGTTGTCCTCATGCTGTTTGGAAACTTTTGACAATATCCCAGATTCTTTATTGAATTGCATGAATCGCTATCATACACATCAGCACAGAAGACTGGTGGAAGAGTGGAAAAAAGCACAAATCATTGTAAGTTCTTTCTTACTTATGTAGTCTAGAGTATTGTACAAAGAGCAATTGATTCAGAATGAATATAGTGAATATAATTTTCGCTGGGTATGTGCCGCTGGCCTCTCAGTGCCCCTACCCCATTATAGTCTGTTCTGTGGCCAATTATAGACCCCATCTTAGTCACTTTGGGTCAAATATGTAATTTTCGCGATTTCAACTTAGTCACTTTCTATTTTAATAAATTGACCCATTTTTTAAATTGAATGAAGAACACTTTACTTTTCACCTAAAGTACAAACATTCTGGTTATACGCTTGCTGACTGTAGATATGAAGAACTGTCTTACCCCCAAAAATTCGAAAATGTGCGACCCCATTCTAGTAACTATATTGAAAAAGCGACCCTATTATAGTAAATCCAGTCGTAAAAATGCGGTCCCATCCAGCAGCTTATCACTATTAGCCTCATATAAGAAAGTATCCCCTCTGGGGGTGTTCGTCGGAAAACAACAATTAAGCGCCTAAAGGGGTGACCAGTCTGGGTGTGGTTCACGATGGTCTGGGTTTATTTTACCCCTAAAAGACATGTTACTAAAACAGGAAAACAAACATCCTTGCCATAGTGATTTTATCGGGCTTGAGGATGTTCTTTTGCTTAGTCTTGATGTTATTTTTTATTCGAAAATATTTCCTCACACACAACCCTAAACGATATCTACATGAGTATTCTAAGTGAGACCAAAATGTGCAATTAATTTACACCCCTATGCAAGACCACGAGAATCCCCCGTCCATTCTATATGTGAGATTCCATCACTAGAACTTGGCCTGTAAGTTTATTTTTCTTCCTTGCTTCTTGCAGAGATTTCTCTATGAAATGCTTGGCTGCTTTCAGTCCCCTCTCCTCAAAATTTGGAATATAATGCAGTGATAATTGAGGACTCTTCATATGTTTCATAGGTAAACAAATTCTTTAATAGCATGGTTTTCAAAACGCACCTTCAGAAGCTTGATCATTGATCTCGCTCTCACTTTCTTCTTTAAGCTCTTGGATTTCTTCGTCTGAAAGCTTTTTCCTACCTGAAAGGAATAACTGTAAACATGCAGTGGTTGTTTGATAAAAACTGAATCTTATATTTGTACAGTACTGTTTTGACAAACAGTAGTCAGTCTCCACGAGTAGACTATACACCTACACACGTAAATGGGAAATTCAATTCAAATTCAATGTTTCGGACGCTAGTACCCCGCTTTTTCCCGACTTTTTAAGCGCTCAAAACATGGTTGGAGTTATCAAGGGCATGATTATATAGAAATTATCTGAGCGAAACTAAAATTACTTCGAGTTAAAGGGAGGTTCAAGTTTAATCGCGGGTTCGAGTTACCGAGTGTAAAATTACAGTAAATGTATGAAGGAATGGGGAAATTGATTTGGATTCGAGTTAGCGCGAGATTCGAGTTAGCGAGGGTTCGAGTTATCGGGAGTAAACTGTATGAAACTGTACTTTTTGTCACCAGGAAAGTTAGCACGGTTAATTTTATGCAAAAAATACAGAGCACTTCTAATATGTGATAACTTTTTAACGACATTCTTGCTAAAGTAAATGGCGTTTTCCCACCAAAATAACGCTGTCCACGCGAGCGCACTATAGTATTCAAAAATCTCTTCCTCGACGTCTTAGAATCTAAAGGTCTCTAATCAAAAGGCGATCGGATGGCTATCAAGACACCGAATTCTTACCGTCACACTGGTACAGTAGGTTAGCTTGCAGGATATCAAACCTGCTGAGGGCTTTCCGCTGACCGATTTCCGCATCTCTTTTCAGAGGGATTATTGTGTCCAGCATTACAGGGAAGCGAGAGAAGAAAGCTCTGTTGTAATGCATAATAGAGCCATAATCATATGGAACGTCTTTTGAGTCGATCCACTTCCTACCAAACCTATAAAAGTTTCTTTCGTAACCTGTTGAATAAGCAAATATCAAATTTCGGTAATTTTATTAACGCCATTGTAGTCAGAAGATAATTTTCTAACCAGATCAATCACTATTGTTATTTATTATAAAAACGTCTGGTAAATGCAAGCAACGGTGCCCTTAGATCTTAGTGTAAGTCGCCTGATGCTGGAAAGACTTGGTGATCAATTGCCAGTGGTTTTGTCTTTAAATCCACCTTCTATTTGCTTAGGCGCCTAGAACAAGAGTCTCAGAAATTTACAGTGACTGGTAGAATCAGTCACTTGTAATATAGTCTGTCGGTACATCCAACCATTTGTAAAAAGTGAACCTGGTGTTTCACAATCTCATTATTTTTGAAAAGTGCGTAACAGATCAGTCTTAACTCAACCAGGTCAGTGAGAAAGTAATAGCATTCCTACATTCTCACTTTCTACAAGATAGCGTAAGAAAAGAAAAATTATGAGATTTTTCCTCCCCTCTTCCCTATTTAATGTTGTCCCGCTGAACAGAAGGCCTGTCGGCAACATATTTGTTTAAAACTGTAAATATAAGCCATGACCAGGCATCGCCAGGAATCGTACCTTGTTGGTTTATTTAACTTAGCTTGCTAAAGAAGATCAAACAGATCAGAACTTATGCTTATCACCAACTTACCGGGGAGGATATTCTTTTTAAGAACTCTAACATAAGTGTTCCTATCGGGCCGGCTGTGTTCATGAAAGAAGCCAATAGCGTGGCCAAGTTCGTGGATGATATTTCCCACCTTACACCTTAAGGCTGGGCTGCCTATCGTCAATTTCTGCTCTTTATCTCCCCCGCGACCAACACGAGAGGCACAGCTGAAAAAAAGAAAACAAGAAGGGAAGACTTGAATTTTATCAAACCTTACACACTATCGCTATCTTATTTTATCAGAGCCTTTCGATGAAACGACTTACATGTACTAGGTAGTAATTATGAAAAAAGTAAAAGTTTGCAGATGTCATTACAAAGGCAGCACTTCCTTCTCAGGTATTCTCTTAAAGATCCTGAGTGTTGCTTCAGCCGGGTTTGACCTCCGGCAGCAGAACTGCACTCCGCCAACTGTTATGAGCTAACCAGCCGGCGAAAATCAGAAATAGATTTCTTTAACTCGCACTGTCACTGTTGGGACTGTGAAATGGGAATCACCAACGCTGACAGCAGCTCTAGGATCTATTAGATTTATTTAGCTGTTACTGGTTTGTTATGATCACAAACTGGATTACTTACCCTCCCTCGAAGACAAATTTGATATATGCGAAGTTCTCAGGTGAATTCTTGACGCGCTTAAACTTGAGGCAAGTGTGTTTCTGCCAATGGCGCATAGCAGCACGCGCCCTTCGTCTGCCTATTCTATCTTAAATGATTGAAGAGAGAGAGAGAGAGATAAAAAAAGAGTATAAAATAAGGTATCATGCTCAAAACCATATACCTTGGCATTACGTACAAAGTTCTGTATCTGATCTTTCAGATTTCTCAATGCTTGTTTAACTGAAATCTACCCTTCATTTCAAAAGAGTGAGTAATAGTAAGGCAGTACAGGGCATTAATTGTTTCGTTCCTGTAGCCCGACCGACCGACCCAGTTTACCACTGTTTAAAATTGAAAAACATAAAAAGAGAAATCAGAATTCCACTTACTTAATCTGAAAATATGATGAAGTTAGTATACTACGACGTCTTTTAGAAATAGACAGTCTATAACTACACAGTTCTTTATTTCTAATTTTTAAAACTCTAGTAAAACTGAGCCTGAGGGTTTACCTTTATAAGGCCTAATTGACACATCTTGTCGGTCGTTTTAATGGCGTTACGTTTTAAGTTCCAGTTTATATTGCAAGGTTGTTCAAGGTTTAGCCCACACTGGTAGCTCCTGGTTAGCTTGGTTTTTTCGATTATTGTCTTCTATTTTATGTAATTGTTAAACTCGAACATAGGTTGAAGTATGCATGCTTGAGGTTAAAGCTGACCTTAGGCTTTCACCTAAACTAAGGTTCCTGAGTGTTTGGGTGAAGTCTATAGTCCTACCACGCAGTTTTTTATCTCTAGTATTTTCTTGGTTCAACTCTGTAGTACTTATTGTACTGTTGGCTCACTCTCTCTTGCGAACATGTCAGAAATGTGTTGTGGCTTGCCTTGCTTTGTCATGTAACGGGATGTGCAGAGCAAAGGCTCATAAGGTCAGGTATCCCAAACAGTCCGAACAATTAAGTATTAAGCTATTCAGGTCGCCAAAAGTTGGTTTGTTGAATTTAGATGAAGTCGAAGTAGAGGTTAAGGTCGAGTTGTAGAAGTCTCTCGGTAAATTAAGGAACAGGTTAAAAAAGGCTGAGTCCCAGTTCCTCTGGCTGATTTCCTGTTGATAAGTTCTTGATCGCTAATTTGACAAAATATCAGTTTATCTACTAACCTACTCCTTTGTGAAAATCATAGTAAACTTTGGCTTTTGGCCAAAGGTACATCTTGTCCTTAATAAGCGCTCGTTTAGCACCCTCTTGTGTGACAACCTTGTTTTTTATGTTATCCAAGAAAGACTCTTGTTCTGGTGTTAGCATCATGTCTCCCTCGAAGAAGTTTTTGCCTAAGTTCTCCTCACCTAATAAACACAAAAATGCAGTTTTGTTGTCGTTGTTGCTGTTTTTATTTTTTTACTTTTTCTAGATTACTTCGATAAAACATATCTTTAATTAATTTTGTTCTAGTCTCGATTTTTTTAATCAGTTAATTAGTTTTATTTATTTTAGTATTTATTTATTGAGTTTAATTCGCTTTGTCCAAGTAACATAAAAATTTAGGAACAATCAATAAACGCCGTGATACATGAATGACCATCGTATCATTCGCTTGTACTTATGGTTCTAAAATCGTGTTATACTGAGAAACTTTAAACTCACTGAACTTTGAAGATCATTGTTAAATGGGAGGCCTGATTTAAAAAAATAAATAAATAACTAAAAACATTTTTGGAACTGTTAAAAAAACTAAGTATATAAAGTTGCCAACGTCTAGATGGCTTTGTGACATTTTCCGAATATAGCAGACGTTGATTATGGATGCTTACCGATGTCGTCATTGTCTTGTTGTTGCACAGCATCCTCCTCTTCTTGAGCCAGCGTTGCTCTGTCAGTGGCCAGCTGATTCGGCGTTTCTGGGGCAACAGCAGGCGAACTTACTCCTACAAGATCAGTTCAAATATTAAGCTGTTTTTTCTTCTTAGCACTTTTAATTAGGTTATCATCATTAAGTAACTTTAAGGAATTACCGATGACTGCTTCGCAAAAGACGCGGACACGAAATTTGCGAGTAATATTAGGTCTGCAACGGACTTTACTATGCAAGTTCAAGTCCTTGGTGAAACAGCTCTTCAAGGGCCAGTCTGTCCAATTTCTTTATGTCGTGAATTCCTGTGTTTTGTCAGTGTGCTACGTTCTGATGATTTTCCTTGTATCTTTGTATTTTTTATTTTTTTATTTTTTACAGAACTCTTTTTAAAATAACTCTATTCTAATGCTAAACGTAACCAGATGTTCCTGTATAAATAAATAAATAAATGAAACATCTTGCGACAGTCTTTTGTTTCGGGCAGCAGGCACGTACCTCTTGAGTAGAAAACATCATCGTCCTCCTCGTCATCTCCTTCCAATATGTCAGCATCATCTCCACTGTATACTTTCTTTAACTCAGGTTGTATCTGTTTTTCTGTTAATAACTCTGATCTGGATTTACCCTGCTCTTGTTTAATCTTTGCGTCACTTGGTTCAGATTTTACTGATGAGGTGAATTGTTTCGTTTTCTTTGTTCCCTTTACCATAGTATGTAAAAGGCTACCTTTCCTTTTAGTTTTATGAACTAAGCTTTCCTTTTTAGTGGAGGAACCTTGTTTCTCTTTAGGTTGAAGATGTTTATCCTTTTGTTGGGTGTGTTTATGTTCTTGCACCTTGCTTTTTCTAAGCACCTTAACTCCCTTCTCGCGGAATGGTCTGCCGTTCCACAATCCCTGGTCTGACGATCCCTCATTCGGTCGAGTTGTTGTATTATAGAAACCTGCTGGCCCTACACACATTTGACAACTATTAGGATTGGCCATGACGCACACAATTGTTGACTCTTGCAAATTTATGACCACGTAAAGAACAAAAATGATTCCCTAGAATACTTGATCACTTTTATATGCAAATTGAAATGAACTTGAAAGTACCCGTGAAAGGTGGGCTGCGCTATTCACCAGAATATAAACCGTTTGAATGGGCTTCGTCGCGCTATTTGCTACCGTTTTAAGAAGCTAAAACGAGTCTTTGCATCAATTGAATTCCAAAAATAATGGTCCAGTTTGTTATTTGGGACTATATTTAACTTTATTCAGGGGCACCCAACGAGAATATAGTACAAAACCACTTAAACATAGCATTGTGAAACGTATATTTAATCGGTAGATTCAGGCACATTTTTATCTGTAAAAAAAATTTTCATCTGTTCGCATTTCCTAGCTGAAAGTCTTAGTGATCAGAAAATTATAGGGATCAAAACTTACCTTTTCGAAAATTTCAGCCAGAAAAGAGGCTACCGAAAGTTCTAGGTGACGTTGTTAAAGTAAAAATTCGTTAAAAATGGGCAATTATACCATTTTTTAGATGTTCGAAAATCCTAGGAGAGGCAACCAAGCAAGAAATTTTACAATAAATGTTCCGAAAATTCTAGATCTCAAATCGTCTTTCGAGCAGATATTTTCCGAAAATTGACGTTGGGTGCCCCTGTTTATTTAGGTATTGAAACTGTTCCCTTTCCTCTGTTGCCACGGATGGCATGGATGCACATGGATTGAAACTTGGATAAGTTGGGCCAACCTTATCAAGTTTTAGTACTAATACTAGGGTATCTAGAACATAGTAATGCTGCGGCACATTCTGTTGATACTGGCGTTAGTTAGGCAGTGGGACTTAAAAGAATCGAAAATGACATTGAATGTCCTATTTACATGTTGGAGAGTACTAGAATAATTACTATATCAGTCTATATAAAGAACTCGTGGGAACGTTGTTTAGAAAATGATCAAGTGGAAATCAACTCTGGTTTTCCCACAGTAAACTGTAGGAAATGATAGAAATTCAGATTGTTTATCCAGATATTTAATATACGGAGCACTATCTTTTCTCTGGAAACACGATACATTTCTTGCTGTTTATTGCACTTTAATAAGTAACGGTTATTTAGCTGCATATTTATAGAAAACAACATCACAAAAAACGGCAAAAAAAGAAAGAAAGAAGGAAAAAAGGAGTTCGATAGGACTCGAACCCGGCAACATCGGCTCAACGCGTCTACTCCTAACCACTACACCACGGAGACTGATTACCTAGCTTTTGGGAAAAGTCTTTAATTTATAATTAGTGCCTTTTCCATAAAACTTCCGCCGGCAAGATGATAGCCAGCCGCATTAATCGAGCTATTAACAGTAAAAAAACAATGTAAACGCATATTCCATGGCAATGAATGAATGAAAGAACATAATTATGCTTCTCAAAACGCCGATACACGTCCTCGTCTGCAACGTAGGACACAAAACATATGTTTTGTTATCTCGATTTCCGCTCTTATTTATTCTTAAGAATAGCATGGCATGACATTTTCTCACTTTCACATCACCCTCTAGCAAGCTGGAATTTGTATATCCCCCGTGTTGCGAAGTCGAAGAGCAAATGCTCATCTTCTCGTCAGGTTTAACACCTGGACGAGTCAAAGGCTCTTGAATTGAAATCCAATCCCCAAGTTAACCATCGTACTCATCTGAAAGACTTCTGCGTGTCTTAAATTTGGTAAGACCTCTAACCGTGCTGTAGAAAATTTGCTACAAAGAAAACTCTGAGCCTGGGCAGCGACCGATGCGAACTTCCCCGTGTTTCTGAGTTGTTCGTGGCGCAATGCACTCTGGTTAAATGCAATGCATTGTGGTAAAAAGTGATGAATTCGAGAATTCGTCGCCCCTTATATATTTCCCTTAAATCCCGATTACGTTGCTGCTCGCTCCCTACGGTCGTTCCGCAGCAACTATGCCAGCAAAAATTAATCACCAAACTGAAAATTATTGTGGTTAGTGATCCCTAATGAAATTTGTTCGCTGTCTTCCTTATATCTAGATGTCCACAGGAGCATTTTGTGCATTGGTTTAATCAGTGGTTTTATGTGTACCTTAAACCGTATTGATCAAAACAGCTTTATCTTCGCGTCATGGCCTTGTTTAATTTGCCATTGGCCATATCCCTCACCCATTTAATATGTAATTCTGCTAAAGTCAGAGGTTATTTCAAAAGTCTTAGTTAATTCCACGGATATTTGGTATAACAGCTGAAATGATCAGTTGCCTCAAACTACGCCATATGGCCTTTTCATTGCCTTCTTGCAATAACCTAAAACAGGTTCTATAGTAGCCTGAGAAAACAGTCGACATTTGGCGACGCCGCCGGTTGTTTCCCCGCGAAATGACGTCTGAGAAACGAACGGATGAAGTAAATTTCCTACCAACCAGAGGCACTACCCAGATCTGGGTAGTGACACGTCACCAGTATGGAATTTCTGCGCTCGTTTGTCAGACGCCATTTGGCGGGGAAATCTCCATACCCCAATCGTCGATGAACAAAATCTGTTTACTGAGGAAACTTTAATTTTTATATTAGAAACCACTCAAACTCGAACGCCCGAGGGAAACAGAAAATCCTTCGACTTAGCGAAACTTCAACATGCTTCAAACTAGGGAAATAAAATTGACTAAATATCCAGCTAAAGGGGGGAAAAAGGTTAGTTCGAGTTAACCGATTCCTAGATAACTAAGTTCTACAGTAATGGCAACATACATCTACCTTTGCAGTTGTACAGTAAATTTCCTTGCAGAGCGTCCAATTTACTTAAACCAATTCTTTGGCCAATAGATGCACCCGATTGCAAGGGCTGTATTGTTCTCAATCCCTGATCTTTCGTGAAGAAAAATTCTCCATAATGCATCACAGAACCATAATCATAAGGAACACCGAGACTGTGCACAGTCAGGGCACTTTCTTTCCTAAAATTTTTATCGTATCCTGAAAACAAAACAACAAAGTATTAAATCAAACAGGACCTTTAATGTTGATTTATAACGTGGGAGTTCTTTTATGCCGAGATCTTTTCTTGTTATCCTTTAAGAAAAATTGTGCAACCGACAAACCCGAAAGATAATATGGGATATGATCAATACAGTGTCCCTGACACTGTAGCTGTCTACTTTATTGCTTTCCTTTACTACTCGCCACTGACAAGTCTATGGCCTCTCGTGCCATTCTCTCAAATTTCTTTGAAGAACAGTGACCTCAAAACCACCCATAATACCGTTCGGGATTGTCGCGTGAACTTTTTCCGACAACCTTTTTCGAAATAGCTGTATTTACTCAATCAAAATTAGATTTCTACTCATTCAAAACATATCTCCATCTCAGATTGGCCTTAATAACCGAGCTCGTTCTTCATAACCTTAACTTCATAACAAAAACATGAAAGAAGTTTACGATGTCCGGGGTAAAATGACGTCAATATTACAGGCTATCGGCAGAAAAAGGCGAGGTTACGTTGAGCTTTGTGATATTATGAATATATCACGAATAAAGTAGAAACCTACGTGTAACAGCCGAGATGTTTAAGAGCCTGCTGGCAGAAATTTGCCATTTTAATACAATCTGACTCTCTCGTAAGTGACCACCCTTGGTGCACGACAAAGTGGTCGCTTACGGGAAAAATCAAGAAAATAAGCTCAATCTCAACTGATTAACATAATTTCTAAAAAAAGCTTAACCTTATAGAGAAATAGACCATTGGCAATAATCTTAGACATCGAAAAGCGCTTGCTTCCGCTTTTTGCAAGACTTCAAAAAATGTAGGTTCTTTAATACACGCTGGTTTTTATCGTATATGTATAGACCTTATCACGACTTACCGCTTTCAATGTTGTCCCATAGAATTTTTACAAAATCATCACGGTCAGTTCGACTGTGCTCATGAAAAAATCCTAAAGAGTGCGCAACTTCATGCACAATGTTACCGTGCCTGCAAACAACGCTGAAATCAGAACTTCCTACAGAAATTGTTTGCCTGCCACCAATACGTCCCACATATGAAGAGCATCTGAAAAGAAAAGTAAGAAGTCAGTGACGACCGGAAAATTTCTTCTTGCAACGATCGCAAACGCTTTTGAGACTCACTAAAACTGTTTTAAAATAAAAACAATCAAGGGACTATAAAAATGAAGCCATTATTTTTAGAGAATAAGAAATCAGCATGGTTCAATAGCACTTCGACTATATAGATTGTAGTTGCATTGTAAAGGATAATGTACTGTGGCAGAACTTCAAAAACGGATTGAGTTGCAGACACGTCAAAGTAATGTCGCTGGACTCCTTGCTCTCCAGCTATAGTGCTAACACCAACCAACCAATGAAGTCTAGCCTGTGCCAGGCTCTCAGTCAGTGCAGACGAGCGAAAACCGGTGGGCAAAGTTAAAGACGGGGGGAGAGCCTGTAACTATTTTAGATACTTCCAGAAAACCGTTTCTCAATGTCAAATTTTAAAAATGTCAAATGTCGAAATCAGGTGCGGCGTACAAAGGACCTAACCTGTGAAAACTGACCAATCATAGGTCAAACAAAGACGCCACTTCCACGTTTCTCCCCAACCCCTGAACGGTTTTTAAGCAACTTTTCTCAAACAGCTTCCTGCTATTTGGAATTGGAGCCTTCAACTAGTAAAAGATACTTATGAAAACTTATGATTCGGCATGTTAAAATTACAGTGTGTAAATATAAATGACGATCATTATCATGATGATGATGGATAAAAAGCACTTAAATTGCAATGACAATTGAGTGTCTTATCAAGCTGATTATTAACTACACCCGTCGCAACATATGTAGGTACTTTTTTTCTTTTGGTACTGCCTCTCTGAAGATATTTTAGCTAATACGTACCCTCCCTCGTAGACAAACTCTACGTAATCGTCATCAGCTTCAGTTTTGTTCCTGAATCTAAGGCACGTTTTACTACTCCACTCTTTCATTGCGGAGCGGATGAACCCCTTGCTGGTTGGACCTACAATGACGTCATACAATGATCTAACATACAGGTATGTAACTGGAAATGTAAAATTACACAGTGGATCGTGAATAGGAGTAGCTTGAACTTAATTGCTGTGTCAGTTTCGCCAATATCTAAGACAATCAACGGAGTATATTCGCACTTTTCCATGCTGTATAGCAACTATATATATGACACTGCAATGTCTAGTGGTTGAAATATTTTCAAGTGTGAGCTAGTTATCCGTAAAGTTACATTTTTACCTATTAACGCCATGTTAGAGCTCCTACTTACTCACGAAGTTAAAAACACTTAGGAGCTCTCAAAAAGTCGTTCTAAAGTGCTCGTACATTCCACATCGATGTAGAATTTACAAGCCGTTTGATATTTCGTGAAGTGAGTGGAGAAACAAAGTAGGCTCAAACTGAAAACTTATATCTTATCTTAAGCTTCCTTTAAGGAGTCGTGCGCCTTCGTTAGACATGGCGCTAAGTCTTTTTCTAATTGAATTTGAATGATCAGTTCAGTGTAGGTCATACGTTCAGTTCTACGAGGTTAGCATCATCTCCTTTGTGTTAAAGGGGCACCTGCAACCAGTGTGCATTGCGATCATGCACTTCACAGCACTGAATAAAGAAATCTCGAAAGAAATTACTCTGTTTGATAATAGGGATTGTATATAGGTTTCTTTTAAGAAGGGTATCACAGCCTGCTATTGCCTTAGGTTGTGAAGATACAATCCGATTTTCAAATACAATCGGAACGTTAGTAATTTCTGTATTTTGCAGCAAATGATTTCGGTGAAGTGCACGATCGCAATGCACACTGGTTGAAGGTACCTTGTAAGAAAACTGTATCCCAGTTGTTCTGCCATGGTGGAATAATGATCAGCCTTTAAAATTTAAAATATTTTATTCCCACTAAGGTTACTTACTTAAATCTTCAGCTATCACATATGGTACTATTGCAGTACTCCACAATTTTCTTGTGTCCTTTAGAAGGTCTCTTGACTGAAGTTCGTCCCTGGATGCTTGTATAAAGTCCATCTGTTGTTGAGTAAGCAAGATGTCTCCTTCGAAATAATCTTTTCCCATATTTAATTCCCCAAACGTCGCTGGAATAAAAAATTATTCATCACTTAATAAAACGTAATTGCCTAAATTTGACAGTGTTAACATAAACAGTTTAGTTACTACGTTGGAAATTAATGAATGATAATTTAACCATACGGAGAGTCTGAACAAGATTATCTCACCAGTTTATGCGAAGCACTTCACTTAAGCGCCTTGCAAACGGGCGCAACATTGCTGGATGCTACATGGTGCGTGTTCGTCTGCACATCCTGCTGCATGTTGTTACATGTTGTTGTGTTTTGTTGGGAGTTGTTGCGCAAAGTTTGAAACCGGTCAAACTTTGGTCAAAACAACTACTGCTTCCAACATTTCATTTGTTCCGAGATCACAGAAGCGTAGCACAACATAATGGATCCATTTGCACAGCTTGTCAAACATTGTTGGGGCCACGCACGCGCGTTCAATATGGTCTCCAAAGTATTATGGGTTGTATTCTTTTCACAATGCACTACACAGGCAAGATTGTTGGGAGTTGTTGCATCCGTTTGCACAACACTGCCAACAAGGGCGCAATAACTGTCAAGATTGTTGGCCCAACAATGTCGGGAGTTGTTGCCTCCGTTTGCACGTAGCTTTAGAGCTAAGACAAAAAGGGGAACGGAATCGTGCAACTTGTTGTGCAACATTGCCCCTTTTGGCACTCACGAATCAAGCCTATGCTTTGCAGCAAAACAGATTAACTTTTCACCACAGCCGTTCATGATCATCAACCTGATAGGGCTTAACTTTACAGGAAGCAACAAGTAGCGTAAAGGTTTTTTGCTCGTTAAGGAACAAGAAGTAACACAAGGAATGATATATAGACAATGCCTGTTTTCAAACAGAGAAGTACTAAGTATGAGCCCGTATATTATAGTATTATTAACCACTTAGCCAGAAGCCCCATTAAGTTAAGCGTTATAATGAAGCAAATTTTGAAGAAGATACAGCCAATCAAAAAAGTGAAAATTACAAGGAAATGTTTGGCGTTATCGGCCAAGCCTGTCGGGACGACCACAGATGTCTTGTAAATTTGTGAGACTGTCAAAGTATTGGCTGTATCTCGTTCATAATATAAGTTGTCAATAAAACACCAAACTTGAGTATTTTTGTACAGTTTGGTATGCTCTGTCTGAATGTTTAGGTCTTGTGTTCATAATCCCAAATTATACGGTGTGAAACTAGGTAATAAATTCCTCTAAAGAATACCTTGTCTTTCCTGGTCATAGAGCTTTATGAATGTTGTATCTATAGTTGGCTGGGATAACGAAATGTTTCCTGTGATTGTGCTAGAAACTAATAAGAAGATTAAAGTAAGATCCCAGTAAAGGTGTCGTGATGATAGAATATGACGGTGGATTTTAAACCTGGGAGTACATGAGAGAGACACAGGCGGTTAGGGACAAAAAACTCCGAGATAGTACTACTGTACTCCTGTTACAGCTATGAAAAGAAAAAACCTATGCTGGAGAGCAACGGACGCACTGCAGGGACAAGACAATTCAAACAAAACGCTTTCCAACATAACGGTTTTTTGACCAAGTGAATGACTAACTGCAGAGGGCCTATCATAGCTCACAATGTCAACTCATAGTGTTGTTTCAAACGGTTCCAGCAAAAAACAAAATCAGTATATTAACAGGGATTTTACCTCTCGATGACTCACTTTATTTGTGGCACATGCATTGCTTAAATATCTTTTGGCAAAAATATATTTGTTTTAATAATTGTTTTGTTATAATTTCAGGAGATATAGATTGTTTAGATAGTTCAACTTTTTCCATCCTTTGAAAATAGGTATATAACAATAGACTGAAAGAATCAATTAAAATACTGTTTCTCCTACCTTTACTTGCCAAAATTTGTAACGTGATAAGAATGAGATAAAAGCTGTAACTTTTCTTCCATCTTATCATGGTTTCCCTGTGTAAAAACAGCTTCGATTATATACTGAACATTAGGTCCTTCGTTGCCTCAATGACTATCAAGGATAGTTTACAGTCAAGACTAAGATTGCAAATAGTTCCAGCTGGACTTTTGCAAATCAGTCCTGCTACAGAGAAGCGTCTGAGGCCTTATTCTTTTTATTCATTGGAATTTTAATTTCTTTACCATAAAGCAAACACACAAAAAAAATAAAGATTTCTTGAATACATAGTCGTTCTGTCATGATTGAACAAGTTTTCCAATTGCGGGTGCGCGCTGGCAGAAAATCAAAAGTCTCAAAAAGTCAGATCCCTTTCAATGTAGGGATGTGAGATTAAGAAAAACACAACATTGGCTCCATGTGGTGTCAAAGTATCCAAATTGAGTCAGCAACTGCGCAGGACCCAAACGGCTGTGATCTGTAGAAGAAAACTAGGATGGTTTGTAAAAAAGAGGAATTTGAATCTATATCATATAAACGCATGAAGACTGCCTTCGAAAAAAGTCAAATGCTAGGACGGGTTTCCTTGCACACACTTCATAATTAAAAAGAATATTATTTAACTGTGCATGGCTGAGCGCAGGCATGTTAAGCGCACTCGACATTTGAAACTGTTTGTCAATGCATACATCCACAACATTTTTTTTAAACTAGAGATTAAACCTAAGGGAAATGAGACTACACCCTTGCTGTTATTGTTTAATTTTAGTTTTATAAACTTATGATCATATTACCCGATGCCACAAGGAGCTCCAGGGCAACAGATCGGGCAAGCAACTTAGCTGGTACCATACGCTCTCCGAAAGCAACATCAAGCGATTTTTTATTCATTTTGGAAGAGATTAAGACGTTGAGTTGTAAACGAGTTTAGCAACCCGAGGGAAGGATTGATAAGCACAGGCGCTAAGTTACTGTAATGTGGTCATGCCGGCGTTAGGGCCTCTGCCAATAATTTAATGCAACAAGAGGATGGTGAAGTGCAGATTATACTTGAATTATAAGTTAGTTATCGTCTTAAATAATGTAGAACAGTTGAATTTAGGTAACTTCAACAAACACAGTTAAGAGAAGTCTGGAAAGAATTGGCCATTCGGGGATGACTGGCAGAGCTAGAACAAACTAAATATATTAATCATATACATTCATCGACGAGACAGTTTCAACAAGGATAGACGTAAGAGAGCACTTTACCTTTTGAAGCGTTGAATTATGATTTATAATATGTCTTTTATCTTGCGTCCTTAAAAACTAGGGGAAATAAGTATCGACGTTTTGGCCAGCGAAACGTTCGTTTTGGTTTGAAGAAAAAGGCAATGAGTCGAGCGGGTCAATGAACTGCTAGCTGATTGGTGGAACAGTAACATTGTTAGACAGGTACTTGACATGCTTCACATCACTCAGCCAAGCGTTGAACGGGGTTTAGATTTCAATCAAATTTCTTTAATTCAGGACAAAATTAGACAGTTTTTTTTTTTTTTATCAAGAAACGTCTTTGCTCTCAAACTTTGCGAGCTGAAAGTCCAAAAGTTTTGCTTTGAAAAGAAAGAAAACTACAAAAGTTTCCAATTGGCAGTTTTTCAACTGAAGTGAATCGCGGCTACTGAACTATAAATTTCACACCTTATTCTAGTCCACAATACATAACTATCTTAAGTAAATATTGCGGTCACCTGTTAGAGAATAGAATTACCTTTGCCTAATAGCATCAGCTTACAAACATATCAAACTTCTCATTATTCTGTAACTGATATTAGAAAAAAAGTGATTTATCGTAATTCTTAGAACTAGTCCATTGTGAATGTGATCCTAGTGCTGACTTACTTACTGATTAGAATGGAAGCACTAAAAGAGCAAAGGTGGCCGGGATAAGCATCAAATGTACAAAAATGTTTGCATGCAACTCACGCCATTGGTAGATACGGTTACAGTAAGCCAATCTCTTTACTGAATTTCATATTTCCTTATCGTAATCTCAGATAACCCGAACTGGTAATTTAAACGCTCTTAACCTAAACCATTCACAAACAATTCCTTTTTTGTCTTTCTCAAACTTACCTTCTTTTGATCATAGAAATTAAGGTAATTTTAAATTCGGTGACAGTTTAGATATAAAATATTGTTTTAATTGGTACTGTGTGCAATTGGAAGATGAACTGAACTAAGACTGAAAACTATCAGTGGCAAACGATAATAACACTCACCCTGACTAGTACTTAGAAAAAGGAAACAAAGACGAATAACAGGTTTATACGATCCTATCATTATGTGAAAGATGAACGCTAGGGGAGATGGGGTCCTGATACTGTATCAAACGAGAAAATTTATGTTTCTGCTGATCAAGTCCAAAAAAATACCGAGCCACTGTTTGCCCAACTTTCTCAAATAATCAACTATTTTTGAAGCGAACTCGAGCCGAGTGTTCTGGTAAGATCGCAGGTTTTTGGCGCCTTCTCTGTGTGTTCGTGATCAATTATTAAGTCATTGTGTTTTCTTCATCAATTTCCAACGAGTTTGAAAATGAGTTTGAAAATGCCATTACCATTTTCCAACTGGAGTGAACGCCAAGTGTGGTGCAGTTGAAATCGAATAAATCTTGAATTGTTATGCGAAATCTTTGATAAGATATCCCGCATTCCTCTCTTACAATATAACTACAGCCACTTCCACAAATGAACACGGCTCTTGCCAAATGCACATTTAATCAAAACAAAATGTACAATTAACTCGAGGTATATGGAAAATGGGAGGCAAAATAACAGCAAGCTCTGATGTCAAGAGATTCAGATTCACACTGCCTTAACGACAGAAAAAAAATACGTCAGCTGATACGTTTCAATGCTTTGACTGTGACTAACTGAGGTGCCGTTTCGTTGCCCCTGGGGCACTCAAGGCAGTTTGGTTGTTCCGCCAAGACCATCAAACCTTGGAACGTTTCTGCGAAACTGCTCACCTACCCCTCCCCTAAGCAAAGATTAACACTTACTTCTCACTTAGGGCAAAATGTTGGCTTAGGAGAGGGATAGTTGGGCAGTTTCCCAGGAACATATAATGATCCCAAACCTTTACCCTGTTTAAGACAAAAATCGGTCATTTTGCTGCCCTCTTTGAGACAAGAAACCTCATTTAATAACAATGTTTCACTCAGTTTGGCGTGCAGAATTAACCTTTTTTTTCACGGAATTAGATTTTTTGGAAAAGAAAAGTTGGTACGGTACCACAACTTATTTAAAGGCTTCTGTTTCGAAAAGACACCCTATTGAAGACGCTGTAGTGAAATTGTACTCCATGTTTAAGAGTCAAGACCATGAAAACTATACACTGTTGAGCGACATAAACCCGGCCAAAAAGGGAATAACGCCCTTGTTTATTCCTTGCTTTGTTTTGTGTCAAGATACCTTGGACGCATTGTAGTTACACAAGTTAATTCACCTTCATCACTATTCCCGTTATTCCGTTATATTCGTTTAATTTTCCTTTTTTTTTCCTTTTTCTTTTCCAGGCGTTTTTTAACGAAGCTAAGAGGGACTCAGAGGTACTTTTTTCACGGCCGCCATCTTGAAAGCACCATTCTGTCACTCACCCCACTCCCCCAACTCTCTGTCAGTTTCAACGTCCAAGATGGCGGGAGAGCATTGGTATCATCGCTGGTACTGCAAAATGCGCCTCCTTTTTAGAAATATATTTCCTTTTCATTTTCCTCGGGGCTTTCAATAACTAAAGCGCAGTAGTGATTTAAAACTGAACTGAACAACAAAATAACAAAAGAACTGTAGTGTTCAGGAATGTTTACGTTTCTCTCCTTTCGCGTGGACTTTTGTGTGTTTATTTTGCAGATGACTTCTGTTTCCTTTATGGCTGAAATGTTCACTGCTGGAGGGCTTGTGGCTTTGTTTTAGTACTTTGCTTTTCCTAAGAACCTTGATTTCGTGATCACGCAGAGGTCTATCCCACACTTTCTTGGGAGAAGATCCTTGTCCTGTCTTGTTCTGTGGTTTTACGTCATCGTCATAGTAATCTATTTAAAAAAAATTCAGATCACTGAGAGAAGAGTCAGTTTATAGTTGGTTTAGGCACCATTACACTAACTCTGATCGTCTCTCAGTAATTAGTTACAACTATTAAGAAATTCCACACTGCTCAAAGATTTATCGCTCTTTATAATATTTGATACGTGCGTGATAAGCAATCTGAAAAGCCTTCCCCCTAGCTTCATATAAACCCACAGCCTCTACAAAGCCCGCCTCGTTGTAAGCTTTGACTATTAGAGGTGCCAAAACTCAACAAAGCCCTAGCCCCCATGGTGTTATTCCTTCTCCCCATACTTAGTTAAGCCGGAACACTGACAAAAATAAGCTTCCAAAGGTAACCTTTTTAAGGCTGCAAGAATTTTACAAAGTAGACAAATTTGTCCAATTCTCTGGATGCAGCCTCGGAGGCCAGGCGCGCAATCAATCTGGCGCGCAGGTGAGATTAGCTAATTCAATCCGGCTTCGGTTTGGTTTTTTTTACACCTAGTACAATAACATGTAAACTCGTTCAGTCTCTAGCATGCAAGCAGGTTCACTTGTGCGAGCTCGGGGAAAATTTTTGGCCATCACACGAGGAGATCTAGAAGTCGGCTCAACCGCCAAAATATTTTTCCCGAATTCGCACGAGTGAGCCTGTTCGCAGGCCATTCAGCCTCAAGTTCTCACGCCAGAATTCGAAACATTTGGGCAAGGCCCAAACATTCTCTACTCGGGCTCTGAAGAGGGTACAAGCCTTGTTGCCGGTATGCACGAGTTTTCGGTTAATTCCAAGGACCTTTACCGACTAGTCCATTTTCGCTAGTTACCAGCTCATGGGGGTTCCCAGCAATGCTGGCAGCAATCGACCTTCATGCACTTCCAAGCTAAACGCTCCTGTATCAAAGAACAAAATTCATGCCGGAGAGTATTTCCTGGGTACTCACGAGAGAGGGCTTTGGCCGGCATCTCTCCAATGTTGTTCCACGTTACTTTTGGGGGGAAGGGGAAGGGGGGGGGGCGGTACGGTCTGCTTATTCCAATTACGCCCTCCCATAGGCAATGTAAATATGATCGTTCTCCTCTTCGGCTTTGAAGATCCCTTGACCGAACGCGCGTCATAGTTGTAGTACCTCTTTAGACAGTTTTAACATGCTGGAGTAAAGCACTTGAACGTCTTCTTTGGAAAGGGAGTGGGCATAATAGTGACTGCTACAGGGAGGTTAGCTTGCAGTACTGTCGAAGGGGAGGCGTTTCCACTGAGGAGCGAAATTGCAGCTCGAACATCCAGCTGTATAAGAATGCGATGTTCATGCACAGTGCAATTCAGGGGTGCTCTAGGCGTGGCAGTTGGTAACTGTCGTGAACAATTTGAGTGTATGAAGTTCTGGTCGCGTTGAGCCGCGAAGCCGCCATATTCCCCTACCAAGGTTCATTGTCGCCTTAAAATGTGGGGAAAGAGAGATTGTAGGTCCCCACCCGTGGTTGGATGCAAAGTTCGAATAGCCTTTTGCTTTTTCCTTGGTGAATGCCTGTCTTGACCGGTACGACCATTAAAATCACCAGGTACGACGGCAACGGTGTGACGTTGTACCTTAGAGAGGCATTCGTGGAGGTCGTTAAAGAGGGCTTCGTTATCACTATAGTAAGGAACATAATTAGATAGGAGCGTAGAGGATAGACTTTCGGATTTTTGTCCGAAAGTTTTAACTGCAGCCCTGTGTAGATATTCAAGCTTCTTACGGATCATTAGCCCAACCGCACCAATCCCAGTTTTGGAGGCAGAAGAGTAAATGGACATGAACTCGTGATCGTCGTTTCAGTATTGTAAAACGCTTCCCTTTGTTGTTTTTGGCCCACGAAACAGCTGACCCAGCTTCCCTGTTTAGTAGAGGGTCCAAATGTTGTACGTGGAGAAGTGTGTTCTGCGCAATCGCACCCAGATAGGCTGTAAATTTCTCACAGACCGGTCATTTCCTTGGAATGTACAGCCATCGGACGGTTGGTCAGAGTTTCCCCGAACGTTGTTACTCTTTGCTACAAGCTACAGTCAGCGTGACACTTGTTTCGAGGCGGTTGTCGGAACTACAGGTTTATTTACGATGAAAAGAACGTTAATTCATGCTATAATAAATAAAGTTGTTGTTGTTGTTTTTGTACCTTCAGCATCAACCGTTTTAGTCGCCTTTTTTAGATACGTTGGTCGTATTCTTGCCCTATGGGGCCGCACGCCACACCGCGCTTTGCTAATGCTTCTACAGAAGGTTAAGGATCATGTACCGCATAACGAAGATCTCGTTTTTAAGTGGTGTCTGACGGGGCAAAATGAAGCAAAATGTGTGCATAAGCAATACACAACATATTGGGTAGAGTCTAAACACAGCACTGATTCGTCTTCGTGCCGGTGGCCAGGTACTACTGCTCAGGTACCAAGTGTGAGCATGCTATTAAAACTTTGGAGCTGGGAATCTACAGCTCAATCTCTGGTTTGCAATGCTTAACAATACCTGTGCAGTCGTACAATAGGTTTCCTTGTTCAACGTCCTTCTCGCTAAGGCCAATTCGCTGCCCAATAGATGCACTGGGGTCCAAAGGCTCTAAGGTCCTCATTCCTGGCTCTCTTGTGAAGAAAAATTCCCCGTAGTGCATAACAGAATCATAATCGTACCCAACATCGCGAGGGTCTACAGTGTCCAAAGTTTCCTTGTGGAAGTTTTTTTCGTATCCTGAGAGAGAAAGCAAGCATATATAAAAAAAAATTATCCCTTGGAAGGCTTCCAGGTTCATTTGTCAAAACAAATTATCGATATTTAAGGATATTTGCTAGAATTCAAGAGTAGAGCAACGTAACTCACTATAATTATGCGAAGTTGTCAGTCTAGTCATATTGGCAACAAATTAAGTGATAGGATTTCAACAAAGTTGAAAATTTTCTGGAAGGAGTTTCAGAATTCGAAGCTGAGCTGAAAGTAAACATTCACTGAAAGGATAATGCAATTCAAAGGGAAAAATCAAAGTAAAGGAAATCGAAACGCTCTTCAGTTTTATACGACTATGGAGGTTCAATACCAACCGCTTTCAACATTGCCCCAGTGAACGTTGACATAGTCATCACGGTCGGGTCGGCTGTGTTCATGGAAGAAACCCACGGAATGCGCAATTTCGTGAACGATATTACCGTGTCTACAAATAATGCTACCATCTGCGTTTCCTACTGAAATTGTTTGTCTGCCTCCGATACGTCCCACATAGGAAGAACATCTAAAAGAAACCGAAAGCATTACAACAGTAGCTTCATAGTAGGGAAAATTCTGAAAATGAAAAACAATTCTGCTATAGACATGACCAATAACATATCTAATGGGATCAAAAAATGCTTTCCGGCATGGCCAATTTCACTCTTTCTTTGATCAAATTCAACCCTAGATGTGTCTGTCCTTCGGAGTGAAAATTATTCACACAACACGTGGATCAACACATTGTGTCTTGCATAGGAATCGACGGAATACCGAGTATGAAATACAGGTATGGCGAATATGACCAATTTAATTCCGATGCGGAAAAAAATGTGAGCTGATTTCGTTTAAGCGGCGAGCAATGTACGTACCCTACTTCGTAGACAAACTCTATGTAATCTTCGTCGTCATAAGTTTTTTCCCTGAACTGAAGACAAGTTTTTCCACTCCACTCACTTATTGCTGAGCCAATGTAACCACGACTTGCCTCATCTGCAACCGCATGCAAAAGTACGAGGCAATTTGAATTTAGAGTCGAAAGTACGGATTTCGTGATTTCTTTGGACGCAGTTTGATTGGCTCAAAGTCTTAAGTCATGGTAGGCGTTAAGATATGCTTTTGTTTAAGGTAAAACAAAGAAAAAGGGGGGTACATTTATAAATAGTCTTATGTAAGAGAGTTAATTATGATTCGTAAACTTAATTTTTTAGACATTTTGATGAATCAGTGTGTGTGTAGTGATAAGGGAGAGAGCTTAGCATACAAAAGGCCTTGGCACGAATTCTTGCTCGCGGATTTCTTTCCTTTTAACAGAGACTCGTAGGAAGGAGAAGATTGGGCCGGCTACAGGTGTTTGTTTCAAGCTAATTAGAGTTATTTGATTTTGTAATAATGATTAGGTTTTGGTTTTCAGTAAAACACTAAATTCAAAACCGCTGTATGTCCAGTTTGATTGAAAAAGTCCTAATTTATATGTATTTCACGCAGTGCTACAGGTTCTTGCGTCTTTCTAGCCAAATTTAGCGTGCGTAAATTGTTTAACAAACTTACTGAGGTCGTCGGCAAGTAAATAAGGTACGACAGCATCAATCCATAATTTCGCAGTATCTCTTACAAGATCTCTCGCTTGAATGTTACTTGCATTTTTTGACGCGTTGATCAAATCTTTCTGTTGTTGAGTGAGTAAAATATCACCTTCGAAGTAATTCATTCCCAGATTTAATTCACCATAAGTTGCTAAAAAAAAAAGAAGTGTCATTGTTAAATCTATCCTTAAGTGGCAAAATTAAATGTGATTGTTCTCATGGAATCGAAAACGCAGTACTTGGCTTATTTACTGAAATGTCAAAACATTTTTTAATAGTTTTTAGTAGAATTCGAATTACTTTAAAAAAAGCGAAGGCTGTTTTTCTTACGCTCACTTTGCATTTCAGTTTTAAAGCTACAATCAGTTGCAAAAATGTTGCGACACTCCAACAACCAAACGACGTGTCTTACTTCAAATCGCTCCTAGTCACAGGTCTGTGAGATGTAATACTGACCTCCCGTCCACTCAAGTCGTTCCTCCAAGTCTTGTATTACTAGCAACTTTGATAAGGGGTGAAGGGGGATCAAAAGCATAAGACCATGGACCAGCCGCTTAAGCCGAAATACGGTACAGTGTCTCAAGTACTTTTGCAACTGGTTGTAGCTGAGATGAAGGTCCCCAATAGGGTTATCAATGCCGTCATCCCAACTCAATTCTGTGCCACCCCGTAATCCCGATGATCGTTTTTGTCAATCCCGAATCTCTTCCCCATTTTGCTTTAAAATTCCGAGTCCCGGCCTTCAAATAAGGGAAGTCCCGCATCCCGAAAACCGTATCTAGGATCGCTTGCCAATGACAGGAAAATTTATAGATCCCAGTTAATGGGCAGAGTAGTCTGCTAATTGTAAAAGTCTAGCACTTGAGGTGAAATTTCACTTTTTAGTCTTTTCATTCTAAAGTAAAAAGCTTTCTGTCATTACCTTCCACTTCGTCTTCGTACGTTTTCAAGGATGTTGGGTCTATATTTACATCCAGCTCAGTGAAATTGCTCGTTATGTTAGCACCAGTTGCGACTGATCATAATACGAAGAACAAAAGTAAAATATATCAATGAGTTATAAAGTTTAACAATTCATGACGTAATGCGTGAAAGTCTTGAGCTTTTTGCTTATATCATTTGTAAATCCACAAATAAACTATTATCAGTGAGATCAGTATTTTAACTTCACGATCGAATGATATAGCTCTTTTATTCAAGCCCCTAAGAATAATAATGTTTATAAGATCAGCGGTCGAGTGATTCAAGGACATGCGCATAAAGGGAGGACAGAGCAACACACCAGTGATTGTAAGTTGAGCTCCAGCGGCCACACAGCCAAAACACTGAGCTGAGCCACCGCTCCTTAAGTCCCTCTTACTGGGTATATATACGAATGTCGTCAATGGTGTTTATATCGGCAAACATCAACAGGCAAGCTGGTTACGTGGCCTGGTAGCCTGCGAGCAAGCTCTCCTATTTGGGCAAGCGAAGGCCGATAAAACCCTCCTCGATCTTCATATTTCTTCATAAGTACTAAGATACTCGGCCACATCCAATAATTTCGATCATCATTAGTTGTACTCAATATCTGTATTCTCATCAACCAATAGCCTTCAATGATTTTTGGAAATCAGCACAACCTAAAAATTGAGTTAGTTATCTGTTGGTTGCGCGCGCAATACGTGGTTTCCAAGAGCACTTTGTCAAACTGTTTGGACCGTACTATGTGTTTGTGATGTTTGTCGTTATTCTCCTCAAAACAGTGTATATAAAACAATTATCAGATTGGGTTTTTGTGTTTATCAGGAATGATCAAGGTCTAGGTACTTTTATTACTTACCTCAACCTTGATTCATGATTCCGGATATCACAGAAACCTCATCCATCAATGCAAATTAGTAATACTTACCGTTACTTAGCAGGGAGAATTGAATAACCAAAATTACAGACACACCAAAACATTTCATCCTTCTCTGTGAACTTCTGTGTTTCCTGGTTGAGCGTAATAAAATGTGTCAGCGAAAGGCTGGCGAAGAAAAGTGACCACAACGTCAAATTTACCTTCTGCATTTCATCTTGTCTGACTACAAGTCTACAGAATTCTTATTCAAGTTTGCCTGCCTTGACAAAGCCATCTTTATTGACTGACCGTGATATCCTTCCTAATGCTCAGTGCTACTGAACCATTTCAACCAACCTTAGCTTTTATTTGGGCTTGTCGACGTTTCTCAAGCTCCCCAATTTTCTAAGTACACTTCATTGGGTAGGCTTTCCTCTATTTTCAAAATATTCCAGTGGTCAATAATTCTATGTGTTAACGAAGCAGTCATAGTATATCGAGTGGCTGTCCTGCCAATCTGAGATGTGGTAATGCATTGCTGTCTAAACCTTTCAGATTCAGTATACTGTGGAACCTCAATATAACAAAGTGCCAAGGGACTGGCAAAATTTGTTCGCTATAATGAAGTTTCGTTATATCGAGGTTCATTTTCATATATTTTACCAATTACTGGGGTAAAAAAAATCGTTCATTATACCGATCGAAGACTCCGACCTTAATAGAGGTTCGTTATACCGAAGTTCCACTGTACATGATACAGGAACAAATCTCCACTCATTTTCTCCAAATAATTCAGTATGAGAGAATTTGATAAAAGATCAAAACGTTTTCCCTTAGTTTATCATTTTATCAGTTCTCACAAACTTCATTCTTTAGATTATGTGGTGATATTTCTAGGAGAAAATTGATGTCGGTCACTCTTCGGACTTCATGTAACTCTTCCGCATATCCCCAATACTAATAGAATGACTACCATAGGCTGCATCGTCAGGGGCCAATTATTGACATGGTCGTTCCCGGTGAAATCAACTACAAGTAAATTTACTTTTTATAAGCATTAGTTTTGCCCAACCTTTTGTACCTGCTTCTCCTGGCCTTACGACCTTAAAATTAGCCGAGACCAAATAACCCCGTTCCAATGTGAATTGAAAACAGTCAAAAACAATTGAACTTGCTGCGCCACCAGTGACTGTTTTGGACAGATTTCTATTTAGGGTCAAGGATCGTCAAAGAAAATGACAAGGGAAAAATTTGATACTAAAGCAATGGTTTACCTACTGGTCCGACAACGGAATTGTTATTAATAACTGCGAATAAGTAATAATACTAATAATAATAATCTGCAATCGGTTGTTATTAGAATGAACACTTGATTGCGACTGATTGATTGTGATTAAAATAACTTTGAAAGCGCCCAACCCAAATATTTTAATTATATTTGGTCTAGGAGCAGGCCATGACATAAAGCAGAAGGAAGTAATGTAACCTATTTTTAAGAGAAAAAAAAAGATATTACCACCTGACGGTAATCTGAAGTAATAGCCTTCGTCAAATGTGAAGTTAAGATTTTTCCGCCACATACATGATCATCTGAAAAGGCCCTTCTTCACTAGAGCGTATAGAAACAGGCAAATTCAACGCCCCACAGGCAGGTGCTTGGTAACGGATGAGAACTCTTTACTGCAGGCGGCTGGCCACCGACAGTTTCGCACATGATGTCGTTACAGAGCGTTCATATTTTTGTTTGAAACTTCAGTCTAAGCTGGATCAAATTTTTCTGAACACCGGCTGTATAGAATTTTTTGGGGCGTGCATAGGGGGCTCAAACTTTCTTTCTCTCCCACCAAGGCCCCGCTACTCCCTTCCCCCACCCCTCCCCCAAATGGCCGCAAACAAAATTACCGGGCATAGTTGGGGGAACTGAGTTCAGCTCTGATCTTTAATACCCGTTCTGACACAACGTTGGAATTATAAGAACACTTTAATTTATTTAACAAAATATCCTAACTTTATGTTTTGAAAAGTTTTTACGTTTGATATTCTACACAGCTAAATTCTGTTCCGCTTCAGTCAATTCATTGCGTCGTCTAATGCCATCAATGTGCACTGATAAAGCAACCTTCCTCTCTGCGCATCCAGAGCACTGAGCTTTTCTCTTTGTCCAATTCGTACTCCTTTCATCTTGGCAAGTAACGTTCTCAACCCCCTTTCTTGAGAAAAGAAGAATGATCCATAATGCATCACAGAATTGTAGTCGTACGGCATGTCACGTGAAGCAATCGTTATAAATCTCTCCTTTTGGAAATGGACTTTGCATCCTGGAGGCAGATCGAGAAGCAACAATTTTATTTCAATTCGAATTTATTAACAAGAAAAGAATCTAAGAGTTCTAAGTGACCGTCCTGTCTTTATCTGCAAGCACCCTTACTTTAGTTTTTTCTGCTTTTTTCGGCGTATTTGTATCAATAATCCAGTAAAGATTGTTGCACAGTTGTTACTGTATCATCGACAAGTGTATTAATAAAAGACGGGAAAAAAGATTTTTTTTTATTTTCAGTTATATTTAACTTGATTTGTTCTTCACCAGCAGTTCAGGCGGCACTCAGTGTAGTATAGTTTCAAGATGTGACGATAGCCATAGCCCTCCCTGATGCCCTTGAAAGCTAATAATATCACAAGCATGCAATGTGTATGAATGTCTTACGGTGGAACTCATGAAGTTTGTTTGTACCTCCCGGTATTAAATGTCCTATTATCATAATTATTCTAAACTTTGAGTCGTGAAGGAGGTTATGTTAAACGTGTACCATCTAAGGTAGGTTGTGAATGTTTTATTACCAGGAATTACGTTTTTCCAGACCACCGTCAGATATTCATCACGATCAGGTCGGTTGTGTTCGTGATAGTATCCTAGCGCATGCCCAATTTCGTGTAGGATGTTGCCCTTCGTGCACGTGATTGTCACGTTGCTGCCATATGGCGTAGGAGTCATGCACGACCTGTCTGAAAATTCTGTTCCTATGGAGCCCACGGAAATGACTTGCCGGCCTCCAATTCGGCCTATATTTGACGAACAACTGCAATAAAACACAAAAAACAAAAAGAAAAGAACAAGTAATGACAAAAGGTCAGCAAAAAAACTTTCAAACATTGGCTTTGCATTTTAACGAAACGGGTTATCTCAATAAAAGTCAAGACAGTACAGTCAAGGCCTTTGACGACAGTTGAATACTGGGGAAGAGAACCAATAACAAGAGAACCTGGCTGGGAATCGAACAAGGTCAGTGGCATGATTGAATTGATTGATTCCCGCTTACGAACGCAGAGAAGCTATTGACAAGATAGTCTCCAAGGCTTTTTACAACAATAGGCCACGCCTTTAAAAAACGATACATGAAAGTTGAAATGTCGTTTTTGCTTAAGTTTGCAAAATGTCTCCAAATTAGTCACTCAACTCATTCTTTGGCGATCATAACACTAATATATTAGAATCAAAGCGAGCTGTGTGAATCGAAAATGAGCCTATTAGACTATATTATACTTAAGGGTGTGCATAAGACCGTCGGCTCTCTTGGATGACATAATTTGTGTATGCTTCGAATACTGCTACGTTAGGACTAAAGAAGCAAGAACTATCGTGGAATAATTGGCAGTCCTCCTTTTAACGTAAAATCTTTAAAAAAGAAAGGAATCATTCACTCTGGAGACCATCGGATAACAGTCAAAGAGCTGTCTCGTCGCTCAGTACCCTTGAAAGTAGTTGAATATATAGCGATAGATTTAGCTTGTCTATACCATACCCTCCTTCATAGGCGAACTCAATGTAATCTTCTTCTAAGCTTCTTTCTTTGAAAGTGATACAAATACTATTTTGCCACTCCTGCATTGCTGAACGAATGTTTATTAGACTCGCCATCCCTGCAATTACCAAAATGTCTCGCTAAGCTAAGATACTTTTTTTTTCTAAGGTAAGAAACAATTTCTTTCATTTAGTAGACCTTCCTTCATGACCTGCTTTTTGGTATACTTTTCGACATTTTTCCTCTCTCCCAAGTGTAAATTGATATTAATTCAGCAGCAACGCAGACTAACTTTTTAAATATCTCAGTAGCTAGACAGCACAGCATTGTCCATCATTATTCTGCGTTAAGACTGGTTTACACTGGTGAAATAACGACATTAAGCAAAACGAAGATCAGCAGTATATGTGTTTATGTCAGCATTGTGTAAACGTGAAGACATTTGACAGCTTAACGACACTAAGAAAAAAAATATATGTTCTTTCATGCTACTGGTGTGCGTACTGAACTTAACTTGAGAAGTCTAACTTTTCAGCATCATCAGCCCATCATCAGTGCACGCAAATCTTTCTCATGAAGCGGTTAATAAGCACTTCTCTTTCAGTTGCTATTTTCTGTTTAGCGAAGTACTTTCAGTAGAGTTAGCCTGTCCCCGTTCTCCTTTGAATTCTTTCTCTGAAAAGTTGGGGCTTACCGAGGCGGAAAGTTTCCCATCAATAAATTTAGGATCTTTGAAAAAGAAATACTTTAAGTTACTTACGCAACCCTCTTGTCAGAGTATATGGTACCGTATTGTTCAACCAAAGCTTTCGGAAACTTAAACCTCTCGTTGTGTCCTCACTTTGTGTCGGGTGATCTTTCCAACGTTTCTGGAAAAGGTCACTTTGTTCTTCGGTTAACGTGATATCACCTTCGAAATATTGTTTACTGAGGTTCAACTCCCCAAAGTAGCCTGGTGAACCAATTATGAAAAATCAATTTAAAGTGGAGCCAAACCTACATTTGTAGCCAACTCAACAGGTCATATGGTTACTTAACTCTGGTGAGCACAAGCAAACCAAACTACAACCCAATTAACCAAGCCTCCTCTTTCTATTCTTTGTTTTCTTTATTACATCACTTTAAACAGATTTTACCTAAATATTACATAGCTTGTAAAAAATAGTCCGCAAACTGAAAATGCATAATCACACTACTCATCTGTGATGGCGACTAAGTGGCTGCCATGGTGGATTTTATCAAAGTTCGGAGCGAAATCATCAAGAATAAGGAATTAAGCTGTAGTTCGTTTTTTACTGAACTAGGCTTGTCAAATTATATATTATTTAACATTTACCGCTTGTGTTTTGCGCACTTAAGTGCATTTTTCCAAAAAGTGGCTCGACCGTGCTGGTCTCGCCGTAACCCTGGAAACCAACTATCATCATTTGTAGCCTTAATTTGTGCCAGACTAAGCGTCGTTTCAAATCATCAGTACTGACCGGGTGGAAATGTCACCCATCCCATGTCTTCCCGTGCTCACGCTGCTCTATGGATGTTTATCAGACGGTGGGGCACTGTGTTAATCAAAATTCCCCAACTGATTATATTATACGACGCAAAATGGGAAAATGCAACTACAATAAAACAATATTTAGCAAAACTTTGCTGTGATAAATCAAAGGTAAAGGATAGATGTGTGTATAATAATTATTGGCCTGTGTGTCAACAACCTGAAAGCTCTAAATGCTCATAAAATCCTGGTAAAACCTGAAGCGTCACTTACCTCTCATTTCCTCATCGTACATTTCTAATTCCATCGTCGAATCAGAATCGCTGCTATTTTCGTCTACGGATCAGTAGAGGCATATGAGTAGTTTGAAACATAAATAACATAAAAGTTACAGAAACAATAGACCAATTATGTCAATTATCCAAGTACGTCCACCTTGTTGGTTTAACCAATTAAAATGCATTGCCTCCGTGCTATTGAGAAACAGAATGCTTTGAAGACACTCTCGTTGTTTACACTCACCAGAAATGACAACATAAGCAAATCCCATAAGGAAACCGAATAAAAGGCCGGTTATATACAGTGTCATGGTAATTGCTTGATTCCTACATATGGGACTTTATCCTTCAGACGAGATTTGTTTTACATATACAAACACAAAAGACAACACATGGTTCCAATTGAAGACAATTTCTGGTACCAGACGAGAGCTGTCATTCTATTATAATGAAGTTAAATTAGTCCCCGATAAATTAAACTCTTGTCATAATACTTGTCTCCTTGTTTACTTGTTTCCTTCCTTATTAAAAAGCAAGGCTTTAAAATTCTGGAAGGACGCATCCAAAGTCGAGCCTTTAGTTTGTGAATTGACAAAGACGAGTAGATTCGAATTATGAGAACAACTGATATATACACTAGACGCGGTGGAAAGGTCTTGAAAAGGAAGGCTGCTGTCTAGGGCCGCTGAGCCATGTGGGCCGGATGGCGTAGCAGGAGTGAATAAGGTTGCATTTTCAACCCTACTTAACATGGAGTTTCACGCTTCTCATTTTGAAAAGGACTTCCCGTAAAAGGGTTTACTGAGGCCCGAAGGGCCGAAAATCTTGGAGACCACCCTTCCCCCCCCCCTTATCTAAAAGTCTGGATCCGGCACTGACTACGTATATTCATAATCAAAACGCTTAGGATCGATTAACTCTTACAGAAAAGGTGACTGGGATAGGACTATAATTGCCACACAAACTATGAATGCACACCAAGCAAGTCTCAAAGTCTGCTTATTTCATTCTACAGACAGTTCAAATTTTCAACCCAACCTCTAAATGTTTGTTAAGATAGTGAATGCAGACTGACTAATGACTGCCAAACGCAGCTGGTTTTCCGAAGTTTGGTGTTTTCTGAAGGAAAACTAGGGCTGATGGTTGCTTGGTTAGCGGTAGTTATAGAGTACTTGACACTGACTTGACTAGCAGTCTTATTTCAATTGATCACATGATGAGTCTGAGGACAGCCCTAGGGACCCATCGACTGTCTCAAACAAGATCTTCAAATTTAAATATACTGCCCTAAGGGTCTCTCCTCTATCCATGAGAAGCAAGCTTATTATCATGGTAAATGACTCATTTCCACAACATCGCTCCATGCAAGGGAATCCTGATCCCGAAATCCGACAAATTTTTGCTTGTGGAATCCGGAATCCAGAAATACCGTAAAATTCCGAAAATAAGCCCCTCCATGTATAAGCCCCTCCAGATATAAGCCCCCCAAACCGGTAACGCAAAAAACCCTCTGTTAAATCGCCCCTCCAAATATAAGCCCCCCCGGGGGCTTGCACTTGGAAAATTGCCCTCATATAAAAAGAAAAACAAAGCAAAAACGGTAAATTTACTTCCAACTATATGGCTAGCCCAATTGATTTTGAAACGCAAATTTCCCTCCGTAAATAAGCCCCTCCGAATATAAGCCCCTCCAAAAATAAGCCCCTCAAAAAGGGCCTTTGAAAAATATAAGCCCCGGGGCTTATTTTCGGAATTTTACGGTATTTCCTATTGGAATCCGGAATCCTAGTCTTTGGAATCGGGAATACAGCTCAACTAATCCGGATCTCACTAACAGTTGGAAACCGGAATCTATGTTCCCCTAAAAACGAAAGCATAATACAGCATCTGGAATCTGGAATCCACGTCATGGAATCCAGAATTCAGGACTGTCTTGAATTCCCTTACACGGAGCGAACAACTGCTCAAGCTGTTAAAAATATAAAGAAAAATGCTTCCGTGAGATATTGATAAAAAAAAAGCCCGATTTTGTTCACTGTCTTTTTTTTTACATTATTTTTTAGTTGAAAGAATATACTTCCTAAGATCACGTAAAGCTGACAAACACAGTGCACAACGGAATAAAATCACTTTACGTTGACCTGGTAGCTACGTAGTTAATCTTTTCACTTTAATACCTTTATTGTTTATTTTATAAAACGGTATTGTTTTTAAATGAATAACTAAGCAAACACATTAACAATTCATTATGTAATCACTCAGGAGCCAAAATATCAGGCAAGTCAGAATAAATATTTCCTTAACAACCCGAGGTTCAGAGCCACACAATATGATGATTTGACTGCGCAGTTGATTGGAATTCGTAACTGCCCCTTAAACTTAATTCTTCCCATAACTAGAGTCCAATTCTTTGTGTGACAGTCCTCCTTTGACTAAAATTTTTGTATTGCGTGTCAGTGCGGTTGTCCAAACTCAAAGAGTTTTTAAAGGCATTTGCTCGGCGCAAATACGTAGGTTGATGTTCTTCCGACTGCCTTAACCAATCCCAAATTCTTTTCTTAGTGTCTCTGTACGTTGGGTCTTTGTAGTCCTCAGGTAATTTGCACTTTACTTCCATTTGAATGTTTTGTTTCGTGCATGCCACAGGTCCTTTGTTCGTCGAAGCTTTGTTATTTGCTGCTAGTCCATTTGCAGCGCCATCCATTTTCACAGTCTTTAAGTTGCTACCCATAGGTGGTAATTTTGTAAATACTCGGCCATGCGAAATCTGGTTCTCTGTTGTTTTTGCTGACGACCGGTTTCTTGCGGTAAACATCGTGAATTCACAAATCGATGGAAGTGTTGGCAAAGTTGTTATTTCCTTACTGGTGCAGGTGTTTTGAACCTGCTTAGATTTGTTTTCTGGTAATATTAATTGGACCCTTAATGAATTTTTGTGTTCGGCTCCTTTTTCGTCTTCTACCTCGCACAGATCAACATAACCAGATGACAGAACTTGTTGCTCTCCTTTTGCTTCCTTTGAACGTTTACTCTCTCGCATCGTATACGAATTGGCCTGTTCTTTTCATGAGTTCAACGCTGTCATGATTGAATGTTCAATACTGAAAAACTGACGACTAAGTTTTCAGTATTACCTGGTAACAAAGCTAGGCTGAAGGCTCGTGCAAACAAAAGAGCCGTTTCTAAGAAAAAGGATTAGTTGACCAACCTTTTTGCGAATTGACAATGAGTACAATGCGTGCGTCCCCAGAGGAATAAGCCGTCTATAGCCCCGAGAACATTGATTTAAAACTGAACCACTCGTTAAGCACGTAGAGACTCGGATAATAAAGATCAGACGTAAAATCTAAAAGTGAAGTTAGTATTGTTGTATTTTCTTTGTTGCGGGTAATCGAGAAGATTAAATGTGAATACAGAATCAACAAAGACGTAAATGGCCGAGGCCATGATCACGACTTTTTTCGGGAGAAAAACATTTTTGTACTATAAAAATCCAAACGGACTTCGGAGTACAATAATATTCATCAACAGTTAATTGGTTGTTGCTTTTTACAAGTAATTTCAAAATAAAAACGGAAAAAGGATTGAGATTGTAGGTTTAGAATTGAAGAGCCCTCTAGCAATGGGTCTCTCCGCCAAAAAAAAAAGAATGTTGGTCTGTACTGTGGACGTTTTTACCATTGTCTCCCAAACTTTAAAATTCCAGAGGGTCAATATTTAGCGTGGGCAGAGGAAGGACACTACCTGTTACATACATGACATATGCTACAACACCGCTGACTTTTGTAACTGCGGAATCATTCCGTGAGTTTCAAAATGGAGGGTGTTAACTCGCCAGTTGCTAGTTTGAGTTTTATACCACCTTTTGGATCTACTGTGGAATCGGACGCCGATAAAACCAACTTTGAGACGGCCACATCTTCAGTGAATTGCTTTGCCGAAGTTGTTGTCACTCAGAATTACTCGGACATTTCAAGGTAGTTTGTATAACCTTTATGTTTTCAGTGTTTTATTTATATATAGCTGTAAGTTACATGTAACCTTACATGTGTATATATTTATTTATATGGTCAATTAATTTGGGTGTGTTTGTATGCACGGTAGTGCATGATGAAGAGTTTAAAAGAAGGAAAATGAAATTTAAACCAAGGATAAAATTGGACCACTACATAAATAATTATTTATCGTTATGCTTAAACATGTTTCTCAGCTGATGGCTGACTAATTGCACAAGGTAATTTTCCATTTTTGGTTTGCAACCCCTTGACCAGGTGGACATGTTGGTCGACAAAACATGACATTTTTTAGTAGATTTTTAATGAAGTAAAGAGTTTGGTTCCCTGTGGAGATACGCTCTTTTTCTTGTCAACCATCATGGCCACCAGGCCGTCAGATGCAAACCAGCAGTTTTACACTGTAGCAGACTTTGTAAGTCTAATGACTTACGATCCAAACTAAGGTACAGTGTAAATATACAATGACTTGTGTAGGTACATTTATTAAATAGTTTTAAAGCATTTTTCTTTTCCTGTCAGGTTAAGGAAAATAGGGAAAATTCTCAAACCTTTTTGAACAGTTAAACAACAGAAGACAGTAGGCACTAAGACTAAAATATAAGGCCTTAGATTCTAACCTTGTGAAAAATTTCCATAAATTGTTCATTATACTTTCATTTTTCTCAGGAGTGTTGCATTGCCAGGTAATGGAGTGGCAACATTTGCTGTTAGTTCAAGTGGTACTCTTACCTGTCCAGGTATGTGTGCAGCTGTGTCTAATTTGTGAGTCATTTAAAGTCAGGCAGAAGAGTTTGTTATAAAGGAAAGAAGACTATTTTAAAATTAAAATTAATGGTCATTGTATAGGTAATAATCTTTGCTGATGTCATACGTGTAGTTTACATTTCTCCTCATTAGCTTACGATTCGTGGCCATACAGCTGTATATATGAACTAAATTCCAAAGTTGAAAGAGCTGTTGAACTTGAGAAATTTGTGCAATGTTCAGCTCTTTGCAAGCAATATTGAAGGAAATACCAGCCATCAATAACTGCGAAATTGCTGGGTAGCGAGAAAGTTAATGATCCATACACTGTACATTCTTCATAAAAGTTTGAGTTTTACTGTACAATTTTTCAAAACTATCTGGTATATTGGACTCAAATTTTCAGCAATTTTATTACCAGTATTACCTTTGTCGGATAATGATAAGCATATGTTAATTAGCCAAAAAATGTAAAGAAAGATTTGCTACACAGCTGCTTGTTCATGTATTATTAAAATGTTTTGTTGTTTGTTTGTTTGTCGTTTCTTTTATTTTCCTGTTAACAGCAATATTAAAGCATGTTGAATGCTTTTTAAGAGTTTCTAATGTTGTTGATATAGCTAGCTGTAGGCCAGTGAATTTTCTGCAAGCCACGTCTTCTACTCAAGTGACAGATAAATTTCTAGGAGTAGTTCATGTTAGTGAATAATAATTTTAGTCTAACAGATACATTGGAGGTTCTATCAAATCTTACTGTGCTTTTCATCTTTATTTTCAGTGTTATATTTGAAACTCAGTTTAACCTGATAAAAATACTGATTCATTATATTTCCAGGTGCGGTGTTGACCAGTCCTGTAGCAGTTGTTTCAGTTCCTGAAAACCAGCTGTTCTCTGTCCAACAGCCGCAACAGGTTGATTCGATTCAACATGAAGCAGACTTACCCAATGATGAAGAAGTTACAGGAAGCACAGCAAATGTCACTGATGCACATGAGTTGACGATAAATGTTGACATTTCTTCCTCTGCAGCTGGTTTAACAGAGAGTGGAGTACCCTTGGTGACAGAAGGGGCACCAGGTAGTTCTGCCAATGATCCTAAGGTGAGTAGTACACTGTAGTCCATTTACTTAGCACATTATACATTCTTATTTCTACTTACTATCTGTCTTCTCACTGGGTAAAAGCCTTCATTTTGGAAATCAGTGCAACCAAATGATTAGTTTGGTAACTGCTAGCAGATAACTGACTTATCTGTAGGTTTGGTTGTACAATGCTTGATTACCAAGACCCAAGTCAGACTATACGCCGTAAGTGTTTCTGTCTCGGTTAGTGTTATCAGCCTCAGCATTGGCTGATAACAATTACCTTGACCTTGATTATTATGGATATCACAAAAAACCCCATCTTATAATTGTTTAATATCATGTAGAAGATACAGTGGTAAAGTAAGTCACAATAGATGGCCAAATAACCCTTTGACTACCAAGAAAATATCTCTATATAAAGGACTCTTTATATAGAGAGAAAACTGTTTACATAAAAACCCATAAAACGGCCATAAATTGACCAGTGGACCACACAGGAGAGATGTTAAACACATTTTAAGTAAGGTAAGCTGTTTTTTATTGAAATCCTTTCATTTTCGTAGGTTTCAGAAAGGATAGGTTTTTCCCCATACAAATCCTTATATTTCGAGTGTTATGCAACAATGCCGATGTTCGCCGATGCTCATATTTCGAGCTTGGGCTACCTGTGGTGCAAGGGTGTTAATAATCGTGTTAAGATAATTGTGTGGTTACACATATGTTTTCCTTCACCTTGCAGCAGAAACGAAAAGGTGGTTGGCCGAAAGGCAAGAAGCGAAAGAAAGAATTTGGAAATCTGAATAAACCAAAAGCTCCAATAACTGGGTTAGTTAGTTTTTTTTTTTAATAATTATCAGTTGCTGTATGTGAATAGGTACAACATAGATTCATATTAGAGACCTTTAGACTCTAAAATTAGGGAGACTTCAAAGAGATGAGACAAAAAAAATTAAAGTGAATTTGCTTTTTGAGCTTTCATATCGAAATTCAAATTTCATTGTAGTAGTCCTCACCTTAACCCAGCTTTGAATAACCCGGCCCTGAACCTATACTAGCGAGCACTCAGAGATGCAGGCTGTTCTCGCAGGATAGGACCTTACTGCCCAAGTGAAATAAATTTCACCGTGGACATAATATATATTTGTTTTTAAAAGTTCCTTTACGTTGGATTTCTTTATCTGTTCAGGTATGTGAGATTCATAAATAGTCGCCGTGCGGAAGTGAAGCAGCAGCATCCACATTTAACTTTTGCAGAAATAACAAAAATTCTTGGATCCGAGTGGAGTAATCTTCTGGCAGAAGAAAAACAGGTGTGAAAACTTGCAGACTGTGCGTATTATACAGAGCTTGCTGTGGCATATTTTTGAAAGTTTTCTTTTGAAAAAGCATCGCTTAAAATAGTTTGCGTAGCAAGCGTTTCCGCCAAACTCCAGCAGAAACGATTACTTTGCAGGCTAGGTTTAAAATACTCAACTGATTGGAATGATATACAGTCAAACCCCTGCCACGTACCCAGACGTGTCTCTCTTGATGAAAATGTGCGCGCAAAGGAAGGCGGGAAGGAGACAACGGGCGAGACGTCGCTTCGCCTGCCGTGTATACCCTTCCCATGGTCCCTTGCGGTTCATCACCAGTCACTCGCGCTCGCCTCTACCATGCGAAAAACGAAGCGCCTGAGGAGGAGGATGGTCAAACCCTGCTTAACGGACACCCGCTTAATGCCTTTTTAAACGTTATTTGCTAAAAGGCTACCAAAAATGTACTAAATTTTAATACTTTTTGCAGCTTTTTTGTCACAGTACATAGAATCCTAATCTTTCGAAAAAATCTTTCGTCTTATTTCGTCGCTCACTCGGCCGCTTTTGGCCTTAAATGCTCACTCTCCGCACGCATAACGGTTTTCTCTGTATTGACACTCCGCTTGAGGACGACTTGTGGCAAGTCTGATAGACGCCGGAAATTTTACAATTGCACTCTGCACACATTGTTCTCACTGGCTTTTTGGTAAATACACCCAGTTTGTGAAAAGGTATCATTTTTTATGTTTAATAAAATTAACTCACTTGGATAATGCTGAATCCGACATTTTAAAAGAAATTGTGAAAACTTGTGGTACACACTCATTAAAAGTTCAACTTGCCCCTTGATTTTAAATCCAACATTTATACTTATTCTATTGTTTTTTTTTTTTCATGTGGGGAAATGAAGAAATACTTAGACGAAGCAGAAGAAGATAAGAAGCGGTATATTGAGGAGCTGAAGATCTACCAACAGTCCGAGCAATACCAAGCATTTATGAAGCGACAAAGTGCTAAGAAAGTCAAGACCATTGTTGGTAAGATACTGCAGTACTAATCATACCCGTTATACACGGCTAAAAGCCTTATGAAAAGAGTATAGCCGATCCCGCTGCTATAAGAAACCAAAGGATAAGCAGTTGCACTTTGTTAGAAGGTCCGGAAAAAGATACTACGACATATTACATGGGGTTTACAGAAAGATTCGTGACACGGGCAAACTTGGATAATAAGAAATCCCACTTCTTCAAACAGGTGTCGAACCACTTGTGAGTTACCGAAACCCGCCGATCTTTTCGTACCCAAGTCGATTCTTGTTCACATTTCAGTTCATTCGTACCCAGTATTCCCTTGATTCGTACATACATACCAGAGTGAATATAACTCAATGATGATAAAAGCGCTCGTCAAGTTCACAAGTATATACATCGTTCTTTAAGCCACGAGGCTAGAGCAGACTCGTAAGGATGGAGCAAAGTCTACACGCATTTATCTTTAAGAACAGAGGCTGTGGACCAAGGAGTAATAAACAATTATTGGATGAGGTTTTTGTGATATCCGGAATAATCAAGGTCGAGGTAAGTGTTATCAGCCACCGAGACCTTGATTACTTAGGGTATCACAAAAACCGAATCTAATAATTGTTTTATTATACATTGCTTTGAAGAAAATAACGACAAACACACCTTCGCAAGGAACCTGAATTGATATTGTAATTGGAAATCATGCATAGCGCGCGCGACCTGCAGATTAGTCAGTTATCTGCTAATATGTAGTTTGCGCTAATTTCCAAAATTAGCTGTAGGCTCTCAGCCAATGAGAAGGCAGATAGTGAGTACAATGTATAATAATGCAACTTATTATCATGCATTACCATATCCAAAAACCATGGAAAATGAAATTTGAACCGAGGATAAAACTGAACTGCAACACTTATATTCACCATAAATATGTGCATATTTTTCTCGCAGGAGTGGAAGGTACAGAGGAAGTGACTTCTTCGTTACTATTAAATGACCAAGTGGTAGGATATATTGCTTTGTGCCGTATCATTTTGTTACTGTCTAACCTGCGAGCAAGCTCTCCTTTAATGGGGGAGTCACGCGAGAGCGGCACGTGATGTGTGGGGCTATACCGCTCGCACGTTCGTTTTCTCGCGGCCAGCTTCACTGCCCATAAATGGAGAGCTGTTCCGCAGGCCTTGTCACCTGGGCATGAGATCCTCGTCACTCGTCAAAGATATAAAAAGCCGCCTGCGATGGCTCGCTGTGAGGTCGCACATAGTTTGAGCATTATATCGCATTATACACTGCACTAATTAATTTATTTCACCCACTATTTAATACCAGTTAAGAGTGAATGAGGGGACACATGACCATCCGATACCAGGACCTTTTTCTACCCCTCCCACTTTTTAAGAGAAAAGCCCTGAGAACGAGGTTGTTCTTCTGCCAATCATGAGAAATTTCCCGAGGTGTCAAAGGCCATTTTATTGCCAGAATGTCGGAATTGGCGGAATTATTGCGTTCCTTGAAACAGTCCAAAAATGCAACCAAAAGGAATTTTGACCCACTTACCGACACTCAACTAAAAATTGAGTAATTTTGTGTTTGATATACAAAGAAAGATGGTAAATTTTAAGCTCGGTGAGCATGGTGTCCCATGATCTTTCTTATCTTTCTTTAGGAGGACGATACAAATGAACTGTATTGCAGAGTCTGTAACCAATTCTTCAGCTCCCTTCACAACAAGAAGGAACATCTATTTGGAAAACAACATCTGAGTCAGCTGACGGGAGAATTTGAACGGGAGGCGGAACAAAATGCTAATGACGGCAATGACAAAGTAGTTCATGACGTCACTCCTGCAGTGTCTGTTGCTGACACAGTGCATGTGGGTCATAATCCTGCTCTTATATCAGCTGATACTGAACCAATGCTGTCCATCTCACAGTTCACCGAAAAATTCTTGGAACAGAATTTGAGTAAGTTCTTGTATCATATAGAAGTCACAGTGCGGTGTCGTAGAGGATCCGGCCTTTTCTTCTTGTTCACTCACTTCATCGTTTTTACCTCTTTTGCACCCTGCAGCAGCTCTCTGACCCTTTTTCTATCTTCCTCTCTTCCCTTTTCACTCGTTATTCCAACCTCGTTTCGTCGCTTTCTTACTCCTTGGTTCACTTCCTTTCTCCTCTTTCCATCCTTGTTATTCGCCTTGGTATTTCCTTCCTCTTCCTCGTTTTTTCTCCTTTCCCTTCTTCTTTCTTTTCTCTCGCCTCCCACTCATTTTTCCTCCCCTCACTCCCTGCTCTTCCCTTTCTTACATTCTCCCTCGGCTCCTCCCCTTTTGCCATCCCCCCCCCCCCCCCCCCTCTCATCTTGATCCTGTATATCTGCGTAAAACAAATCTAGATTCGTTTACCCTCAATATTTTGAGAACGTTTAGTTTCTTCCTTGCAGACCGGGAGCTCGAACTGAGGGAACTTAGAAAAGTGGTGATTTCGTCTCAAGAAGAAAGCATTGCACTTAACAAAGAAATGGAAGAACTCAAGGTATTATTATTGGTACTTTTTTTTCTTTTTGAAAGGATTTGGCTTTTCTGGTCGCAGGCATTAAAATGATATCATGCTCAGTCAAAGGCACTGAGCTTTAGCCTTATTACGGTAGGAAGTGGCATTCATTTGCTATGAAACTATTACTTGAACCACTCACTTATCAGATCAATGAAGGTTAAGCATACTGCCTCTTTGTGAGTCTAAACCGTATAAATATAGTTGCACATCCTAATACTTTAGGGTGACTTGCTTAATACGCGAGACAAAACTGTTCTGGAGTGATATTTTGCTATATCAGAACTGATGAAATAAGTGAAACTTAAAACATAGTTTTATAAGGTACTAATCACTCGATCATAATACGGTCAAACTTCTATGTTTGTCGACGGTCTCTCCAAAAGATGAAATTGACTTTTTCCAGTCAAAGCGCCCTAACCGGAACCTTGGCATTTTAGAGTGGTTACTTAGGACTGATTTATTTTATCTTTGTTATATTTTTTCATTTTTTATTTATTTATTATTATTATTATTTTTGCCTTAATATTCTTATTCCATATTTTGTTGGTATATTTTTTTTATTGTGACGTTTCATGCGGTCTTTCAGAGCTTACTTCAGAAGGTTGAAGATGACTTGGGATCCGTGAAGGCGTACGGAGCGTCACTTACAGCTCAGCTCAATAGCCTTAGAATGGTTCCAACGCTTTTTGGGGTGATAAACTTCTAGCAAGGAGTTTTTCATTATCCAAACCTCATAATAATACCCCAAAGACGGATAAATTTTTTAGCTTCCGAAGTTCGTCTTCCTCTTTCCTTTGTGTCATCAAAGTCACGAGGTGCTGTGGATTAATTTATTGGCACAAACCGAGTGTAGCTTGACAAGTAGCGACCTGGCATTTACTTTGTGGTTAGTAACAGGTTCAAAGATATGACATCATTTGTACTGTATCTGAGCAGGAGCCCATAACCGTGATCTAAGGGAGTCGTTGTTGCCTTCGAAAATATTTGTCAGTGCGACAGTAATTACGTGTATAGTTAGTTACTTGTCCTAGAATAACTTTCCTTACTGGATGTAAATAAAAGAAGTAAACTACTCCAAAATTGGAAACCTTACAGTCGTCTTTTTGTCTGCGTTGTTGAGTTTCGAGTAATTTACCGGAGTTTCTTAGATAATCAGACGAACCTTGTACCTCTAGCTGCCTTATTTAAACAACTGCCTCCTTGTCTTCGGGAAGTTAATTTCTTACTTGCTTGTTCTATTGTTTTAGCAACCACTTAATGGTTTCTTACGGATTTACGGGGAACTTAGTACAAACAGTCTAGAATGTCGCAGTTGTGCGAGTTCGGGAAAAATGCTCGCAGTTAGACTTGCCTACAAGTTCTATATTTTTCCCCGAGCGCGAAGCAGGAGCGGCAGATTTTTTGTGTTTTCTTCGGTAAAAGCGAGCGACAGAGCGGGAACTCGATTTGTTACCTCTGCAAAAAATCGCATCAACTGACGCCATTTTGACGCGAACCATTTTCCTCCCTGTCGCGTGTGTCGTCGCGCACACAGCTCAATTTGGATCAAAACAGTTCGAGTCAAGTTTCCTGTAGCCTCCCACGCAGGCGTTTTTAGGGGAGCTCGTGTTTCGTTCTCGAGCTCCCCTAAAGGCCTGCGTGGGAGGCTACATTTCCTGTGGCGTGATCGGGTTTGATCGACCGCGCATCAGTAAAACCGTTCGTGATTGGATAAAACTCACAGGAGGAAAATTCCTCTTGTAAATTTGGCGCGCTGCAAAGGATAAAATTCCTTTGCCCTGGTAGGCTGCGAAACACCCGTTTCTCCTCGCTCTTCGCGGAAGGGGACGTTTCGCGAGGAGGAATCGAACGTCTGCGACTCAGCGACAGAAATTCCATACTGATGACGTAGATCAATGTTAACATAATATATCCGGTAGTCATGGGGTTCCACATCCAAATTCGTTCAATGTTACGTTTCTCCTGGTGAATTTTACTAAAGTGTTGTGTTCATCTGCGAGCGAGCTCCAGCAAAACTCTAATGCCTCTTCTAGGGAGAATATATTCTACAAATTTTGACTCTTGTTAGAGATTGTTCGCGTTTACATTTGACCTTCGTGGCCTTTTGTCTTTTGTCTGTCATTCGTAAACAATAGCTAAAACAATGTAACTACGCCGTCGACCAATCAACGCTTCTGACCGGATTCCGGACAGATTTTACGTCATAAGTATGGAATTTCTGTCGCTGTGTCGCAGACGTTATTCCTCGCGAAACGTCCTCAGCGGCGAAGAGCGAGGAGAAACGGCTGTTTTTGCAGGATATCGCGCTGGCGCCAACTACCGGAACCGGAAATGAGAAGCTAAGGACTTTAAGAAAGTCTCGCTCGCAGTGTTCTATTTTTATTAGCGTTGGCGTAACTCACAGTTGGTAAAGGAAGTGTTTTGTTCCGGTTACTTGACTAAAGTGTCTAAATGGGTGAACCAATTAGTTTGTCATTAATTGGTCTTTGTTCACTTCTACTCCAGAGTCGGCATCATTCCTACAGAATGGGACATTAGCGGCACGATTTGAAGAGGCGTGTTCCTCCATTTACACGCCCCCTCTATTCGTTCCGTGTCTCCCGCAGTAACCAGCTACTTGCCTTCAGATGTTTTTGTCAAAAATCAGACGAATCAAGTGAGGAACAACCTACCTTGGAAAGTGTCCGCCCTTGCTACTACTGCAAATATCTAACTGCACTGATGTTGCAACCGTTTATCAGTACGATGCCCGCCTAAATTGCCTCCAATTGCACAACTGGTTTCGGCTCCATTAAATAATATATCAATTGCAGATCGTTATATGAGAAGCCAACCATACTGGTGACCACACTTACAAAACAACGCCAAATAAATGTATAAATCCGTTACACTGGAAACTAGGCCGAGAACACTTCCGTCAACCAAAGTACGCGATTCAGTTACTGAGACACACTTCTGAGTTGTAGTAAATGAAAATTGAATTGACTATATTGCATTGACACTTATATAAAAATTTATCGCACGAGAGTAGGTAAACGAAGTCGAGCTAAGTAACAAGCATTCTTTCGCTGAGGTGTATTACGATCTATTACAGCACCACTTGTTAAAAGAACTCTAAATATGACGCCTTTCGAACAGTTCATTTTCTAGAATACTCTAAACTTAAGAAACTTAGGTCTTCGTACTGAACACGTATGTCATAATATGGTCGAAGGACATGCATTCACTACGGAATGGATGGCGATATCAAATCCACCGTCTATCAGTGGGAATGTTATATCCACAGCTAGTTTAAAACAACACACAGTTTTCCTTTTTTTATAGTTTGTTCACGAGCAAACGTAAAGACTTGTACAGATGTCCTGCAAGAAAGGGCTTCCGCTAACGGAAATAGAGGGGGAAAGAGAATTAAGTGTGCTATTTGTATGCTCTATCACTTACTCCAGTAACGTTCTAAAATTTTGTAGCAAAGCCTTTACTATCGTACTGACCTACTTTCAGTGCAGTGTACCTGTATCGGTATTTGTGGGTCATTTAAAGATTCCGTCAAATTATTTGTAAAATATAAGTAATATTCGCCACCTCAAATTCTGCTCTACAGTGAAATCGCTGTATACATGGATCTTTTTCGACTTTGCCCTTCATCGCAGATTGAACCCTTGGTTAAAACACGGAAAAATGTTTGAAGAACATTCTAGCGGAACCAGAATTAAACCGTTTACCCCCAACAACGCCTATCGTGTACGAACCAGTATTTAACTGACTCATTATAATTATGAGCTGAAGACGTGCAAAAGTGAACACGTCGCGGTTAGGTATGCTGCGGAATGGGTCAAACTGTCGATTATCGATCAAAGTTTTTCTGTGGCCTTGAAAATTAAAAAGATTTGGTACCTGAGCCGTATTCGCCATAAAGTGTTTGGACTTCACACTGTCTGATTCAAGCTAGGTACGTGAAAAATACTCAGTACTTAACGTGCTGTGTCAGCTAATCATTACCGCTGATTTACACGGTATGCAAGGTGACAATACTCCGATAATTAGCTTAAAACCTCTTGAGGGTTTAGTGTGTTCTTTAGATATTTCCACACACGAATACGTGAATAGAATAACTTTATTTACTTTCCATAAATTAAAAAGGTGATGTAGAGACATATTATTCAATGTGGACTTCCCGCAAGTAGCGGAAATTTACTCTGCTCAGCCTAGTGACTTTGACGTCTTGCGCTCGAGGCCTGTAAAAACAACTACCAGAGGTTTTATTATATTAATTGTTGACTGTAATCGGCTAAATTATCCAGGTGGCTCTTGAGGTTAGCTGACTATATTGCTTAAGAATTAGGTAGCATAACAAGAGTCGCGACGCTGCAATTTTGGATTTAAGTAACTGTAAAATAATAATCGATTCAACATGGAACTCGCCCACTCAAAAATAGACAGGAAATTCAACTGAATAGAAAACCAAGGATCCGGCCTTCAAGCAAGCAGAAAAAGACGTCATCACGGAGAAAGCTATAACACAGTGGATGCAAGAAATTCAAAGGTGAGAATAGCCATTTTGTTTTTTCTTTCTCAATTGTACCAGTGTGAACTGAAAAGGACCCAAGATCTATCAAATAGCAAGGGTGTCGTCTGAGAAGTGAATGTCCAAGTTCATGTAAGGGTTCGAAACGCCTAGAAAACCACATAGTCCTATGAAGCAATGTGGAGAATCGAGCTACCGAGTTCCGTTTTATATGACGTTTCGTTCACTTTTCTAGATGTCTTCATGATCGTCTGGATCGGAAAATTGACAAAATGAAAGTCCTTTGTACTATCACACTGTTTTGAAGGAGAATGATTGAGAATTCGTTTGAATTCACCACTGGAGAGTCCAGACGAATGTTTACATATTATCTTCCCACTGATTTATCAGTGTTTTGATATTGTCTTAATAAGCAACCTCAGCGGGCAAACTGAAATCATTCTGCTTGCTCACTGTCAAGCAAGATGCCTAATTTTTGTCTAGGCTTACTCAGTAAAATGAGTTAAAGTGCTGAACTAAAAACGTTACTTGTACATCAGAACACTGGAGAACTGGGAAGCCAAGGTGAGCTGTTCTTGACTAGAAAGGATTCTAATGATCGGTCATAAAACAAGAAAAGATGAAGTCTACGTATTTCTGTTTGTCCACCCTTTTCAGATAGCGTGAGACTTGACTCATTCACATTGCTGTAAGATAAGTTGTTAACTTTGCATATCTGACCACATGTCAATGAGTAATATTTGCATGAAAATAACTCTTTTTTTCTTTCTGTCATAAAAAAAAACACTATCTTTAAGGAGAATTTGGAATTAATATATTAGCCGGTTGCTAAATTACTAAACTATCCTGATCTAATTTTGTTTGTCAGCAAGAGTATTTGATATTGCAATTAAACTAAAATCCAAAGTGATGATAAGATTTGAATCGCCTCAAGCTTTTGTTATTTTCCTGTTTTAAATAGTCGCCCAGACGTTAAGTGGGTATCGGAATGCGGCGTGGCAGGATACAAGGAAATGTTGGAACTGATCCTGAAGGCCGAACGGCAGTTCTCTTGTTTTGATGATCTTGTTAGCATGTTCTTGTCCCCCATCCACTCTGTCAAACTAAAAGCAATATTAGGCTATCGCCATAAGCATACTGGTATGCTTATAGTGTAGTATTAAAACTTGATTTATTTTCCGCTGTCTTGTAAAAATCTATGAAGAATGGGTCGTTGCTAATAAAGCAAACTGCAAAAAGCATTGTCCAACACATTATGGGACATTAATTTTGCATGATAACCTCTCGAGTGAACAACTGAGGCCAACTAAATGCCAGGCTTAGTCTCAGTTGGCTCTTGACTGGCCAAAAAGAAAATAAACTAAAAACTGCATATCTTTGTTACCTCACTTGCCTACATTATCATCACGTTCAAGTACGAACTACGAATGGCTACAAAATTTCAAATGGCCCAAACGTTTCTAATAATTCGATTAAATGTTGGGAAACCATTTTGATTGGTCACTGCGTTGTCCAAATTTTGGCCTGACTATTCATTGTTTTGTGATGATGTCTCTGTTGTTTCTGCGCATGCCCTATTCATGGGGACAAGCATCTAATGATGACCTATCTGTTCTGAGTACCTTCGTGGTAGGTACAATTCATCGACGAAGCGTAGAAAGAGTAACACGAAAAAATAGATCCGATGATTTACGTTTATTCGAATGAATTATACCAATTATCGGACTGAAAACATCATCAAGACCATCCAGTGCCATGAGGAAATAAGTTCTTTTTCGTCTTCAATCCCTATAAGAAGCCAGCCTGGGAGGTACATTAAAAACTGGAACTATGTGTAACAAAAAACGTCTCACAGGAAGTTCAAATGATTGTAATCATTAATTATAGAGCTATATTCAAGGCATAGTCGATTACCAATACGTTTAACCAATGGCCCTTACAGGTTATCAGACAAACACAGTGAACTGGCTTTCCAGACTTTACTTTCAAATGTCTCTCACCAAAACTAAAAAGTAACCTGATACAGTCCTCAATCTTTTGCGTTGCGTTCCGCGCGTTTATAATCTTGATTATATAAATAGCAACAACTCCAAGAGGTTAAAAGTAATTTGTCATGATTAATTACAGTACCATTAAACTCTTTTTAACAAGGACTAGTAATTTTTCTTCGAGGGATCGGGTGATTAAAATCATTTGCCGCAATCAAAACTGTGGCACCAAAGGCGGCCTAAATAGATGTCAAACCATTTTGTGGTATTTGCTTACGTGTCACTTCACACGTACATCCCAAAGGCACACGAGACCGAACTTAAGGTCCTTTCCAGTTCGCTTAGACCCCACTCCCCACGGGACGGCGTTGTTGTGGCGTCTCTTATGAACGGCCACGGTCAAGCATCGAACATTACATGTGATGCGCCTAACGCTGGTAAGCAAGCTCTATTGTTCAGGCTCATTAGCATTGGGTTCATCACATGTGAAGACTTGGACATTTGACCTGGGCCTAAGCATCCATAGAAAATTTATTATGAACGACCACTTCAGGTACTTTTTGGCAGGAATATTGGATGGACACACGCAAAGATTAAGCCAGCCACGAGGGTCAGTGATTTATGCCAATTTTAGGGCACTATTATAGATCACTATTTTTAGTGTAGGTATTTAAAGTATAAGGAGTTACAAGGACCATAAGAAACCGGACCACAACATTTGCCATACTTAAGACTATTCACTAAGAAATGTAACTACATATCTATTTTTAGACCATTTTCAGCACTGTTGAAGCTTATTTGTGATTTTAGTACAACATAAGCTCTCTCTTTCATATATGATAACCGACTTATCCTCTAAAGAAAACAAGACTGTTTTTTTTCCAGTATTTGGTTCAGTGAAGGTAATAATTACAATAATGTATGCTGTAGAGCGTTAAATTAGATTGCATTTTTTACTATCAGCCAAAGAACAGTTGAAAGTATGTTCCTTCATCGACCACCCTCCGAACACCTAAACCATGCAAACTAATGTATACCCCTATACTCACCGTAACTTTAGAAATCTTTATGAATTACTATAGAAGCAAACTGCCATTACGGTAACTATGAATTCAGATACGCATGAAAAAGAAAGGACGACAAAAAAAACAATACTCGTTGCCCAGGGTTCCGGCTAAAAAACCGGCAACTTGGAGGTCTGAGCTTTCTACTTATGGGGGAAAATGGGTAAAGTTTCAAATTGCACTTCAGGCACTCAATTAACTGCCAAGCCGACTACCTTAACATCCTAGCTGTCTACTTTAAAACCTAATAAGAGCCCTGATAATTGCTTTGATTGTATGAGAGGTTTGTTGTCGGGTATGTAGGTTCAGCTTTCCAGTAACCATCTTTAACTGAGTTGCTAGTTACGGGCGTGAACCAGGAACGCCCGCGCGTGAAGCTTCACTTTAATTTTATCTCAGTTACTAAGTGAGCCCTCTCGATGAGTTTTGTTACTCTTAGGACAGACTTCTCCTGCATAATATGTTAAAAAAAGAAATAATTGGAAAGAAGTACTCCTGCCGGGAGTCGGCCCTGCAGCTCATGCGGTCATGTGCAGTGGGTAGATGCCCACTTTATGACGAATGTTACTCCCCTTTTGTCCGTATTTTTTTAAATGTTCATGCTATACGAGTTGCCCCGACTTGACTATTTGACTCTAATAATACGAGAACGAGTAGCCTAATTGTCTTAATATAGATGCCAACTGCCATACTATCTTCGATTCTATACCAAATTTTGATGCAAATATTCACGGAAGGATCGTTTGTTTTCACGAATTAAAACAGCTAATTTTGCACTGTCTTATTATTCATCAGTTAAAATATTCATTCCATATTTTGTGGCCGCTCTTTATTTAAAAAGTATATTAATCATTTAATTTATACACGTCTTAATCAGAAGCTTCTCAAAAATCATCTGTTAAAGAAGTTGCGACTCTGTTTTAATACTTTTGCAAAACTCGGTCACTACCGTTAATTAGTCACTAGGGAGCTTAAGCAACAACGGCGGCGACGGCAACGAGATCGGCAAAAAAGCAACAGGTTTAGATTGGCAAAACAATAGGGAGCTTAAGCAAAGGCGTTTTTGAGCGACGCACGTCAACCGGAAGTGAGGTCTTTTTCATTTTAAAGCACCTTGACGCTCCCAAATTTGTATTTCTAAGTGTCTTAACTATTATAGAGACGAGTTGTCCTAAAAGATGGGCAAAACCACTGTACAAAAATGAAAAAAGACCACTTCCGGTTGACGTGCGTCGCTCAAAAACGTCTCTGCTTAAGTTCACTAATAACTTTGCACGCGCAACACGCTTTTTTGTACATTTCATTGCCGTCGAAGCACGACTACAACTGACGTGAAAGTGCCTTATTTCACGTTTTGTCGAGGACGTGAACACAGGACAACGTCTTTCTTTTTCTATTCCCGAACTTTGATACAGTCTTTTAGAATTCAACTCTAGAAAAATTTGCCACAATTTGACGAATTGAAGGAGATGGAATATGCCCGATAAAGACTGAAGTAGCGCGAATTCGCTTTTGAGTGACGTTTTCGTAAGCGTCGCCGTCGTTGTTGCTTAAGTTCCCTAGATCGACCACGCTATAGAGGTGAGTACGGTAGCCAACCTGCATGCAGGAACTCGTGATGCTTATAATGTCAGGTCAACCACTGGGTTTATTATATAATTAATGCTTATATTTAGAAGGAAAACTGTATTACGTTCTATGCATGTGATAACAACATTTCACTGCTAACTCTAGAAACAGGCGCTTAAAAATAAGATTAAAAACGAAACTTCGGACCTTGTAGCTATATTATTTCAGAGTTTTTCCGGGTTTTATCATCAACGTGCCGTTTAAAAAAAGAAGATTCTATAGGAAAGGAAGAAGAAGATATCTTTAAGATAGGATCGCAGAAATGAAATCTTAATATCAGAGGTTTGAGAATCATTGTTTGCCTTATATTTTCTTTGTTTTCTTTTGACACTTGTATATTAAACATCTAGTTTGTTTTGCTCCATCGCGAATAGCGGCGCGAAATGGCCATACACGCATGACGAACAATGGTTAATTTTTGGTCCATTAGCTTTCAAGCTCGAGCCACCCCACCACTCTGCGTTGTCATATTCGTTATTCTGACAAACGACTTCAGTTTAGTCATAGTTAACACACAAATGCGCCCATATTGTTCCCAAGTTGATCCAGAGCTGGGCTTGTGCAATATATTGATTCGGTTATTAGAATTTACAGCCTCCACGTTGCCTTTTAAAGGGTTAGAATCCTTTACTCTGCAAGTTCAAGAAGAGTCTTTAACTTGCATGTAACTAATTTAAATTGGACAAACTTTTGTTCGTGCTCACATAGTGATATTTTTTATGCACGTTTACGTAAATTGTGGCGACAGCGTGTCCATGTATTGATCGATATTTCATGACAAAATCTCTTTAGATTGAGTGTTTTTCACAACCCTTGCGATTCAGTTGTCACTGTAATGTAAGTAACCACGCGATCATGCAACCATAGAACACGTTCCTTTAACTCTTTAAGTGTACTTATTGCTCCAGCGAATAGCCTGCAATTGGTGGATGAAACGTAAGATGTCTATTGTTTTGTTAACAGATAATGTCAAAGTTTAATCGTGTGGCAGTAATGTGGCTTCTCGTCCTTATTCTTCAACTGTTGAAGGCGCCAATTGCATCCTCGTCCAGTTGTCGATATAAAGGACATAAGGAGGTGATCTCAGTTCAAGGTGGCTACAACTGTAAACAGACGAGAGTCAAGCTGGGAATGTGCGTAGGAACTTGTAAGTCATATGCAATCCCTGTTCCCGCCGAAGACGATGGCAATGATCCAAGATTTCAAACAGTATGCGAATGCTGTGCACCCAAAGAAGTCAGGCAAAAACCTGTTCGTTTTGGCGACGGATGCGAGCAGTCGATTGTTGTTTCTCAAATCCGTTCCTGTGAGTGCAAAAACTGCTCCGGCTTGACGTGATCATGTTGATCTTTAAAAAGATGCCAGAAGTTTCGTTTATGCATATCTCAAGCTTGAGTGGAGACGATGTGCAAATGTATAATGGGGCGATTCTAACTACAGCACCAATCATTACGCAAGGATTTAGCAATCATAAAATAGAAGCCATGGTTAAACTCTAAGCTTACGGCGATAAAAAAAACATGAAGGGGGCAGTGCTCAGTTAAAGGAAAGTACGGTAGAGATCAGATTGAATTTTAACATGGATTGTTGAAGGTGGAATAAGACAGAAACGCCAATTAACTTTAGTGTTAAGTGCTATATAATTATATCTATATTTACCCGCATAAGCTCAATTGCTTGTAAACCAAAGTCTGCAAAGTGGCTACAACATCATAATAGGACGTTTAAGCAACCACGAAGACGACAGCAACAGAGAACTCTGGAAACAATTATTGGTTCTAGGAGCAAAACAACACTGAGCTTTTCGTGTGGATCAAATTTTTTGGAACATTTCGTTGAAGTCCACTCACCTGCACTACTACGACGAACAACTTTCCGATACGTGTCTTACGTAGCTGAACACAAAGAAGTTCATCTCCCTTTTTCAACTGTTATGTTAACTACTGTCCTCAAGCATTTTATTTCCTCAAACTTAGAGGCCTTCCATTGACAAATTGATGGAGGCAAATAAATGTCATAGAATTAAAAGGAAGCCAAAATCATTTTTCAGTAACATTTTCACTGCCGCTGTCGTCGTGATTGCGTATAAAGGTGCTCAGATATAAAAATTAATACGATTCAGTGGGAATAGCCTTCATTAGAGTCTAACGCCTAGGCCAAACGTCGAACTTTTCATGAGACGAGCCAAACTCTAATTTGGGTCGTCTGTTGGGTCAGACGTCGAACTTACGAGGACGCTTCTAACCAATTAAATGAATCAGACCAAAAAGGTATTTTAATACATTTTATCCCGAACGAAGCTAAATATATACATCATCATACAAATTTTTAATTCATCAGTTTAGCTCGTCGCAGCGCATGTAAAGATCGAAGTTTGTCCCGAAGACGATCTTCAGACGTTCTATCCGTCTGTAGAACGTGTTCATCTGGACGATCCAAACTGAGCCAGACGTCGACGTCGAACTTTCATGAACTTTAAACTCACTAAGTTTGGTTCGTCTCATGAAAAGTTCGACGTTTGGCCTAGGCCTAATTAACCTTAAGCAACTTTGATAACTGATGTGCATTTCGCAATTGGATGATTCATGTTCTTCATCCCTTGATCGGCCGCCGACGAGTAATTTCACTGATCCCGTCTCTGGCAACTGGGATTCAGAGAACAGGGTCATATTAGTCCCTTCAATATATATTTTACATAGTGATCAATGTCAAAATAACCTCCAGTTTAGTTCATGGAAATCTTTCATTAGTTGATTCATTTCCATTCTGTGGGAACAGCCATCGAGGTACTGGAACTCCTCGCGTTTAAAAAGCATTCTCTTAATTTTGAAAGCTTTGGAACCTTTGGAACAATGAAATAATTACTTCCCCTATTAGTGAGAAATGAATGCACGCCTAGTAACAAGCTACGTAATATAGCTTTTCTCGATCAGTATCTTACCAGGTACTTTTTGTCTCATAAAACTGCCTAGACGTCTTGGATAACTTGCTGATTCAATAAATTCAACTTGTTCAGTATACAAAGTACTCTTTGACTCAATTCCTAATTTTTTCCACCGGAATGGTGTACTAGCTATAATGCCATGATTTGTTTTGTGATTGATTGAAATTGATCGAAACCGTACTGATTAGCAGGGCCTTATCCTTGAAAAATGTTCTTTTTTTTCTTTCTAAATAAAATTATGGATTGTTTCTGGCTAAAGACAAATTATGTACTCTTTGGATGTTTATATTTATTATTCATTCAAAATATTTCCCCGATTCTGATTGGCTAAAAGCACACGCATAAATAACAATAATGAATGAGGCTGAGTATCGAGGAGGCGCATAACACCCTCCGAGATCTTCATAATTCTTCATATGACACGAAAGTCGAATTCAATAATTGTTTTATTATTCATTCAAAATAATTCCTAGTTTAAAAACATAGCTAAAACATGCTTACCTCCATCGATGTTAAGTTCACCTTCGATAGTGCACCTTTAGGGTTGTGCAGCTCCGCAAATATTCTCCAATAGCAGATCTCGCCATTCAAGTCAGGTCTTCCTGCTGTTCTTGCCATGTTTTTAGCTATTATTTCGCCGTAAGTCCTTACTCTTGAAACGAGTGAAATGTTCGCCATTTTTGTTTACACAACCAAAAGAACTCAACCTCGTCCCGAGGTCTTCTTGGTTAACGGTGCATTAACCTGCAAGGAAGCTGCACTTTTGACGTCATCGGTTCATTAATCGCAAAATTCTTCCTAGTTTGGTCATCAGTAGCTGCCAGAGAGAATGATCTAGGTAGCTGGTTATGGTGAATTGTGAGTGTACTTTTAGCAAATCAGAATCGGGGAAATAATTTTAGCGCGTGCGAGATCTCGATTATGTCGTAAATAAACTCACTGCGAGGTGATTAGAATTGAACGAGGAAGCCAGAACACTTGTCGCTGATTGTAATATTGTGCGTCTCCATTCGAAAGATGTCAGCTCTTATATTGACCCCCAAAAGCAGTTCAACCAAAATGGCGGGTAAGTAAGTTCAGTTTTTGCAATAGGGCTTTTTCCAAGTTCATTGCGAGGTTTGGTCGGGCGCAGGTGCAATGAACGAGCTGACGCAACGCGATCAGTTTAAAAGTTCGCGGCTACCCTGGACCATTTTACAACTGAGTTATTTTCTCATGGGCATTGTGTCAGTCTTGACAACCATTGTTATTCAGTCGTGGACTTAAAACAATAGCCCACTGGCCCAAAGTGCACCATTTTCAAACTCAGCAACCACTAGCAGTTTTCAAATCGAAAGAACAGTGGTTCTCGTTTACGGATTTTGAAAATTAAAACTTAAAACGGATTCTGTTCAGAAAAGTCCCATCTTTCTGCTATTTGAAACGCCTTCGAAATTACCGTGAATAAACTTTTACTTGATGTATTTTCTTGTCTACGACGGCAGCGCTTCGCCTCTGGGGGAAAGACAATTAATGGTTTGAAAGCAGGCGCTTTACAATTGTAATTCTGATGAAACCGATGAAACCTGAACTCTAGAAGTATCGAATAGAAAGACAATTTTATCGGCAGATCAGATAATGACAATTTTGGTGAGTAGGGAGACATTTTTGAAAATTATGGAATTTATAGAATGTAAAGAGTGGCCAGCCCTCATTTATTTCAGTTTGAAGTGCAAGTAGAAATTTACTGGCAAATACCACTTAGTGACTCGAAAGCGAGCAGGGAGTCAACAGAAAGTAAAAAATACAACAGAAATTAATACAAGCTATGACGATTCTAAAGATCTAAAGGACAGAATTAAGAACATATGTCCTTTCTTACCATACATACCGTTGTAGTCAAATGGCAAGGGCTGCCGTAGAGTCTGGGCCGCCCGCTGCGAAATGACATTTTCACTTTTTCCCAATGGGCTCTTTAGCTCGTTCCAGTCTCTCTTTGCCTTTTTTCTCCCCTTCGACTGCGAGCCACTCTTTCATCTTATTAATGCTAAGTTAATTATTAACAGACAATCGAATTGTTTCAATTAACTATTTTACTTGACCATAAAAAGTGGCATAGCGAACACGCGAAAAAGCTACTGCACAGCCAGTCTATTCACATTCCACAAACCGCTGCGAGTTTTTGCGAATGAGTGTTATAGAGCAGTGTTAAGTATCACCTATTCGTTACAGAAGGCTAACTTTTTCTTTATAATCTCCTTAAACTGGCAGTTTAGAACTAGCAGGCTCTGTACGATTACTCAATAATAATTGGGCAGTTCTAATATACAATAAGTGCATTTCATTTAGGCCAAAGTCAGGTTGCTGATTTGCATGTCCTTCTTAGCGTAGAACAGAAAATGGAAGACTGCCGTACTCCGCTGTTCCTCGTTCTTCTCGTGGTCGTCTCATTTTCTTTCTTTCAGTTGTCCCTATAAAATGTATTTGATAGTTTTCAAGGAACATATTTATATTTTGTAGCCCGCACTCCTTGTGACTCTGAACAGCGAACAACGTTGACTTTGCTTGTGAGGTACTGAGCAATGTTCATTATATATTGCAAACTAAATTACTGTCACAACACTTCAAAGAAGGCCTAAATTTGATGTCCATCTGAGGAAAAGCTAACTCTTCTTTTCGGCACCAGAGGTGAAGCTTCCTTCGGGGACTGTGATTTGACTAGATTTTGTGGCTTCAACGGCTTAGTCGTAACGGACGTGTTCAAGTTGGGTCGAATCTGTCTCCTGTTTCTTTCGAACGAAGTCTTGTCTTGAATCCGTATTATATTGTGATAGATGACCGTGAAAGATCTGCGAATTTCCTGCTCATATCTCGAGTTGCTTTTGGTCTTCGAAGTTTCCATTGGCGTCTAGACTGGTAGCAAATCAGGATCGGTAGTAAATTATATCTAAGCCACGCCAGTCAGCTCAGTCAGAACACCGCAATGTGAAATGTGTTTTAGTATTTTGCTTGGTCACCCATCCAGTAAAATACCAGACAAGTATCGACACTTAATTGTCGCATTGTCTTTTTAAAACTGGTGATAAAATCTTCAAGTATGGTAATAACATGGAATATTATTAATTCATCCACTTTCAGGAGTAGCCAAAGTCAAACTATCAGAGAATTCCAACTTTCATTAATTCTTAAAATGCTGAAAATAAGTAGTACCACTATGTAAAAGTTATCTGTACTGACTAAAGAGGTTTCGTTTGAATGGTCGTCATGGTTGTTAAAACATTCAAAAGTTAGAAACCGTACTAAACTTCATCATTCATTCTGGAAGTGAATTAGGGTTACTGAATATTTCGAATGCCTCGCATTGACTGTCGATCACCTGACTGTTAAAATTAAACAGATCAAAGTATCTCCTGAA